TCTTCTTTGAAAAACGTGTGCTCTCTCTATTGCCCAGCACCAGACTTCACATGTCCTTTAATAATCAAAAAATAAGAATATACTGTAAAACAAGATTCTCTCTTAAGCAGGTCTGGGTTCAGGAAAGATTCTTTCAGGCAACACAGAGGGAGTGTACAAAACACACACACTGCTGCTGAATGGCTGGGACTACAACTACCACCAGAACAATAGGAGCATGGGAGAAATTATCCCAACTGATCCCAAAATGATCGTCGTCTTCATTCTGCGAAAAACAATGTTCTGACTCTTTAGAGACTTGGTCTCGTGATTGACCACAGAACTATTAAAGATGATTTTGTCGAGAGTTTTCTTCCTCCCCGCTCCCTCGCATGTTCTGTGCAAAAGTGGTCATGAGAAACAGGATAGGCCAAGACTGGCCGTGACCTTACATGATATATTGGAATGAAGAAAATACTAGCCTACAGTGCAGTGCTGTAATTGTCTGTACAGAAGTAAATCCCACAAGACATATTCCCACGTAAATGCGTATAGGATTGTAGCCTTAGGCAGGCAAATAGCATAATGAGACGAGTGAGAGCCTGAGAAAAATCTGATCTAAAACCAAAAATGCACATTGTGGATCCAGCAGTGAACAGCTATTCCACTAGACTCTAGAGGGGGGGAATTGCTTTGTGGGAGGCCAGAGGGACAGTTTTTATTTCTTACATTAATAGATTTCCTCACTATCTCTATCTAACCTTTGGCTTCTGCAATTCTTTTGCATCAGTTTCAGAGCTCTAATGACAAAAGGATTGTGAAAACGAAGAAAATTCATCTCTGGGTGCTTAATTCACAATGTCCTTCCCCAAATTTTTACTGTTATTGAATAGTCAGTAAAGTAAAACTTTAAGTACTGATGGTTAACTTCAAATATATATCTGTTTAAAATATCAAGCAAAGGCCCATTTTCAAGTGAAACCAAAACAATACACAAAATGCAGGACAAATGAAAATAGAGAGGAAAGGAGAAGATTTTAAATTTTTTTGCATTAAAGATGACCATAACTAACTCATTAAGGAGAAGAAATGTCTGTAATGTTTCAACACAAAGTACAATGGAGCACATCTATTTCATGTATTTGTACAAAAAAGCTTTTGTTTCTTTTTTGTCGTCCACCAAAGACATTTTTTATTATTTGTTCATTTTTCACTGGTTATTTATATATTTGTATCCAATTCAGTGAGTATAGTCCAAAGGTTCTACCCATCTATTAATTTTGAAATAGATTTATCAAGCTGAAGAGATCAGTATTTCATATATTAATGGAATAATGTCTAAAATGCTACAAGCAATGAAAAAAAAAACCCAACAGGCAATGGAAATGAAGCTACCTTTAAATTTTGGAAATGCATGGTTACTTGGGCTTATTTTTTCTCTGCATGGTATATGCAGAGATACACAGAAGAGGGAACAGTTACCACATCTATATAGCAGTAGACCACTTATGTAGAGTTGTGCCTGCTTATAGGATATCCATTTTAAACACATGCATTGACAAGAAATCTACTGTATATTCATGTTGACATGAAGCAGAATTTGAAACGTATCAGATTCATTGCTCTTCGAGTTTAACAGAATTACAAAAATGTCTTAGTAGCAACACTAGTAATCTGTACCTCTTTTAAAACATGCCAAGACTTTCGCACTTTAAAGATTCTTTACACTCTCCAGCAAAAAAAAAAAGTACTGAAACCAGATGATAGTATTTTTTTTATTTATACACTTACTTGATAAATAATATATCTGCAGGGGCATGCACAATAACATTGCCACAATTTATCATTACAGCATTACATTGAATAATTATTTTAAAACCTGGGCTTCCTGACTTTTCTACAAACGTTTTTGTTTTGACAGCCTAATTTGAGTATTTGCTGCCTTTTGTCAGCTAAGAGAAGTGTAGTATTTCACATGATACTAACATCTGAAAATTGGCACAAATGGCAAGCTTTGCCTGAGAGGTACAATACTTTAAAAGGAAGATTCCAGCATTCATTAAAATGTATTACTGGAAAGATACACAATCTTCTCTCTTAAATTCAGGAAGTCCTCAAAAGTTAATAGGGAAGTACAACCCAAATCTATATACTTGCACCATTTCAAGCTTGCATCAGAAATCACTTTGTAAAATCAAAATTAGGTTAAAAGGCTTTTAAAAACACAGGGATTTATTCCATAACATTCACAGATTGCCTGCAAGATTGTTAAATCCTTATAGATTAAGGAGATGGGGAAAAGAAATGAAGTACTACTTGTTATGCCAACGTAATTTATAAAACCCCATGTTCACAAGAAGTTTGTTTGTTAGGACAATGCAAACAGCAAATAGGTAATTCTCATTTATGTTTATGGCAATACATCCCCACCACCACTTCTGTAAGTCACAAAAGGGATGGATCAAGGTTCTGATCCACAGTATTACTGAACCACAGAGCAACAGATACTGGTTGAATGTTAGCTCCTCAAACATCTGTTGAGGAGAAGGAAATGATGGAGCCTGGTTGCGAGGATGTTACTGCCGCCAGGAGGAGTCATTGCATGCCCCATCCTCCCAGCCAGAAATGTAATATCACCACTAGGAGAGTATTTCTATATACCTGGGTCCCAGGGAACAGTATTGGCACAGCATCCTGCAATGCTGCAAAGTGTAGCAAAAGTGGCAGGTTGGGCCCTTAAAATTTTTTATACTGGTTTGGAACTACAATACTAATTCTTGGTTCTCGATATTTCGGTTCAAAGCATTTCATAAATTTATTCATTTTACCTTACAATGTGAAACACTTCCAAGCGTTTTTTTAAAAAAGATCATTTGACAAACACACGCAAAAGAATGCTTTGATTATGTTATTTCTTTCCAGAAGTTTCCTTGGTAAGTGAAGGACCAGTTACAAAATTAAACCAGTTCCTCTTGACCAACAAGCAGCTGGTTTAATTTGCAAAAAAACAACAACAAAAATGCAAACCAGCTCCATTTCTAATGCCCCCCAAACCAGAGACAGGTGTTTGTGAGGCTAAACAGGTGTGTTTTGTCTAGGAAGATGCAATGGGGAAGTAACACATGAAGTTCTGCCCTCTCAGTATTCATGTCTAGGTGCCAATTTTGCATCTGATTTGATATACGATCTCAAGAAAGTAAGATGTGGGGTGGGATGGGACAGAAACAACAGCTATAATTGGGTATACCCAAGACAAAATGAAAATTTGAGCATCTAGGGCAGGGGTAGGCAACCTAAGACCCGGTTGCTGGATGTGGCCCAATCGCCTTCTCAATCCAGCCCACAGACCGTCTTGGAATCAGCGTGTTTTTACATGAGTAGAATGTGTCCTTTTATTTAAAATGCATCTCTGGGTGATTTGTGGGGCATAGGAATTCGTTCATTCCCCCCCCCCTCAATATAGTCCGGCCCACCACATGGTCTGAGGGACGGTGGACCGGCCCACAGCTGAAAAAGGTTGCTGACCCCTGATCTAGGGCATCTGCATATTTAGGTACCACATTTAAACTTTCTCAATTCTCATTTTAATTTTCTCTGAATCACGCTGAATTCTAGTGGTACAACAAATATGCATCTGGAAACTCCATTCCAAATGGACACCACTATCCCTCTAGGAGTACATGTGCAGAACTGAGAAGTACAAGTGACGCATCCAGGGCACACACAATTTATTTTAGCTATGGGCATGTTAAATGGGGGGCAGGACTAAGGCATGTATCCAGCAACATTGCCCCATTTGTACAAGGACCTCCTCTTTCACAGCATACCTTCCCCCCTTCCCCGTGTGCCCTCTAAATCTGTTCTGTGGGTTCTTCCAAACCCGCATATTTGGGGGGGGGGCACAGGGAGAAAAGAGGGATGGGAAGTCTTTTCATGAATGGGATGATTTAATTGAATACAACCATGTTATTGGTATCTGTCACTAAATATACATACAATTAAAGTTTATACTTACTAATAAAACAGGTTTCCCCCAAGTTTCATATTTACTTCAGGAGGAAGGTTATGAATGCATATATAAAATATATAGCTCCTGGAAGGCTTAGTTCTCATAAAAAGCAGGTGAGATGGCAACTGTATGTCTGGACTATACCACTTCAATCTACAAGTGGGGGAGAGGCACACGACAGAAAGCTCCTCCATTAAAAAACACACACCAAATTGCTGCACATAGAATGCTATGCCATGAAGAACAGACTCCTGCCTGTTTTCCATGGTGATTTCCTATGCTCAGTAACTGTTTTTATATGGAGAAGCTTGCAACCATATGAGCTCCTACTTGTTGCATGAAGTGGTATAGTACAGACATAGATTGATGTGTTTTTACAAAGACTATCAAAGCCTTTGCCTGGCAAAAGGAATTACTGTGCAAAACACAAATATTTTCTGAATTAGATATTCAGATAGTAAAATCATGTGATCACATTTTATTTAAGGCTCAAGATATACATTACTCAGTACATCCGGGGTTTTTTCTCAGTTAAGTGCAAAACAAACTACTGCAGAGCGAGCCCTGCGCTGTGTTAAACACAAACAGCAAAATATGGAGAGGGAAATGTCTGCACAAACACACACAAAACCAACAAAGCTCTGTTTATGTGAGTTTCAGAAACCAGCTCAGAAGTCAGCATCGTAAGGAATAAAGTGTAGCTGCTGCCTTCTGAAACACCAATAACTTCTTACTTAATTTTTTTGGTAATTATAGGGATGAACACAAATAGCCATGCAACAATATTTAACAGGCAATCAAGTGATAAAGCTCAGTGCTCAGGATAAGAACTAAATTCTTTAAATAAAACAAGTGTCAACTCATTTAAAAGCCAGAGACATTTATTGTTTTTGAACTGGACTGACTGCAGTTAATTTGCTCGAGCAAAATCTCAGGATTAAATACCCCTCCGTGTCCATCTTCCATAATCAATCCAGAGTATTTAATTTCTTCTTTGTGCTCCAAGGATGTCTCAAGGCAAATGCGTCCTTGTAATTTCAGAGTCAGAATGTCCTTCTTCTTGGAGACTGGGCTCATAGTCACCAGCATTATTGGCCAACTCAACATCTGGATCATCATTGCTCTCTGCACTATAATCCACTTCTTCAAGAAAGCGAGGTTCGTCTTCTTCCAGAACGTACGTAGTGGGGCTGCAGCAAGAACACCAGGAGAGTAGGCTTATCGTCTATTATGCTCAAGTGAAGCAGCTTCCCAGCATAAACATATTTAACGCAATAAAAAAACTAATTAGTTTTTCTAAAATGTGGCCAAGAGGCTCTGGACCAATAACATAACTATAGCCATTCACTCTATCATTGCATAGCTGTCAACTTACAGATTTGAAAATAAGGGACCAGCAGCCAAAATAAGGGATTTTGCTTAGCTTATGAGTTCCATCGGCCCTTCCCCGCCCGAGAGGGAGGGAGAGAGACTCTCGCCCATGCCGCCCGCGAGCCCGGCATGAGGCGGTTGCGGCGCCGCAGCGGCCGCTGAAGCACCGCCCTTCTACGTCCCTCCCCATCCCCTCCTCTTCCTCCTCCCTCAGGCCGCTGCCGCCGCTGCCACCTCTGGCTTCCCCTGGCAGCGCGGTGGAAGCCTCGCAAGAGAGGGGCTGCCTGCCTGCCCGCCGCCACCCGTCTCCTCACGACGCACCCCTGAGGGGGAAAAGGGAGAAACGGAGACGCGGCAGCTCGTGCGCACACTCTCTCTTGCTCTCTCGAAGCGGAGGACCCCAAGCCGCTGCTTCCGTCCCGAGCCGGGCAAGCATGAAACCCGGGAAATTTAAGGGACATCATCAATCCGGGACAGCAGCGGGACACGGCGCTGGGATAAGGGAGTTTCCCGCCAAATAAGGGACGGTTGACAGCTATGTATCACTGAGTGCCAAATGTTATATAGGAGATGCATTACCATTCTTCCCCAAAATTGGCAGCAACAACATCTTACTAAGCCCTTCATCAATAAATATGAATCTTATCTTATATTAACAAAACATTCTGAACTCTGAATTTTCAAAACACGCAACACATAGACCCAGAAACATGAAAGCCTGTGTGGCAAAAGGCCATATGCATTATATCCTCTCTGCATGGATCAGCCCTGGTGGCTCCCCCTATGACATTGCACACTGAAAGGAAGGTCTGAAGGAGGATTCTTGCATGTTCTCTTGAAGCCTCCTGGGAACAGAGATCTGTGTGATCAGGGCTCCCAATTGCAGGAAGGATCCCAAGCGCATCCAGCTGGAGATGCAAAGAATCCAAGGCTGCAGCCAGCAGTGATGGGAATGTGGGGGCCAGTCATGCCTCCCCGCTCCTCCATCAACACATTTTTAGGCAGACACCAGAATAGGACATTTTTATACACTGGATAACTGTCCCTTTCACAGCATGCCGAACTGCACCAACTAGTTTGTCAGAGCCACAGAACGAAAAGACAAACTAAAAATAGAAAAGTAATTTCTACAGCAACATAACTGAGGCTAGTGTTTATAACAACGTTATTCCAAGATTACTGAGATTTCAATGTGTTTTTATTAAAATGCAGTCAAGTAAAGAAAAATAAGCAAGGGGTATCAATGTGGTCTCCTAAGGAAACAGGTTTTGGAGATTCAATCAGGAGGACATTTTCTACAAGACAAGTTTCTTCACTGAAGCTTTACCCTTCCCATGTGACAGAAGCGTCTCCCCCCCCCCTTACAAAACATTTTTGCAGAGCAAGTCAGGTCAGCTTTCATATAAAACCAATTAAAGTGCATCACACAAAGACAACAGAAATGAAAACAGTGAATCACTTCATTGTGACAGCACAGCAAAAAGCTTTAAAGCAGTTGAAGCAATTGAAGTAGGTGAGTGAAACCACAGACAGTGGGAAAAGGGAAGCGTCTTCACATGTCTGAAGACAAAAGGGAAATCTCACCATTTCCCAGGCTATGAGAATCTTTGCCCACTATCAATTCTAGCAGTGAAATGTGCCACTAGACTCTACCAAAAATCAATCTCAAAAGCTATCCAACAAAGATAATTTGAAACTTACCTCTGAAAGGAAGCTGGTCCTTTCATTTTAGGTGTTAAAATGATTAAAGAGCTGAGAAAGCCATAGTTAGGTACGTACTACAAAATGTCTATCTGAAATTGTGTTCTTTACACAGAGATGCTGATCCAGATTCAGCAACCCAGGTTACAGATGCAGAGTGTTCTTTACATGCACACACAGAAAAACTAGTTTGGACGTGCTTGGGAGCAATGCTTTTCTTTCTCCATCTGTGTTACACACACACACACACACACACACACACACCCCAAATTTGCACTAAAATCTGCCTTCTGCTATAGTTATTTCATTTTAAATTCCCCGCCTCCAACTATTTCATAGGACATCACCGAGAACTGTTGCCTGGCAAGAGAAGACTTGCCTCCATCATGGACTGGATGAGACCCAGCTGCTCCATCCACTATCCCTTGTCTCTCAGATCATCAGTGATGTCTGCAGTCTCATAGGTGGAGGCAGAGGGGCAACACCAGGAAGGGCAAGGATAAAAGAAGGAAATGTTAGCTGCATAAACCTGGCACCACAGGGTCACCATGGTATTCCTCTTCCTGTTACCAGATTTGAATGTATTTTTTTATTGTAAGAATCTCTTGAAAACAATTTCATAAGTGGAATTTAAGTATTCTGAAACAAATAAACATTTAGCACAACAACATTTTAAGCTCGCACTACCTTGTCACTTTACAATTGGATTCAATCAATTCATTTTCAATGTCAAAGAGCGTAGATGGCAGGTTGTATTCTAGTGGTGATGTCAACCTTTTCAAACGCAATAAACCAGAACAGAACTTGGCTCCCATCTCTTCGAGTTCACGTGTCCCAATTTGTAAGCCCTAATTAGAGAACAACATATTCACTGAGTGGTTAGTTTAATTATGTCTGATGCTATTGCTAAAAATAACTCCTGGCACAGTTTGTCTTATGAAGAGATGCAAGACCAGCTAATTAAAGTATTAAAGCAATAAATGCAAAACCGGATGATCCCCAAAGTTTATATCTTTATAAGATGTGTTTGAGGTCCAGAGTACAAGCTATGATAAACATGCCATTCAAAAAGTAGGCTAAACTGGCCACTTTATTTTGAAGAAAAAGCATTTGCGGGACACCATTCTGAACAGAAAGGTAAAGGGACCCCTGACCATTAGATCCAGTCGTGGCCAACTCTGGGGTTGCGGTGCTCATCTCGCTTTATTGGCCAAGGGAGCTGGCGTACAGCTTCCGGGTCATGTGGCCAGCATGACTAAGCCGCTTCTGGCGAACCAGAGCAGCACACGGAAATGCCATTTACCTTCCTGCCGGAGTGGTACTTATTTATCTGCTTGCACTTTGACGTGCTTTTGAACTGCTAGGTTGGCAGGAGCAGGGACCGAGGAACGGGAGCTCACCCCGTTGCGGGGATTTGAACCGCCGACCTTCTGATCGGCAAGTCCTAGGCTCTGTGGTTTAACCCGCAGCGCCACCCACATCCCTTTTATTCTGAACATGCTTCTGGCCTATTATTTGCTTTAAAATCTCCTCTGCTATTAACCCCCAAAGGTATTGCTTACTGCAAAGCACATTCAGGGACAAATTACAGGCATGGTTAGGGGCAGTTTTTGGCAGAAAACCTTTGCAGGGACACAATCCAGATCAGTGGCATGTCCCAGATTGAGACCTGACAGATTTTTCCCTTCCACCCCCCTTTTTAAAGAAAGTGGCCAGGTTGAACCATTTTTAAAAAATGTTTGTTTACCCTAATATGTGGTTTGGCCCTTAGATAATACATATTTCAAAGTGTTCCTCTAAAGAGAATCCAGGCAATGCACAAGATTACTTTTTCAGACTCATTAAATATACAGATGCCATTTTTACAATTCAGTTTTATTTTTTACCTTGTACTTCCCCTGGTCACATCCACATAATGTGCTTTCCATGGTGTAACTCCTCTGAACGCCTATTTCTCTCCAAACAACAACACGTGCTGTAGATTCCTTGGACTTCTCTACCACAAAACTGCAGCTGCTCATGCAGAATGCTGGCGCTGTCTGACTCAGAATCTTTGGAAGGGTCTAGAGGAAGGAAGTATTTAACAGCAGTCTGAAACTGTTAAAAAGTTTAGCAGGTACAATGTCAAGAAACCACTGAATATTAAAAGGTGCATTACTTGGTCTACTTTCAATATGTGAAAAAGTATATAACCGGAACTGAAGTCCTGTGGATTTCAGGCTACATATTATTTAGATGCAAATAAATAAAAAATTAAAGATAGAAGAAGGATGCATTCCAATAATTTATTTCAACCGATTTATACCCCACATTTTCCCCCAAAAGCAAGCCCAGGGCAGTTAACAAATATATAAGTATAACAACATGAAATACAACAGCAGCAAAAAGCGCCACTTAAAGTACCAATACAAACACAGAAAACGACCATAATAAAACAGCAGGATGGTTAGCAGAAAAATTATTACACCACGAAGACTTGGCAGAATAAAAAAAAGTTCTCACCGTATGCCTAAAAGTAGCCAGAGTCAGGGAAAACTACACAAAAAATGAGAGGAACTTTTGTGATGTAGTGGACACTCATGAGACTACCACCCAGCTATTGAAAAAAAGCAAAAAAGCAGGGCATTCCCTATTTACACAGTTTGTACAACCAAATGGAAGTCCACTATGTGGGAGGAACAGCAGTATGAGATACAACCCAGCGTGTGGAGGCTGTGATTTTATATCCCACTGCAGGGATACCAGATGTAGAACGGAGGGGAAGGAGCTTCTAGCCTCATGAGACTTGTCCAAACTGTTGAGGATCTGGCTTGCCAATTCTTCTACAATTGTATTATAAATATACTTCTATTCTTAAGGCGGAAAATATGAGAACAACGAGAGGAGGCAGGAACGAAGATCTGGAGATATGCTTCAGAGGTCCAGACTATGGGGAGTCGGGAAAAATTAATAATTACAATTTGGATTACAATTTGGTTTTTTATTTTAGTTTAGTTTATTATTTTTAATTGGATTATGATTCAGATATGTTGATTGGCTGTTTTTATTGGAAAAGCAATAAAAATTATTTTTTTTTAAAAAAAATAAATATACTTCTATTCTTTATCCTTTATAATTCTGCTGTCATCATAAAACTTTATTAAAGCATTTTCCTAATAATATATTATTGGGGTTTTAGGCTATAGCCGTAGAATGAACAGACAAGGAAAATTAATTAAAATATATTTACATATGATGCATATCAACAATATATAGAATATTTATCTATCTATCCCCAATGTTTTAATAGTTTCTTACATGACATTTTACTTTTTTTAAAAGGAAGCTGTTTTATGTTCACTTCACTAATTAAAAACCAGTTAGTTAAATTTTCCAAAACAGTGGGTTGTATTCATATTAGTCAAAGCTCATTGAGTGGACCCACTGGAATTTGTGGATATGACTAACTTAGGTCTTTCAAATTCAATGGATCTCCTCTGGGCAAAATACTACTGGTATACTACTGGCAGTGTTATCACTTGAGGATTAGACAAAATAAATAGAAATAGAAATTATGAATCTGTTGTGGCCTTGTTTGGATTTTTAAAGAAACAACTCACCCTATAGCCAAGGTCTTCAACTACATCACAAGAAGCAGCACTAAGATTAGTGTGCCACATGGTTTCCTTGATGCTGCAGCCATACATAAACACGTTTTTCTTGCGAGAATGACCATGATAATCACAAAAAACCTAGGAGAAATAAAGTTTTCAAAAGTTATAAAAGATGAAACTTTATTGTATCTGTATTGGGCAGAGATACTGTCTTTTTTGTAAATAATTTTTTATTAGTTTTCAAATATTCCCCCAATAATAGCCAAATTATAACAATATTAATTGGGGGCAGAGATATTTTCGCAAATATTCCCGCTCATCAATTATATACCGTTTGTTCAATTTCTGTGCCATCTTTTATCACTCTGTAATGAATCCCATTTCTTCAAGGAGTCAAAGGCCACGTTTGATGTAATGATCCCAGGCTAATAAACTATGGTTTATTGGCTCAGGAGCTAACTGTATGCTCCTGCCTTCTCTCACATAAGCAGCTTCAGTGAATCTATCTGTTTCTTAAACCAGTTTCTTATGATGCTTGAACTGGGAAATTGTTATTAAAATGTTCCCTCCAAATGAGGATATGAAACCAGAATCAGATCCTGCTTTTAATTGGGAACTCTTAGTCACAGATTCCCAGTTTGGTTGTGCAACAGGGAAGGGCTAAGATGTTTTATCAGATCAGGACTGTTACATATGAACAAGGACAAAAGCGAGAAGCTTGACTTAGAACTTTGATTTAAAAAAGAGAGAAGGAAACATAACATAAAAAAGAAATGAATGAAATGGAATTAAGTATTGTTAAAAGTCACTTTACATAACAATGAAATCAAGTAACAAATCCTGAGAAATAGTCCAAAACCTCCTTACATTCTCTCTCAGATGGTTCAACTATGTAAAAGAGGAAGAACGAAAATTAGGCCCAACTAAACGTAACAGAAGCATTCATGTCTTTCCCTTTTCACCAACATTCTGCCTCCATTCACATACAAACATCCTGGGATCTAATTTCCTCTGCCTGCTCTTCAAAGATTTTCTCTAAAGAGAGACCTTTGATCTTAGCATGAAACACCACAGCACTAAGATTTGGGGTAAAACCTGCTTGCTTTTTGAGAGGGAAATGCAACATTTCCACACATATCCAATGCTGGAGTAGGGATAAATGCTGCTTTTTATGTTGCCTAGATTGACCTCTGTTGGGACGCGGGTGGCGCTGTGGTCTAAACCACTGAGCCTCTTGGGCTTGCCAATCGGAAGGTCAGTGGTTCGAATCCCCACAATGGAGTGAGCTCCCGTTGCTCGGTTCCAGCTCCTGCCCACCTAGTTTGAAAGCACATCAAAGTGCAAGTAGATAAATAGGTATCACTCCGGCGGGAAGGTAAATGGAGTTTCCGTGTGCTGCTCTGGTTCACCAGAAGCGGCTTAGTCATGCTGGCCACATGACCTGGAAAAACTGTCTGCAGACAAACATCGGCTCCCTGGGCCAGTAAAGAGATGAGTGCCGCAACCCCAGAGTCGTCCGCGACTGGACTTAACTGTCAGGGGTCCTTTACCTTTACAAATGACCTATGCATAGCAAACAGTACTGTGCACCTGCACGTTTCTGTATGCACATGCGTGCATGCACACACATTGGCCGCACACACTACTGACATGAGGCCTGCGGGGGTGGTGGCAAAGCGTCAATATGGCCATTGGACCAACAACAGTTAGTCACTCCTGATCTACAGAAAGCCACACCTACAGAAAACCACATGAAGAGTCTCATCTGTCTATGGCTGCTAATAATACTGACCACATTTAAAAGCAGAGCATGGGATCGGTGGAGGTAGAACTGTAGAAGTTGCTGAGGAGAAACATCTGTGAAGAGAGTTCCCTCACAGATTTCATATATTTTGGGAGAGGATGGGGCATTTTCATGCAATGCCAGAATGACTTCCGATGCTTTTACTTCAGTGGAGTGAACTGGGTGAGCACACGGATGCGAACACTTACCAGGGGCAAACGTTTTATGGTAGCCAAATACTGCAGTAGGCCTTTGGCATGATAAATGGTGGGGTGCAGATCTAGGTTGGGGTTTTGCCATTGTCTGTTCAAGTCCTCCCCGCTTAAAGAACAGCGATGACTACAGGAGAAAGACAATCTCAGTAAGTTCTTACTGTCCCAAGCAAACATGTTTCCCCCTCCAAGTAAGTTTGTCAGACAACTTTTGTGGATATTTTGTGCAATTTTATTAAGACAAAAAAGGCAGCTCTTTAAAGTCTTGTTTTAACTGTTTGATTTTTAAAAAACGAGTTCATTGAAAATGAATCATGATATTAGAAAGCTAGCCTGCTTGTATCCAATATTTGTCTAAACTGGTGGGAATTATTACATTTTGCGATAGTAAATTCCACAGTTTAGCTATGTGCTGCATGAAAAAGTGCTTACTTTTGTCTGTCCTGAATTTCCCCCCATAAGAGCAAACTCTTAGAGGCCGAGGTGCCTTTCCTCCCCCCCCCCATGACCATTCAAACGGTGTTTATGCACCACTTCATGTGAATTATTATGTGGGGCAGGGCTTCCCTTGGGCCCCCTCAATATTTTATTCAAGTGGGCACCCATCACCCACATTTCAGCTTCACTGAAGACACGGGTTCTAGTGTTACGACAGGAAAAAGCCTATACAGTCATACCTCGGGTTAAAGTTGCTTCAGGTTGAGCGTTTTTGTGCTGCGCTCCGCAGCGACCCGGAAGTAATGCGTTCCAATAACTCGTTACTTCTGGGTTTCGACGCTCGCGCATGCGCAGACGCTCAAAATGACGTCACACGAATGCGCAGAAGCGGCAAATTGCGACCCGCGCACGCGCTGGTTGTGTTCTCTTCAGGATGTGAACGGGGCTCCGGAACGGATCCCATTCGCATCCAGAGGTACCACTGTATACTTTTTCCACACCATGGATAATTTTACACATATAAATCATGTTCTCATTTAGTTTAGAAAAAAGGCAAGTAACCCCAAATGCTGTAATCTTTCCTTATAAGCCAGTTGTTCCAGCACCTGATAATTTTTGTTGCCCTTTTCTGACTTTTTCTAGCTCTACAATATCCTTTTTGAGGTGGGGCAGCCAGAACTGTGCACTATATTCCAAGTGTGGCCACACCATGGATTTGTATAAAGTTATTCTGATGTTATTTTTTATCGCTTTTTACTGATCCCTAACATGGAGTTCACAGCTGCTGCATACTGGGCTGACGTTTTCATTGCACTGTTCATTGAATATTGCGGCAAAAGGACAGAAAGTCCACGGCCTAAACTTGGTTTGGAAGTGCCTAAGAAGCATTATCTTTGCTGCTGAATACACTTAAAAACTTACTTTCCATTAATGACCCCATCAGGATTAAGCATTGGTACAATTTTAAAAATATAGGATTCTCGTAAACTTTGGGCAGCAGGAGTATTACTCATGAGATATTCCAAAGTTCCCTTCATAACCCAGCTTGCGTTAGTCTCTCCAGGATGAACACGAGCACATAAGAAAATATAAGGACGGTTTCCTAAAAAACAGAACAAACACAGCACAAGCAAAATAGCATGATACAATCACAAGTCACAGCAGCTTGCTTATTACGAATTGACACATATGAACTAGAACATGAAATGAATGTAATTAAAGAACTTGAATTCATTGAAGTAGAATATACATATGGCATAAAGTGTTGAACAGGTAGATGTGGCTGCCTGGCATGTTTAATTAGGCCCACAAATTACGCTTTCTAGAACATCTATATGCAATTCACGTATCTTTTACAAAGCAGCCTGCATTCAGGAAAACATATATATATATATATATAAATTCTCAGTGAGAAAGACAAAAACCTTATACTTACTGAACTGACAGATATGTTCATAGTAATCTGACTCCGGCATGGCTGTTATAGTTACTATGGGACAGCTGTTTCCAGAGAGAGTCTCACACAAAACGTCTTGTCGAAAATATATCTGCTGAGGATTGTGTGTGGAGTCCAGTTTTTTGAGATGCATCTTCATGACAAAAAGAAGTAGACTGTAAGCCTACAGCCAGGGTTTGTTTCATATTTTACCATAACTACAGGTTTAGCTTTTCCTGTGCTTAAAGACAGCAAACACCACCAGCAGTTCTAGAACTGTTCTCCACCAGTATATTTGTAAAACAATGCAGTTTTATTTCAAAACAGAGTTTTTCTGAAGACCTCCCCCCGCCCGACAGAAAACTGCTTCCTCTGTTATCAGAGGCCACCATACCTTTCTTTTTGGCGGGGGGGGGGGCACTTGACATCTGTAAAGTGCTATATGTATTCCTACATTTATGGACCGTAACCTCTTGCAAACTGAATGTATTAAAGTTTACATTTATTATTTTTGTACCAACATCATTTTGTCAAACCCAGTCTCTAATCTGCATTGCTATGGCCTACAGCTGAAACAAATCAACTAGAGCCAACGTTGTGCTCTACATCTGCAAAGTCCTGGTTATTCAGAATTAATGCTAAACTTTTTACTGCATTAGTTTACAGGAGCTTTACTTGTAAAAAATAAATAAATTTTTACTTTCCTAGACTTTATGTATGAACATTTCAGCTGTTTTCAAACAGAAAGTGCTTTTGCATCTAGCTATTTTTGTGATCACTATCAAGCCATGTAGTTAAAATACTTGAAATCGTTAAAGTAAAAATGTGCATAAACAAATTATGCCTCTACCTAAACTCAAATTAACTCACCATTAAAGCTGAGTAAGTATATGGGTAATGGTAAGCAAAGTAACAAACATCATCCTTATGCTGGAAACTGACAGTGAAGGTAATTGTGTAGTAGGATTTTCCCTTCTGGCCACCGGATGCAATGGAACTTCTTGAAAAGTGATTCCTAGAAACAACATGTTAGAATTAGCTTAAAGATGCAGTGCATGCTACAATTTATGGTAAATAATCTGCAGAGATGCATCACACACTCAAGTATTACCTTTAGTACAAATTAACAAAGGTTGAAATTTGAATTCTCCTTTTATTAGTTTTTATTTTTAAATTTTTATTGGAATTTTATTTATAACATAACACAAACCCCCCACCCCCCAATACACAAATCCACCCTTATTAAACGTGAACATAACATACAGTGAGTATAAACTGTTTCCTTTATGAATAATTATTAAGATTTTTCTAATTATAACTTAAATATCCACAAAGTCTCCTGCAGAGAATAACCGAAACAAGTCCAGGTATGTATTTTAGGGCACTGTTTTGTGTAGTATTCTCTGCATTTCCCCCATGCTTTTTGAAACTCTTGTCTAGTGTGATCTCTAACTGCCTCTGTTAATCTAGCCAGTTCAATATACTCTAACATTATTAGTTTTTAAAACAGTGTTAATTACTAATATAGTTAAGTTAGTTTTTCAGCCCATTTAATTCAATGTTTTATTTCCTCCATTTACAGTTATACTTACTTGTAGTAACAAATATCAGTTCCTACACGAGTCCACCAGGGTCTGCCATTTAGTGCATCTTGAACAGAGTACATAAGGGGCTGCATACCTTCAAGCAAGATATATTACGTGATTCAACATGGTTGCATGTATTCAGTGAAGAAATATACCCGTCTAGAGCAAAGGTCAGCAACCTTTTTCAGCAGGGGGCCGGTCCACTGTCCCTCAGACCTTGTGGGGGGCCAGACTATATTTTGGGGGGAAAAGAAAAAGAACGAATTCCTATGCCCCACAAATAACCCAGAGATGCATTTTAAATAAAAGGACACATTCTACTCATGTAAAAACACACTGATTCCTGGACCGTCTGCGGGCCGGATTTAGAAGGCGATTGGGCCGGATCCGGCCCCTGGGCCTTAGTTTGCCTACCCATGGCTTAGAGAGCATAGAGTTAAAGGAAAACTTAACTTTTTAATCAAGGAAAACACCATCTAATATATTAAAAAGTTATCATTCTGCATTCTGAATATGCCAAGATAAATAATCAACTAATTTTGAGTGTCATTTTGATTGCTGAGAGTTGATAAAACTACGTAACAATCTAACCCTTCAAAATATATATTTCTTTATCACTAGGAGGGAAAGCACTGTGAAGGTTTTGTACAACTGAATAAATCCACATTCTTCCTAGGCACTTCTTTTGAATAAGAGAAGAAAAACAGGTCTTACCATAATTAAACTGACTATTCGTTTTTTCACAGTTGATTATATTAAATCGGTAGGCAACACCTGCTCGCATTCCGCTGGCTTCGAAGTAAAACCACTGGTGATAATGATTGCTGTTTATGTCAGAGTTCAGAATGAGATCATACTCATTTCTAAAGATGAACAGAAACAAGTCTTAAAATGAAGAACAGCTTCAAAATTAAAAACGAAGTAAAACAAATGACAACATCTTACTTTCTGATCTGAATAACTTTGCGTAAATTTCCCGATTCAAATTTGGAGTTAAATTTCAGGACGTCTCCTTCATCTGGCACTGGACAGCTTAAAGAAATAAAATCACAGGGAAAGGAAAGTTATATATATATATTTATCGTTCCAATTTTATACTATACTATAAACATGGCTGGGTGCATATAATGAAAAGGGCGATGGAAAATAAATAATAACAGTTCCTCCTTACGATGGCTACAAATATCACTTTTAGTTATATGACTTTAATTATTTAGGGATTCATATTCCTGGTTTCTTTTGAATCTGATTCAACCAATAAGGCAGAGCCTACAGGAGTTTTGATGTTGCTCATCAGTAGGATTATTCTAGGGTAAAGAACATCAACACAACTGAAGTATCTATGTAATGCTCAGTTGTCATAGAGCAGTCTTTCCCAGCCTGGTGCCTTCCAGATGTTTTGGACTACAACTCCCATCAGCCCCAGGCAGTATATGTCTGTGTTGACATGGCCACATGGAAGTTGTAGTCCAAAACATCTGAGACTGGGAATGACTGCCATACATTTTACTTTCCCCCAACATTTCTGGTCTTCCTACACAATAGGGTAGCACAACCCACCATGATGTCTGTTCACCAGAGAATAACATCTCTCCAATCTTATTCTCACTGAATTTACAAAGAGTTTTGCAAAAACCTCAAGCAGATACCGTATTTTTCGCTCTATAGGGCACACCGGACCATAGAGGGCACCTAGGGGTTTTTTTTGGGGGGGGGGAATAAAGAAAAAAAATTATCCCCCCCCCCAAGAGCAAAGAAGCCAAGACAGCCAGCGGGATTCCTCTTTAGCCACGCACAACCTCTCCAGCCGGGAGAGGCTGGGCGCGGCTTTGGCAGAAGCCAAGACAGCAAGCGGGATGGATCCCGCTCGCTGTCTTGGCTTCCTTTTTAGCCGCGGGGCTGGGGCGGGGGAAGCCCGAGCTTCCCCCGACCCCAGCCCCCAGAATGGGTCCGGGAGTGGGGGCGAGGTTGCACGCAACCTCGTCTTCGCTCCCGGAGCTTGCTGCTATCCACAAGCCCCGCCGGGCTCCCAAGGCTTGTGGATATTTGCCTGACGCCCGGGGTGCGCAGCGCTGCGCTCCCCGGGCTCCGGGCTGCAGGCTGCTATCCACAAGCCTTCGGAGCCCGGCAGGCACTCCTGCCACGCTCCGAAGGCTTGCAGATAGCTTCCTGAAGCCTGGAGAGCGAGAGGGGTCAGTGCGCACCGACCTCTCTCGCTCTCCAGGCTTCTGCGAAAGCCTGCATTCGCTCCATAGGACACAGACACATTTCCCCTTCATTTTTGGAGGGGAAAAAGTGTGTCCTATAGAGGGAAAAATACGGTACCTGCTATTTGAAGAAATAAAATATCCAATTAACTCAGGGATTTACTTAAACCCAACGAAAATGTTTAAGAAGATGTTTAAATATTAGAGTAATCTTTGTTTCTCTTGGAGTGACTTCCAGTGGAGTCAACCCGCTGATGCAATGTACCTCTGCTCACACAGATGTTGGGGACCTCTGCAGCAGACTGCAGGAGGGGACGTGCATAGCTATGGAGGGGAGGGAGCGCAAAGGGAAATCCTATCACATCCATTCATGTGACGCTGGAATCACCCATAAGATTTCTTTAAAAAGTTTCTTAACTTGACAAAAAATAATGGAGTAACACATTCCATATAAACAAGAATATGGGAATATTTGGTATAATGTGTATCTATCTAAACATGCCGTTAAATCGGCACACGTTAAGTTATTTAATTGCTTCAGTTTGCTACTCTACTGGCTAAAAGTGGTGTTTTTCAAGTTTCCAAGGTGGAATAACTTGGAAGCTTTTATGGAGTTTGTCAAAGAGAAGACTAGTAAGAGGTAGAGAAAGCACACTTTTAGAAGTTTGCTCACTAATGCCAATCTTGACCTGCAGTGTGCATTCATAGGCCGGTGTTAGGGAAGTATTTTCAATTCATATTTCATGGACCAATGGTATTCCCAGAATACTCTGCAACACACAAGTGTTTTATTGCAGGCATAGAGAGGTTCCTCAGAAGATAAGGAAGCACATACAGTCATACCTCAGGATAAATACGCTTCAGGTTGAGCGCTTTCAGATTGCACTCCGCGGCGACCCGGAACTAACGGAGCGCGTTACTTCCGGGTTTCGCCGCATGCGCAGAAGGTCAAAATGACATCACGTGCATGCGCGGAAGTGGCAAAATGCGACCCGCGCATGCGCCGTCACATCTTACATTCTGTTCGGGATGCAAACGGGGCTCTGGAATGGATCCCATTCACATCCCGAGGTACCACTGTAATGGGTTACATGAAGCTACAAAATTTGAAACCACTTGAAGTAAATATAATAGTAAATCAAATCAACCTATTTTACCAATTAATAAAATGAGTTTTAGGTTCTTTTAATTGTTGTTTAAATACAAACAATTACAACTGATATTTTAAGCTATAACTGCATCTCATCTGAGCAGGAATTAACTCCCAGAACTTTTACAACTATATGAATAGTTTAGGAAAGCAACTGGCTACCATTAACCTCATTTTCGCATCAGCTGCATTTTCTTACTTATTTTCTGTATGTATAAATTAATTTAAAACGAAAGGAAAACCAGACCAAAAGAGAAAGTTAAAACAGGAACTTTACCTGTGAAACCTACCTGGGATTATCAAGGTCATACACAACTCTGTCTATGATATCATTAGGATGAATCAGCCTTTCAATATCTTGGGCAATTTTTGTCCTATAAAATAGAGAGAGCCCTTAGCTCATGTTTCACAACGAGAAAGGTACAACGCCAGTTATTAAAAATACATCATCAGGTAAGGAAAGACCATCAGATGAGGTATCTAATTTTGCATAGAATGTGATTATCTATCTGGGGGACACATCCCAATTATTTTCCTTATGGAGAGAATCAACCTGTACAGAAGACATCAAAGATTCAAGATCAAATGTTGGATTCCTTTTCCTTCCAAAGTGCATAATATCAGATATCAATTATCATATCAATTAGTATTATTAGTTAAAACTAATTAAGCTTTGAGAACAATTAAGTTATATTAGCAATTCATGCAATTACAGCTGAAGTAAATAAAGTTTCAAAGAGTACTGTGCAGTGATTGGGTTAGTGTGCGAGCTTCTCACCTACGAAAACCTCCGCTTAAACATGAGGTTATAAATAAAAAGTACACTTAATGCAAGATTAACCATGTGACACAACTATCATTTCTGCGAAAATAATTCTGTGCTCCCACTCTGTGGAGCATTATATCTGGTGCTTTTATTCTGCCATGTATAGATGCTGTAAGAACTCTTGAACCAGATGTACAAGCATGTCCGTAACCATGTGCACAGGAGACACAAAATTCCCTACACAAATGTGTTGTCTATGTCAGAAAGAAATCTTCTTATGCCTCATGGCACAGAAAGCCTATGCAGTTGGAAATACCTGCTCAGAAAAGTTGAACACCCTGGAAAGTAGCTTTATTCAATAGCTAAATAGTAAAGAGTGAAAAGCACGTACAATAATAAAAACAAAGAGGTAGATTTTGACATTGAAAAATATTTCTCAATTGCCATTCTGTGTCTGAAAATATTTCCCGACTGGCCTTGATATGGGATGTAGAAATTGTGCCAGAACAGAATGGAGTTATTGTGTGGTAAGCTGACAGTGTGAACAAAATGAAAACCTACTGTAAACTATCATTCAGAAGACATATTAAGCACAGGCACCAAAATATAGAAATGAGTAGCTAAACTAATAACTAACATCTAATTCACAGCTTCCCTCTTCTACTCTTTGTCAAAAGTAATGTTTATACAATTTCAAGAAATTAAGTTTAGAATTGTTAGCAAGTAAAACCTAGACACACTTGCCACAATTTAGTTTTTTTAATGTCACCATTAAGGACCCATCTGGCTACTGACATTTTTTAAAGATCCATTGCTACGGAAATTAGTCTTATTTTCTCCATCAAGGCTAACTAGGCTCATGCAAACTTGTTTCTTAAGACAAGCCTGTAATTCAGGATTACAGGAATAATATAATGCAATAATAATGTATAATATAATGTAATATATAATATGATGTTTGGAATTATTCTGGAAATAATGTTTTGTTTGATTCAGTTCTTATATATTAAAATTATCTTAGAATATTTCTTCCATTACAACTAAACAAAATCACTGACATAGATATTCTAAGTTTGCTTCCCTGTTTATTTTATTATGCCTTAATATTTTCTGCATATTGGTAAGTGGCCCAGCTCACACATAACGCTAAGTCAAGGTTTGTTTAGCCAAAGTGTAATTTATTTGAATGTCTGAACCCAGCTTAGCAGACTAACCATGGTTTATTTTCCGGCAACAAACCACAATGTGAAACCATGGGTGGTGACTGGCTTATGAAGTACTGTTTGCTTTAACTATGGCTTGGCACTATGTCTGAACACAACAGCTATGGTCTGTTTGGCAACTTCACCTCAGGTACATTCCAGGTTACAAAGGTAGATGGCAAGAGCAACTTTGTGTTTGTGTTTGTGTGTGTGTGTGTGTGTGTGTGTGTGGTTTTTTGTTTTTTAAAAAACCTTAATTTGTTTGCTTCTCTGCAAGATGGCCCTTGGCTTGTTGAACAAACCATAGTTCAGCATTCTGTAAACACAGTCATTATATTAAAATCGTTTCAGAAGGAAAGTAGGAAAAAACACATCTTTTAATGGAATAGTTTTGCACATGCTTTCAAAGTCTACTTGTGACGCTAGTCAATTCAATTTTTTTTGAAATTATCTTACCTATTTTTTCTCAATACCAGAGGACAACATTATCTGATTTGAGGTATTGCCAAGACCTGAAAAATAGTATTAAGCTAGACACTGAATATCTCTCAGTGGTCAAGTTGTAATTACACTTATTTATTATTTTGGAACTTTGATTCTTTAGAGCCATGACTAACTAACAACAGAAGCGTCAACACTTCTATTACACCTTTGAATCTTTCACTCACTGACCGTACAGTGCAAGGAAACCAAATCTTTAACTATGAATGTTGCTACATTTATCTGTAACTCGCACAATGTTAACATGAAATTCTCTGAATGTGGTGGTGGAGTCTTAGTTGTCACTGCATTTGTAACTGCACAAGACATATGCAACAAGAAGGAGTAATGCTGAACCAAAACTGAGGCGCAGAGGGCATCTCCATCGCATTTTCTAGCTCTGGTCCTTCCGGTAGCAAATGAAACCTGATCTAATTTGTAAGGCAAACACTTCCTTTCAGGTAATAATCTAAGGTACAGTCCACCTTCACAATAATGTAATCCTTGTTGTAGTCAAATTCTAACCTTAAACACAGAACCAAGAATGACAGCACAAAAATGTTTAAAGATGAGGACATCAGAACATTTGCATCTGGTGCCCTATGAACAAATGAAAGCAGGGTCTTAAGGTTCTCCAAAGTCTTTCTGAGTGTTTTGTCAACAAATGACCAGCATCAGTCGCTCTACTTATCTGCACAGCATGCTGGGACTCTGGAATGACTGTAGATTCTACGTAGCACCACACCACAAGCTTTAGTAGCAATTCACACTGTGTATTAGAGCAACCCCATGTGTTTTTGACATTATGGAAAAGAAAAGGAAGATTTTGAAAGAGAAGAGAGAAACCAAGATCATTTTTTTTAAAAAATGGATTTTCTGCCCTATCAATTTGGAATAAGGTTCAAGGAAACTGCACACACCCATTCACTGCCAACTATTGCCAAAAAGGAGTTCAAGAGACCCCGATGTTATGAAGGAGAAATATCCAATATTTCTTTCACATACATCAGAGTTCGCATGTGACTGCCAGCCATTCTCTTCTTCCTTGTGGAAGAAAGGGAATAAAGTTTGAGATTATGAAACACCTGTGAAGTCCAACTCCTTTTTTCCCCTTTTTTACAACAACAGATCTTAGCATTAACATCGTACTTTAGCATGTTCAAGGCAATTTATATACATTAACCCAGTAAGCTATACCACCTCCCTGTGAAACAGGTTGTTGTTATAATCAAACACTGCAAGTAAGGAAACTGAAGTAAACTAACAGATTACTGAGGTTCATGGCAGAATGAGAGCTAGACAAGGGGCTTCCCAGCTCAGCTCAGTTTGCTACTGCACCACATCAATCTCCTGCTTTGTATATATACTTCAGAATATTTATTTCAAGTTCTCAGTGGGCTTCATTATTGTTAAGGGGGGAGGGAGCTTATGAGAAAACAAAATTCTGTGTTCAAAAAACATTCTCCCGTATTAGCTAAGAGCAATAGTCACAAAGGGAGTTCCCACTCATGGAACAGGGTGTTATCAGTTCTTTACTTCCTCTGTAGCCCTTCTAAATCCCCAAAGTCAGTTTCAGGGAGGTTCGCAAGAATTGTGGGGGATATAGGGGAAAATGGCCACCTCCGCACTGGCTCAAAGTCTCTTCCATTCATAAAAAAAATCCTCTGCATTAAACCCAACAATATTTTATTTAATTTTACTGTTCACAGTACAGTCATACCTTGTGTTAAATATGCTTCAGGCTGAACGTTTTCAGGTTGCGTTCCACGGCGACCCGGAAGTAACGGAATGGGTTACTTCCGGGTTTCGCCGCTCACGCATGCGCAGATGCTCAAAACGACGTCAAGCGCATGTGCAGAAGCAGCGAATCGTGACACATGCAGATGTGGGTTGCGTTCTGCTCAGGATGCGAACGGGGCTCTGGAACGGATCCCATTCGCATCCTGAGGTACCACTGTAAATCGTAGCTTTAGATAATCCTTGAAACATGTTAAGAGAAATTGGAAACTCACCTCTGCACACCGTAAGGCCTTTCAAGAATAGGCTCTTTAAATGGAGGTGGAAAGTGTCCGAAATAATCAGGATAAGCCACTTCTGAATATTCAGGAACAGACTTCGTATTTTTCACTACCTCAATATAAAGTTCTGGGTCGTGGAGTTGTAGCTTATCAGGCGCTTCAAGCATCACTTGCTCCCCCAGAGAAATGGAACAGGAAATTTCCTCCTCTTCAGGCTCTGCTCCAGAGCAGCACAGCTTTCCCAGCCGGACAGACCGTCCTTCAAACAACACACTTCCGCAGGATGAAGCGTGTTGAAAAGGTTTATTACAGGCAACTTCACTGAGGCTAGTTTTACACTCTTTTTTGGTCATGGCCCTTGTACTATAAGAGTGCTCATTTTTGGAAGCATTTTGCAACGAAATTCTGTCAAAGTCTCTAACTATTTCATGGTTTAGGCACTGGCATGATGAGAACAATTTCTTGCGATCGCTTTGATTCTGTAAGCTATTGTCCGTGTTGCTATCACGGTTTACCAGACCCAAAAAGATGGGTCTTTTGTTACAGTCCTCTGTTTGTAGAGGAGGACCCTCCTTCACGGGAATTTCTGTTGCAGGGTTTGCTGGAGATGGCTCCTCTCCAGCAGTAGGGACAACAATAGGCCCTCCTAGGGTTACATTGGGTGAAAAAGGCTTTGGTTCCTTGGAAACTAAGTCACACTCCTTAACATTAAGGAGAGAAAGGAAAAAGAGAAGGGAAAATCATTATTTAGACACTTGATTTAACAATGCATAAATAACACCAAAACTCCTGCCCAGAGACCTTACAGTCTTAAGTTTTCAAAAGTGGAAGAATGAATCAGAAGGGAGAAACTTCCAGGCAACAGCAGCAGAATATCTAGAAGCAGAATACCTAGAAGCGAAATAAAAAAGGAGGCGCCAAATGCAGGTGAACTTGTTTGCAAGAACAAGCAGAATGTGAAAAAAATGAGGATAGAGATGTATTTCTAAAGAGCTTACACATTAATGCAGAAATGGAAAAGCATAAGGAACAATTTAGCAATATGTACAAATAGCAAATATCTTATCCTACTTAGCATTTCTGAGAAGGAAAAGAGTAGATCCTGACAACAGGCTACATTCAGGGAAAGAGAAGACGCAGTAGGGCAGAATATCTCTGAGTCTGACAGCAAAGGGTATGTTGGACTTTGGCAGGACATGAAGAGCCCCACCATTGGCAAGATCAGTTTGTTATCTTTAGATTTAAAAATTCACTCAGGAGCCGCTTCCAGTAAGATGTGAAATAGGACAGGGGATGAAAAAGAAGTGGAGAGAAAAAGAAAGAGTCAGCAATATAAAGGTTGCTTGGTGAAGCCATAGAAACAAAACGGAAAAATAAGGTCAAAAGACCGTTAAAGTAGGGGAAATCATCAGAAAGGGACAGCACTCAGAAAGACATCGAGAGAACCAGGAAGAAAAAGTGTCACAGAAACCAAAGACACAATTAACAAATTAACAAAAGCAGCAGATAGCTGAAGGAGGAGTGCTGAGAAGAAACAATTAGCTGGAAAAGGGTTATTACAAATCTTGGTTACAGTGCATTCCATTAAGTGAAGGCCATTCATTCAAGGAGTCACGTAGGGAAGATGAAAGGGTAGCAGCAAAAGAAAAAGGGAGGTCTAATTAGGTGTTTTTCTTTCAACAACCCTGAAATCAGATGAGTAGAAAGTGAGCAATGTTATGAAGAAAAAGGAGGGGTATGCTAAGGAAGTGTCAAAAGAGCATTCTAACAGCTTATGGGAAAGGCAGATGCTGTTCCCTCCAGATGTTTCTGACTCCAGCTCCCAGCATCCCTGACCATTGGCCCTGCTACGTGGGGCTGATGGGGAGTTGGAGTCAATCAAGATCTGGAGGGCATCACACTGACTATCCCTGCCTTAAGATCTCCACTTTAACTTACAGAAATGTGCAGGTTTATTTACAGGTGGCAACCAATTCATGTGGGGGTTCTGTTCCCGGCCCCTGTGAGCATCGGTGGAGTGTGAATAAACACACCCCGTCCTGCCTTCTTCTGGGTGCCAAAGGACCTGCATGTCAGCAACATTGCATCAACTGGACACACCTAAAATGGTTTCTGCTTGTACTTACTGTGGCAATTCATTTTCTTTCTCCAGTTCAGTTGTTTGAATAGCAACTCTGCAAGCTTTGAATGCTCATTTGTATTTCAATAGAAGTAGCAGCCAAATAAAACGCATCTTAGCAAGACTCCTAAACTATGCTTTTATTATTATTATTATTTAAAGATATCAATGTCTGTACCTGAAAGTCCTCTATAAGTTCTGGGAAGAACTGTTCATACATTTTCAGATCTTCCACTGATCGCCCCAATTCCTGCTTTGGTTTTAGTTTGTTGATATCAGTCTCTATGTCATCATTCTGTTGGGGAGGAAGTGAACTTGCATTATTAAAAGATTTGTGGGATACACGATACAATTTCCAGTTTAAGGTTACTGAGAATGTCTAGTATTATCTTCATACTGCAAATAAGGTTCTTTTGCACCTCAAGAGAAAATACACAAAAGCTCTTACTGACTGACGAGCTGATACTGGAATGGATCCCCAAAGAAGGAATCTTCCTCCGTTCAACCCATTGAAATGATTTTACAACAAGATGCTAACATACTGGTTAATGCCCTGATTTGTTGGAAGTGTTGTGATGTATTGTGAGGAAAAATATACACAGATAATGATCAAATGAAGAGAAGAGAAGCTTCCTTTGTCACACAGCATGGGGATGGTTGGAGACGGGGGGCTAATATGCACAATGATGTTGGGTTGTGGCTTCCATGTATATATCACTAACCCCCATCCACACATTGAGAGTTCAGACAAATGGCTCAACACGCATTTTCAAAATGCTTTGCTTGAAACAAGACAATGCAACACCTGTCCCTTCCCCGACTGTTTTTACAATTAATTCACAAGCAAATTTATGATTTGGAAAACACGATGCACGCACAAGCAATTTTTCTAATGAAAAGCTAATGAAAGCTAATGAAAATAATTGCGCAATATCTGAGTAGTATGCCCTCAGTTCCACTAACCTTAAAATCTATATCATCTTCATTATCATTTTCAATCTCGGACTCTGTTTCGGCGTCATCATTGTCATCACTTTCATCTACTACGTCATCCACTGTGATATAAAATGCTCTATAAGTAGGGCAGATGTACGTTTTCTACAACATGTACATCCCAGAAAAGAAATGATGCATGTGAAACTTTTCACTCTCCAACTGAAACCTAATACTACTTATGAAGTTAAATGAGACCACATGCTGCATATGTAATTACACAGATTCTCAATGTTACAGAAACAAATCTGTTACACATAAGAGGACATGAACAATGTAAGGTAGAACAGAACAGCTAAGGCTATGCAAGCTATCGAAAGTTGTTCTCTGTATCATCCAGAGAGTAGAACGAAATCTGGTAGTTTTTGCCTTTCTGAGGCACTCTAGCATCCTTGAATAGGGCCACCTCAAGTAGAAGCCCAGGGAGTACAAAATAGAATGACGGCTTATGTAACTGTTCCTATACAGGATTATTTAAATATGAACAAATTCAGCAGTTTTAGAGCAAGGCCTTTTAAGGGTGGAATTACATTTATCTTGACAAAAGCATGCTCCAAAACCTGCATTGGTTGTGAGTCCTGGAAGACCTGCTCCCTGCCTTGCAGGCCTTTTCCCACCTGGCCTGGGAGGGAGGGGCCCTGACTGACTCCAGCTACAAAAGCTGAGTCTGCTAACCAGACTCTTGGGCTGGGTAATGCTTCGGGGAGTGTGTTGCGGGCGGTGGTTGTTGTTGTTACTTATTTATTTTTTGGGTATCTTTATGTTTAGTGAAAATTGTTCAATTTGGTTGTGTACGTTTTGATGTGTTTTATTTATTGTTTAGGACTGCATTTGTTATATTTGTAACTATGTAAATGTTTCTCATGTTATAAGCCACCTTGAACAGAGTTTTAACTAGGGAAAGGTGGCATACAAAGAAAATTATGTATGTGTGCATGAATGCATGCAATGCATATGCATATGCAGGAAAAGTTGTATTTGTGAGAAAAATAGCCAGTGGGCAGGAGAGGTGCTTAACCCATTCCATGCCCACCATTTCTACACTTGCATTCCACTCATACCCTCAGCTGTTTTTCCTACCCCACTGCTTACTTCTGGTTTTGAAATGAGTGGGGAGATCTATAAATCTGCCTGGGGGGCACTGAAAATGGCTTGATGGATTAAATATTAAGCACTTCCCTCCTCCCTCTCCTCTACAAGGGTTCCACTACCCCCTTATTTATTTTGCAAAAATCATGAATTTGAAAACCCTAAGGAGTTTAAAATTACCCTTCAGCCAAACCCTTTTCATTTTGTGCCTTGTACCCTCAGAGTAATATCTGGAGGATTTTTTAAAAAAACAAACTATAGAATACTAACAGAATTTACAAAATGTATTTTTTTGAGGGGGGGAATCTTCAAATTTAGCTTGTGGGGGTGGTCATTTGCAAAAAGTTTCAAATGCCTAACATCTCCAGCATCACCGTAATGGCCACTGGCAAAGGATCCGGCCACATACACAGTCTCCACAATGCTACCATTAGTAATTGACCTTCTAGATTCAGAGTCAGTAGCTTAAGTGTTGACACAGGAAAGTTGTGCAGCAAGCAACTATTATAGCTGTGGGTGAAAATATAGTTCTATAAAAACTACACCCACAAGTATCTCTCCCTCTGCTGTTGGTCTTGTGTTCAGACAGGCAACTCCCCATAGGTGAAGGGCAAAAAGCAGTGAGAACAGAACCAACAGCATGGAACTGGGTAAAGAAGTAGTATGGCTAAATTGGAGGAAGAGGCAGACAAGTAGTAATTGTTATGCCTGAATTATACAAGCCTGCATTCTTTTATTGTTGGCCTTCTTTGTCTCTGAAAGCATATGTCTTCAATTCATGAATGGCAGCCCAACTTTTTATTTTAGATACACTTCAAGAAGACCGTACACATGGCTGTACACTAGACCATACTCCCCAATGCACCCATCCATTGTCAACTTCAAACTTTAAGTGGATGAAGTGTGGAAGTACTTTCACTCCTGAGATACACAAGCAAATTATAATTTTAATGTTTTGAATGCTGGATTAATAAAATGAATTTAGGATATACAGCACACATTTTCAAACTCATTCTTTTGGATCTGTCAGGCTTATTATATATTCTAAAGACTTCAAAAGGCAATGAATTTTTTTGCAGAATTTATCTTTGTGTAATAGATCACTTTATTATTTTACTTAATGAAAATGAAAACTGAGGTGTCACATTTTGGTCTCCTATTTATGAGGCATAAATTTCAATAACCTAAATATATGAACTTTTCTTTAAAAAAACCAACAACATTCTGCATTTAACTGTACAGTATTAAGACTTCAAAAGTAGGCTGCTAGAACAACCAGATAATTGTAAGCTTCTGTGTCTATGTTTTTTCCTAAACCTCATAGGAAAGCAGATATACACAAGACCATGATGTTTCAAAATTAAGCATACCTTCAGGAGGCAAACTATACAGCTGATACACTGGACCATTAACAGGGATGACAGGTAGTTGGAAATGGAAAGCACTTTTAATGGTTGGCAGTGGAAGACGGTTTTTAGGATAACATTTTCTCATGATTAGACTGGATGTGTTGACCAGTGGATCAAGCGTCCTTACTGCAAGGCATTCCTAGTACAATAAACAAGCATTATAAAACAAAGCACTGCATGTCAAATAATTTCATTGTTTGTGCACTATCATTCTACTGTGGTAAACTGCTAGGAATAGGAATTCTTGAAGGAACTTCATTTTATGATGGAATATTTACCTTGATTACGTATTGTCATTATTAATATACACACACCTTCAAATGATCTAAGCCAGGCATGGCCAAACTTGGCACTCCAGATGTTTTGGGACTACAATTCCCATCATCCCTGACCACTGGTCCTGTTAGCTAGGGATGATGGGACTTGTAATCCCAAAACATCTGGAGGGCCAAGTTTAGCCATGCCTGATCTAAGCAGTTCACATAGACAATATACAGAATAAAAGACAGTTACAGATACAAATCACAAACTTCAGTATATAATAGAGTAAACTTAGAATGGAGATAAAATGCAGTCTAATCAAGGCCTGAGAAAAAAAGAAAGTTTTCAGTAAGTGTTGGAAAAAATATATAAACTTGGTGCCTGTGCAACACATACAGGGACAGAGCTCCAAAGAATAGGAACTACCAACCCAAATTTCAGTGACACATAACTGCTAACTGGAAACTGCTAACTGCCACATAACCGTGGGGCTTGGAGTTATCAGTAAAAATTGTAGCATAACTCTAGTGAAATGAACAACATTCATGAACTATTGCTCAAGTTCAAAGGCGCCATAGCCCAAGGAAGTTGGGAAAGAACAAGGTAAATCTCATGTCCTCCTGATACAAGGTAGAGATGCTGGAATCACCGAAGCAGAACTGTTAATGGAATTAAAATCAAAGTTCAAACAGCAAGGAAGTTTTTCCACTAGAGCATAACATCCCAAGTGGGATATTCAAGAATGACTGCAGTTTACCAACATACTGCAAAATGTTGCGAAAGACATATGTTCAGTCTTGGTTCAAATGCTTCTGCAAAAAGTCTATGACCAAATTCCTGATTACGTATGTTAACCAACTTCAAGTAGGTCAAGTACCCAATAATGTATACAATCCAATTTCAAGACAAATGGCCTTGCATAACTGTAAAAACTAGAACGTCATAATTCAGTTTGGAACAAATCAATAGCAGCACAGGTGTAGAATCTGCTCCCAAGAAGATTGAGGGAAGAACTGGCATAACATTCAGCAGATTTTTGCATTCCATTTTGCTGCTGCATTTGCAGTAGACAGAGGTGGCCTAGTTCAGCCTTAGCACCAAGAACACTGCAGACATTGATGCTATCATGCTGCTTTTAAGAACAGTCGTACCTTGGATCTCAAATGCCTTGGCTCCTGAACAAATCAGCTCCCAAAAGATCAAAACCTGGAAGTGAGTGTTCCGGTTTTCAAACATTCTTTTGGAAGCCGAACGTCCAATGGGGCAGCCAATCAGAAGCCACGCTTTGGTTTCCGAACGTTTTGGAAGTCAAATGGACTTCCAGAACGGATTCCGTTCGACTTCCAAGGTACGATACATTGAAATCAGTTTTTTGTCTCCAATTGGTTTAAATCTCCATCTGAGTCTCCCTCAAAAACTATCTGAACTTCCACACTAACCCTTTCTAAGATACAATTCTTTAAAAATAGCTTTTAAAGATTTTTTTTAGAGTACCTTCTCTATGCGTACTTCTTCCCTTTCTTAAAATCCACCACCACCCTTTTTTTGAGCATGATTCCTTGATAGTGATAATAAAGATCCATAGAGGACTAAACAGATTAATACAGAACAGGGATATCAATTGTTAAGAGATGAGGTGATTGGGTAATGAACTGTCAAGTACAGATTAATTTAAATTTATAATGTCAAAAGTAGTAGATGAGATTGAATGCATTCCCTGTGATGTATGATGATTTTTCAGTTGATGAAGAATAGCAATAATGCAACTTTTAAGATTATTCCCATGTACTGGGACATGCACACAGGCAACTTTGCATTATCATCTTAATGGTACATATAAATACACTTCACTGTGCATTCACAACAATATACGCTTTTTAAACACTTACTTGTGAAGTGTTGTACAGAATTTTCATCCCATTGACATCAATGAATGCTTTTCTTCCCAACTTGATGTTCGTAATGCTCTTTATAGACTGCAAGATGCCCTTGCGGATCAACATGTGTCTATGCCGACTATCATGGCGATGCCAGTCTACGTAAATTGTCAAGAGCATTTGGACATAGCCTCTGTCTACGGCTTTCCTTGCATTTGTTTCTTGGAGGGGGGAAAAATCAAGAGATCTCAAGAAACTATAAGCAGTTACAACATGCCAAAATGTACCAAAATATGTAAAAAAAAAATTTTTTTTTTAAAGGCTTTTAGGATAAAATACATTTAGAAATGCATACACTGAGATTATATTGTAATAAAATATGCACTTAAATATTTCCTCCCCATAATATGTTTTTAAAAAAATCTTTGCTAATTGCTGTGATTGCTGTGAAAACAGGATGGAATGGACATATGAACATATGCAAAATTGGCACATACAATAAATAGACTTATCTGCCCATACCAAGCTGTAGCCATGAACAGTTATTACATCAGTGTGGGGTACCTATCAGAGTATTAGACTTAGACTGGAGACACTTGAATCAAATTCCCATTTAGGTTATTAAACTCGCTGGGTCCATTTAACATTCTTTCATCCCAACTTAACTCTCAGTGTTGGAAAATTAAAATGGAAGGCCAGGGTGAATGTATACATTTCTGAACAAACTGGAGAAAGTTTAGGAAACAAACTGTAATTTTTAATAACCCTCAATCAATAAAAATAGATATTGGAAGCAATTCCAAATAGCATGATGAGTACTGCAAAACAGAGATTAATCCAAAGTGTGCCTAACAGATGTATGCATTTTCTAAATATTTTGTTCTATTCTCTCATCAGAACAGCTCACTGATATAATAATCACGGAATTGCTGAGTCTTTCAATACACAATACTGGCTACTAAGCTGCAATCCTTAAAATGTTTATTTTCAGTTTTACCTGTGTAAACACAGGGTGATTGCCAGCAAAACTTATTTTAATCTGCCCACATTCCGTATCTTCTGAAATATTAAGGCACACACTTACTTGATTTTAGCAATGCAGCAAGGGTGTCTAAAGCAACTCTGTGAATATAGATATAAACAAAAAACAGACAAACTATTAAATTTAGGTAACATTCCTGATCATGGATAAGCATCCTAACTCTGCATGTGACTGCAACCCTAAACATGATAAAGTGTTGAAAATGAGTTTTAATTTGTTTTATATTCCATAAGTTTCGTCTACCTGCAACAGCAAGTATCTTGGGGGTAGTGTGAGTTGAATGGCTAATATGCACAAGAACCGGGCACAGAGCCCATTTATACTCACCATGTTTTCCCAGCTGCCACGCCTCCCCTCCTTCCCCAGCCACTCTGGGCGGCTTCCATATAAATCAAAAATACACTAAAATATCACAGATTAAAAACTTCCCTGAACAGGGCTGCTTTAAGATGTCTTCTGAATGTCAGGTAGTTGTTTATCTCTTTGACATCTGATGGGAGGGCGTTCCACAGGGCAGGCGCCACTACCGAGAAGGCCCTCTGCCTGGTTCCCTGTAGCTTTGCTTCTCGCAATGAGGGAACCGCCAGAAGGCCCTCGGCGCTGGACCTCAGCGTCCGGGCAGAACGATGGGGGTGGAGACGCTCCTTCAGGTATACTGGGCTGAGGCCGTTTGGGGCTTTAAAGGTCAACACCAGCACTTTGAATTGTGCTCGGAAACGTACTGGGAGCCAATGTAAGTCTTTCAAGACCGGTGTTATGTGGTCTCGGCGGCCGCCCCCCAGTCACCAGTCTAGCTGCCGCATTCTGGATTAGTTGTAGTTTCCGGGTCACCTTCAAAGGTAGCCCCACGTAGAGCGCATTGCAGTAGTCCAAGCAGGAGATAACTAGAGCATGCACCACTCTGGCGAGACAGTCCGCGGGCAGGTAGGGTCTCAGCCTGCGTACCAGGTGGAGTTGGTAGACAGCTGCCCTGGATACAGAATTGACCTGCGCCTCCATGGACAGCTATGAGTCCATGGGATGACAGGGCAGAGGAGAGGAGGCCACAGACAGGATGGGGAGGGCCCAAGTCATATCCCACGCGTGGGCTAAAAGTTCTCTACCCGTTTTGAAAGAACTTAGGTCATCTCATGGAACTCAGTGGGCCTTAATTCCAAATACATGTGCAAATGATCAGGCTGCATGTCTTTTGGGTACGTAATTAAGAATTCAGATGTTAAAAATAGATTGTCTGGTGCATTTATGTTATCATCAATTCATTCTTCCTTAGTTCTGTGAATGTATCAGGTGCTGGTTCTGCTAGAAGGAGCTTGTGGGGGGAGAAAACCCAAACCCCTGTAAGGCTCACAGAACAAGTCACATGGTTCTCTGGATTGTGGCCTATGAAAGCAGTAGATAGGCTACTTCAGTATATTAAGTCTCAAGGACAAATACTTGAAAACAGATGAATCGATTCAATTGTTTTCCAAGACTCGTTTAGCATAATTACTTCAATTGACCCATACAAATCACATTCTCCTCCCCACCACAACAACTGCTTGGTTTTATTTATCTACTGTTTGTACTTGCAATCCACTCTTCACCAAATGACCCCAGGGTGGGTTACAAAAAGTATCACAATTAAATCAGGTGCAATTTACATTCAAGTTGTAAACGAACAAATGTCAAAGTTAACAAAACAGCAGCACAAAACAGCAATGCAGTATTAAAATAAATACGGTCCACAATATTAAATATATATATTCAGATTTTCTACTCACTTCATAAGACTGGTGTTCTTTTTGCTAAAAGGACCAATTATCTTAAATATCAATTCCACGAGTCCATTCCTGCCCAAGGATACAGCATTTACAGCTGAAATTTTATTAAAAAAAAGTTACACCAAAGTGCAAAGTTATAGATATAAATGCTTACACTTGAAGCAAGGCAAATATAACCAATGCAAATACAACCAAAACACCATATTACCTATTTATATTTCAGTAACTTAGCATAAAAATCCCAAAACTAAGCACTCAACTTGAAATTCTGTATGTGCATGTCTAGTGAAGTTCCAGGATATCTAAATGCTACTTATATGTATAAACTCTAATGCTGAACTTTACGGCTGGCAAAATCTTTTTCCCTCTACCCACTAAAACTGCTAGATCTACATACCTACTCAGCAACATTCCATGCTCAGGAGTTAGAAAGCCAACATACAGATTTTTATAAGAAAAGAGAAAAGCTTTCAGCACTAATGTAAATGGGAGATGAAGGTCCTTTGATCTTTCATATTAAACATCTTTGAAAACTGAGATACACTGAGAGAAGAATGTCACAGTACTTACAATTAGTTGAGTAGACTCGTAAAACTTGGAGACAAGGTAATATTAACCTTTGATTCTGCAAGTTCTGTTTCACTAGGTTAAGAGTTATATTTAAAGCACCATTAACTCTGGCTTTTACTCCAAATTTTTTATCTGGAAATTCAAAAGGAACAGCAGCAATATTAGAACCCATGCAAACTATAATTTGGGGTGGGGGGTTAGCTGGCCACAGCTTTTTAGATTAAAAAACGGCAGTACTTATTTTCTTATTTATAAAATTTCCTGCCTTACCACATAAGATCCAGGGTAGGTTACAATGACCTTAGTAAAGACATGCATCTTCAGCACATAGCAGAAGCTGAATAATGATGGTGGTAGACACACCTCAGTGGAGAGGGAGGGTCCACAATTTAGGGTCTACTACAGAGATAGATCTCTCCTCGGCAACCATTCCCTGCAATTTTTGGGGTGGTGGAACTATTACAGGAGCCCCATCAGGGGCTCATCTTTCAGATATTTGGGTTTCTAAGTTATACAGGGCTTTAAACATTGATGTGAACGACTGAACTGAACCGAGAAACAAACTGGTAACCAAAACAAGGAGACTGCAGTGACAAAACCCACAAATCACACGGCACAGGACAATGAATTACCCACAGAAGGTGGAAGAGAAGTTCATGTTAGTATCTGAACAATATTCACTTGATTTGTTTCCCTTCCAGCCCCGTGCATGGGTTGATCTCAGTAACATAGTTTGGTACCAAGAAGGCCCTACATAGGGCTATTGCTCAGTAGAACAGCCCAAGCTAAGCAGAGGCCCAAGATTCAATTCCTGGCCATGGACTTTTTGGGAAAAGAGACCTGCACAACCTACAGCCAATCTGTGCAAATGATGCAAGAACCAATTTACTAATTCAGGTGCCTCAAGTGGCCCCCAGTTTAGCTATAGCTTGCCGAAACTGTTCCCCATATGAATTTGAAAGCCTCCTTCATAGCCATGTGGTTAAATTAGAGTACCTTCAGTTTATTTTCCCACCTCTATCCATTTCCCCACTTCCACTACACAATCTCGCTGCATATAAACGGTATCACACCTGCAATAGCCACTGGAAGGAGAGTGAGATGTTGGTGCCTCCCCACTCAGATCTACCATTGTTCTTCCAATAGTAGGGTGCAGTTTTGTGGGGAGAGAACTAGGCCCAGTTTGCATTGTGTGTCCAATCCTGAACACAATCAAAGTGAAAAACAAGGGGCTTGTGGGAATGTCATTATCTGCTAATCCTTAATAGAACAGACTTGCAGAAGAAGCAGTCACGGCTTTTAATGAACAGTGCCAGTAGCAGACTGAGTTCTTTTTTTGCAGGGGTTCTGAGCCTGGGAAAGCCACACGACGGCAGCTCCACAAAGACAACATATGCAAGAGGATTTTAGTTAGGTTTGACTTACCTTTTGGGCCAATTTTTGCAAGAAGAGAATGAAGGAGCACCATTAATTCTTCATTTGGAGGGGATTCTTTGCTGACATTCACAAGCAATTGCAGTAAAATCTGTGTCCCTCCTCTAGAAACAAGAACACTTGTTCTTCTGCTACTGCCTAGAAATAGAACATGAGCCATTAGCAGCAATGCTAAGGTATTCAGATTTTACTACCAACTCTTAAAGGTAAAGGGACCCCTGACCATTAGGTCCAGTCGTGACCGACTCTGGGGTTGTGCCACTCATCTCGCTTTATTGGCCAAGGGAGCTGGCGTACAGCTTCCGGGTCATGTGGCCAGCATGACTAAGCTGCTTCTGGAGAACCAGAGCAGCACACGGAAACGCCGTTTACCTTCCCACCAGAGCAGTACCTATTTATCTATTTGCACTTTGACGTGCTTCGAACGGCTAGGTTGGCAGGAGCTGGGACCGAGCAACGGGAGCTCACCCTGTTGCGGGGATTCGAACTGCCGACCTTCTGATCAGCAAGTCCTAGGCTCTGTGGTTTAACCCACAGCACCACCTGCATCCCTTCTAACAACTCTTACTTTTTAATAATATAGTCACAAGTATAAGGTTACATGTATAAGGCCGGTCATATATAAAAGGCCAGATGAAGTATTTATTCTCTTTATGGCAGAAAACCTTAGTTATGTAAGTGTTTCTAAACTATCTAAGACTATAACAATTCACATTTATTAGATAAAAGACACTACAATCCTAGACAGATGTTACAAATTTGCAATTTAATATAAAAACACACCTGCTGCCACCAGTTCATTTAGGATGTTCAAGATATTTAGTGTAGTCTGAAGATCTCGGGTATTCTGAAATGAACAGAATATTTCATACTTATCATATTATACCTGTCATAATACATATCTACAAACACTTTCTGATGGCAGAAATTTGAGGAGGAATTAAAGAACCTCTTAATGAGGGTGAAAGAGAGCGCAAAATATGGTCTGAAGCTCAACGTCAAAAAAACTAAGATCATGGCCACTGGTCCCATCACCTCCTTCCAAATAGAAGGTGAACAAATGGAGGCAGTGAGAGATTTTACTTTCTTGGGCTCCATGATCACTGCAGATGGTGACAGCAGCCACAAAATTAAAAGACGCCTGCTTCTTGGGAGAAAAGCGATGACAAACCTAGACAGCATCTTAAAAAGCAGAGACATCACCTTGCTGAGAAAGGTACGTATAGTTAAAGCTATGATTTTCTCAGTAGTGATGTATGGAAGTGAGAGCTGGACCATAAAGAAGGCTGATCACTGAAGAATTGATGCTTTTGCATTATGGTGCTGGAGGAGACTCTTGAGAGTCCCATGGACTGCAAGAAGATCAAACCTATCCATTCTTAAGGAAATCAGCCCTGAGTGCTCACTAGAAGGACAGATCGTGAAGCTGAGGCTCCAAAACTTTGGCCACCTCACGAGAAGAGAAGACTCCCTGGAAAAGACCCTGATGTTGGGAAAGATTGAGGGCACAAGGAGAAGGGGACGACAGAGGACGAGGTGGTTGGACAGTGTTCTCACAGCTACCAACACGAGTTTGACCAAACTGCGGGAGGCAGCAGAAGACAGGAGTGCCTGGCGTGCTCTGGTCCATGGGGTCACGAAGAGTCGGACACGACTTAACGACTTAACGACTAAACAACAACAAATATGCAAACACGTATTCTTAAAGCACTGGGATGGGGATCCTGGTGCCCTCACAATGTTGTTGGGATTCACAACTCCCATCTGTCCCACCACTGTGGTCAATGGTCAGGCATTATGGCAGCTAAAGTCTAACAACATCTGGAGGGCCACACATTCCCTTGCCTTGACTTAAAGCTTTAAAAAGTACTAAAATTCCAGAATCAGGACCATAAATATAAATACAGTAATATTTTAGATCAGGCATAGGCAAACTCTGGCCCTCCAGATGTTTGGGACTACAATTCCCATCATCCTTTACCACTGGTCCTGTTAGCTATGGATGATGGGAACTGTAGTCCCAAACATCTAGAGGGCCGAAGTTTGCCTATGCCTGTTTTAGATATAAAAAATGACAGCTCTATCTCTGACATCAATGCTCTACGCTAGGTTTTCAAATCACATCTTAACAGTGGCACTGGACAATTAACCAAAACTATCAATTCTTTTAAATGCCATTACTTTGGGACACCATTAACTTTGTGTTAAGTTTTGAATCCTTCATTTAAAAAGAAGTTGCTATAGCTAAAATCTCTAACATCTGCTTTAAAGGAAAGTAACAAACTTCTTACTTTATCCCAAACATGAAAATCCAGTGAACAGAGTGACTACTCTGACTGAGAAGCAAACTTTAGAAATTGAAACTGTGCAAGAAACTTAAGTCATACCGACACACTATTTTACCATAAATTAGTTTTTAAAACAAAAATAGTACCTCTAAAGTTGATAGAATAACTTCTATTCCAGTTGAACCTTTTGCAGTCATTTCCTTCCTGATTTTTTCTGAAAGTTAAATACATGTGAGCACTTGATAAACCAGGAAATTAATTTCAAATGTGGGCAACCAGATAGTAGCTGCTGAAAAGCATAAAGTTCAATAGTAAAAAATGTTTTTAATCCCCAATGGTGATTACTTTAATTAATAAATAACAATCTACATTGCAAAAATACTAGATGCTTGAAATTATTTCTTTTAACAATGTAATAATTCCTACCTATCTGCATCAACAGAAATTAAAGTAAAAGAAGACTAATATTAGGAATGAACCTCATTATAAGAAGGGAACTTTTTTAATACTGAAAACTCAGCAAGACTGGTAAAGAAAAAGCAAGTGCTATATATGTGATATAACATTGTACCACCAGATGGCGATGTGGAGTCCCATTTTTCTCTACTCGTTTTCCCAGTTTAAATTTACAATGTTTTAAACCGAAACGCTTCTTTGATGTGTCTACATCCAGCCTGAGCTAAGTGACTACATCTTCTAATCAAGAAAAAAAGTGTTTCGTTCTATGTATGCAAGCATACTGACTACAATTTACAATCAGAACATAGCTCTGTACCATGACATATGGGATGACATACGTATATTATATACAGAATATTTTCAAGAGTAAAGTGCATATAAATTTAAAGGCTGATTTCAATGTACAAATATTTACCTTGACTCTGAGCCAGGTGGAGAATTTTTGATGTAACATATCTGGTAGTGTCTGCTTCCACTAAACATTCTGTGTTGATCTTTTCCAGTTGTGACAGCAAACTCAGAATCCGAGAATTGTTTGTTAGACTGGAGCAAATAAAATTATTATTATTTGATATTGTTGCTTTTAATATGACAGGCATTTTTCAGAGTGGCATTTTAGGAATACTTAACATTAGGGTGATGATCCAAAAATTAATAATTAGTTAATTACTCTCAGGTAAGAATGTAGCCTTGGTCTTCGTTTAAGGTTGACACTGTGGAAAAACAGGGTCCTTGTGCCTTTAAGGGCTGTATGAGAAGCAGAAATTGAACAAGTTAAGCCCGTTCACAATCAGGGACTGAAGCCGACTTCTACTGATAACCATGATGTTGTTGGGACAGGGGAGTAGCAATTACTGTACTCTCTAATTTTCTGTTATGCCATGCCACCCTATCACAGCCATTTGGTGTTATGCTACACCCACTTGGCAGCCAATTTTTGACTGGCACCCACAACACCCTCTCAAAATTTGTGCTGCATCTATTGGTCCAAAAATGTTGGGTAACCCATGCTTTAAAGGTTCCAGTTATCCGGACTTCCGGGGGAGGCGCCTCCGGCAATGGCGGAATTCCTCTGACCGGGAGGAATCTGCTCCGTGGAAATCTGGGTCTGGCCGCCATGGCGAAGGCGGAGACCCGTTAAAATCACAGGCGGGAGAAGCCTGTGAACGTGGGATTCGGCGGGCACCTTTTGCGCCTCCCCCACTCACGGGGAACCCCGGTTTTTGGGGCTCCGGAGCGACGTGGGGTGAGCGGCGCGGTGCATCGAATCGTCTGCTTCTTCCACGGAGCGAAGCCGCATAGCTGTTGCCAGAGAGCGCTGACCTTTTCCTGTGGACAATTTGACTTTAAAGTAATTACCCGTGAGTAGAGCTGAAGTGGAAGAATTGGATTTCTAAATGTTTAATTTGGTACCGTAAAGGGGAGGTTCAAAACAGGAAGTCCGCCTTCCCTTTTTGTAAATAGACTGAGGCAATGATGTTGCAAGCTGGAGTCCTGGAAGGTCTTTTGTAAAAGATCAAATTTCCAACGGTAAAGAACATTAAAACCCTTATTGGAGGCAGGAGAAGAGAGGGGGGGTTGCGGATTGAGTATGCCTGCGGGAGAGAGCGAAGAGACTTAAAACACCGCCGCTCTGACCCTGGAAACGGGCTGCTAGTAGGACTGACGTCTTTTGGAATGTTCATTGACAGCGTTTAGAACGTTCATTGACAGCTAGTTAAATAAGAGAAATATATTGTTTCTACTGTCTCCGGCTGCTTTAAAAAGGAGTAAAAGTAACTGAAAATTGAAACCAATTTGAAACTAATTTTGGATTGTTTAAAAGAGGGTACTATTGACTATTACAAATAGAAACTGTTTCTCCCTAGTGGAAGCCTTTGAAACCAGTTGCTTTACAAGAGCTGGACTAGGGGAATTTCCAGCTGCAAGTTAAAAACCGTGAGACTCTGGGACTGACCTTGAATCTTTTAAGTGTTATGGTAAATGGAAGAGGAAAAACAGACCAGTCAACTGTTGACAAAATATTAAGGACAGTGAGGACTTGGTAACAATCCAGGAGAGGTCTATCGTTGGGCCCTTCTGTTCTTTCTGTTGTTGTCTTTGTACTAGTATATTTAAAACCAAGAAATGTCGACAGAGGGGGCTTTGGTGGCTGCATTATATAAGATAAATGACTCATTGGATCAGCTTCACAGGAAAATGGACACGATAAATGCGAAAGCAGATGTTTCAATTACTAAAATTAACTTAAATATAGAGAGTATAAATAATACTAATGCAGAAACCACCCAGGGATTGATGCAGGAACCTATTTTGATGTGGCAGGCTGTGGAGGAGGTCAGGGAGGGAGCTGTTGCTGCTGAGGGTAGAGTGACACAACTGGAGAGAAAGAGAAAGAGAGCCCCAGCCCTACAGAGGCAATTTGATGAACATAAGTTGACGCTATGACTGAACTTAAAGAAAAACAGACGGATTTGAGGATTAGAGTTCACCTTTGGTGGACATGCCCAAGGATTAAGACACTCTGGGAGATGATTCATAAGGAAATGAAAAAGGTATTTAAATATACCCTTTTGAAGAAACCAGAGGCCTTTCTCCTGGGCATGGTCGGCCAATTGGTGTTAAAGAAGGATAGAATTTGTTTCATGTATGCAACAATAGCAGCAAGAATACTCATTGTGAAGTACTGGAAGACACAAGATTTATTCATTCGGGAAGAATGGCAGATGAAGTTGATGGACTATATGGAATTGGCGGAAACGACTGGCAGAAATCCGAGACCAGGGAGAAGAGCTGGTGGAAGAAGACTGGAAAAAGTTTAAGACTATTTATAGAAACACTGTAAAAATAATGAATGTTAGAAAAATGTTGGAATGAAGTTATATGGCTTTAGTAGAAATGCTATAAGGAATCAAGTATAAATAGATTAATAGTGTATTAAAAGGAAAATAAGGCTAGAATATGTTAAAATAATTATAGGATAGAAAACAGAGGAAGATGGAAAGGAATTGCTGAAATAATTAATAGAAGTGGAAAACAAAAAGGGAGGTGTGAGGAGGTCGTGGAAATAAGGGAATGAAAGATAAGACATTGAAATTGTTCTGTGTTTGAAAATGGTTTGTGTTTTGCTTTGTTAGTTTTATGTTTTTCTCTTTTTTCTTTTCTTTTTTTTGTCTTTCTGTTTTGTTGTGTTTAAATGTTTGAAAATTAATAAATATTATTTTTTTTAAAAAAAAGTTCCAGTTATCCATTGTGACGTCACACTCTTAGCCAGGGCTACCATCCTAGAATCCATTACACCCAGAATTTCTGATGGGAAAACAGGAGAGAAAAATCCTCCCTTTTGCCTTTTGACATTGCTGCTGCTTTCGAAAAGCAGGGGAGTGAGTGCTAGTGATGGCATGAAACTTCATCTTCTAAGAATTCCTGAAAGCTCTGGAGAGGAAGGATAGACATTTGAAGACTTGTTTCCGGTTTGGATTCAGGTCCTATTAACACCTTGGTTTCTATTCCAAGCCAGCCTCAGACAGACTTTCACACCATCTCTAGTTGAGACAACAAGAATTTCCCATCCTGGCAGAATTTCAGTTCTGATTAGTATCAAAAGGTCCATTAATTAATCCATTATGTAGCCTTAACATACCCCAAGAGAAGACATATAAACTGCAAAGAAGTGGAAGTTTATTCAAATAAATTTTAGCTTTATCAGGCAGCCCAGTGATTTACATTGGCTTCCACATTGAGCTGAAGGAATGTGATTAAGCAATGTTTTTCATTTTATAATACATTTAAATTAAGAATATTTATAAAGCAATTCTACTCTCAGTCATGGATCCAGAGGCAGCTGTCTTTTGAAACTCTCAAACTAAAATAGGCCAACTGGATTTCACATCAGGGGCAGACTCAAGTATCTGATGCTAACAATATCACTTAACATCTTGCTTTACCCGATCTGAAATCCAGGAGGTGAGAATACCTCTGTGTTCACCTCTTCCTCTCACCCCAGTTCAGGACAAAATTCATTTTGCCTTGTCAGGCTAGGCGTATGTCTCTGTGTCTTTACCAGTAGCCTTTAAGGCAGGGATGGCTCACATGGTGCCCCCTCCAGTTGTTGCTGACTCCCAACTCTCACCAGCCCTAGCCAATATTCACTTCTTGGGAATGAGTGAATATAGAGGACCACAGGCTTCCCATCCCTGCTTTAAAGCAAGAAGATACACAAAATCATCCATGAAGACAGGGCTGCACTGGACTAGTTACAAATAGCACTTTAGGTTGGTTGGTTTGAAAGAAGTGTTGATTTTGCCTAGATTGAGATAATCATCGAAATGTTCACAGATCAGTTTCAACCCAGGATGGTATTTTTAAGCAATTGAGTTAGTATGAGGTTTTCATAAATTCTAGGCCTATTATCTGAAAACAGATTATTTTATTTACTGGAACGCTCAAATGGCAATACTCCTAACAAGTCCACTGAGTCATCATCAGGGCTCAGAACGGTCATGGATCTCTTACACACTTTTACACATACACCTCAACTTACCTCTAAGCATCTACAGTGTAACACAATCTTTAAGCCATTAATGACGTCCAAAATGTGACTCCACTGGTAAAAGTACACACGTTATTTTTGGAGTGATATCATTATGTAACTTTCCTTTGCCATCGCCTTTCTAGAGTGACAAAATGCTCCCGCTGCATTTAACTGGCACCATAAGCCATTCTGCTTGTCAGCTTACCATGCAGCTAGCTTATACAGCAAGTGACAATTTGTTATACACGTTACAATGAAATATGGTGAGCTGCAATAAAACTAAAAGTATATGGCACTAGTTTAATAAATACTGCCACTGCTGGTTTACCAGAGATATGATAAATTACTATTCTTCACTCAGCAGCTTGAAAACAGTTCAACTGCAGTTAGAAAATTATTCTGTATTTACCATCAAGTTGCTCTAAGACAGAGATCATCAATGTGGTGCCTTCCAGATGTTGTTGGACTCCAACTCTCGCCAGACCCAGCAAGAGTTGCTAATGGCCAGGGATAGAGGGAGTCAGAGCCCACCAACATCTGGAGGGTACTGTGCTGGCTATCCCTGCTGACATATGGCTGTATTTCAATCAAATACTTGTAAGATGCCCCAGGAACTTGGTGGAGGTTGGGGTATAAACAAGCCTCATCTAAAATTCACAAAACTATTCTAGTAGGAGGCAGCCTCAAACAGTGGTACCTCCAGTTACGAATGGGATCCGTTCTGGAGGCCCAGCCGTATCCCGAAAATTTCATAACCGAAGGACTACTTCTGCGCACACACGAGTGGCAAACCCACTTCTGGGTTTGCTGCATAACCTGGAGGTTACGCAACATGAGGTACCACTGTACTCCTACATAGATACTGCAGTAAAACATGCAGCCACACAGAAACTGATACACTGGCACACATTCAAATAACCAAGGGTCAGTGTAGCAGGTAAAAGCTATCTCAAGGTTCCAAGCTCTATTACATCACGTCAAAGCTGGCAACTTCGCACAACTGGCATAACCCTGATTACAAAATTGTATGTGCTACTTGCACAATTAAAGCTGCCCACCAATGACATCCATATAAACGTAGATGTGTTTTGGGGGGAAAAAACCTCCAAACTAAATATAAACACACATTATTATTATTATTATTATTATTATTATTAATCTGAGAGTGGAGTTGAGGTGGTTTAAACAGGCAAACTATTCTGAAAACGGGGTGCAGCTTTGTACATTTATAGACAAAATATTTTAAAAGTTTAAAGGAAGTAGCATTCTCTCTTACTACATCTTTCAGAAAGATTAATCTCTTCCATGTGATATATGGAAGTTTGTTTTGGGACCAACAACTAATAGTATATGAAATAGGAACTTTCTAGAGAATTACTTTTAGGATACTTAGAGCACCAGCAAAACTTAAGTAACTGGAAACAGATACGCTGTTAGGACTAGTCTTAAAATAAATTGTTATGGAGATCCCAACTACTCTCAAGGCTGATATGAAAATAAACTGAGCAGCTGGAAGCAAAAATAGATGTTAAGTAAATAGTAAGTATAAATAAACATTAAATAAATAGTAAGAATGTTTCCCTTAGTATTATCATCATTCCACAGGCTTTTCCACTCACCGGGGATTAGTTCCTACAGGCCAAGGATGAGAGGAGTTGTCAGATCCTACCCACTTCCCAAGTGGTCTAAACATCCTGACTCTGATATGGATCCGAGTGCCGCGCCTCATGTTTGCATTATTTCCTCTAATAATGCCTTTGACCAAGCTACAAACTAAGTGCAACCTACAGCTTAACCATTTCTTACATAGTGACCTTATTCTAGAGTCCAACCCAGACACAATTGCATCGTAGGAAGTTACCATGGAAACCATTTTGTGTCATAAGGCTACAATTCCTCTAAGTTTACACACTCTGAGAGTTTTATTGGATTCAATAAAATGATTCTGGAATAAGCATAAGAAATGTTTAAATTTATTTGCAAACAAGTTTCCTTAAAAAATATATGGGGTGAAGAATGGCCCCACAAAGTACCAATTCCAAAATAACTGGCACTTCAATGGATGACGTATTATATAACTTATATGTAGAGCAGTTCGGATTATTTTAAGCACATGTATCCAATGCTCCATGTGCTTAGTCCCACTGGCATAATGTAAGCCCCGCTTACATTCTTACATATGGCTTGATCAGGCCAAAATTTGGTTCAGCACCCTGTTCTCATAACGGCCAATCAGACACAAGTAGGACCTGAGTACCAGAGCACTCTCCTTCTAACAGCTGGCTAGTAGCTTTCATTTCCTCTCATCCCACTGCACATCTGAACCATCTGGAGCTGATTTTGAGGGTGTGTAGGGAGCTTGAGCAGACCAAAGAGGAAGTTCCATTGCACACACAGAAGTCTATTATGCCAGCAAAGGTGCATCAATTTCCATTGCGTTTATTATATACAAGTGAAATCACAACTAACTGCAACTTCTAAGCATATGTTCACTACTAACACAAACCAGTGATAAGCTCAACAGTGATAAGCCCACATGCAAGATCATAGTAAGTGTCAGTTTACAGGATGCTCTCACTAATTTCTAACCAGAAGTGTAGTATGTAAAGCGGTAGGGAAAGGAGGGACATGAAAAGAGCAGCCGTCTGCTCATGCAACCCTTGGATCCAATCCAATTTCCCAGTTCACATATCATGGTGAACACTAGTTACAGGTTTATCGCAAATGCTGACGTAGTTCCCACTGTGATCCCTTTGAGTCTGTAGCCATTGATGGATTGCATCGTAATCTCTATCTTAGTATCTACTCCAAACCAGGGATCATGGTTTGTTTTGCTCAAACAAAAAAAATGGGTTATTGTAAAATTACATGGATAGCATATAAGTACATGTATAGTTCATTAAAATATCAAAGCGACAATTATATGTACACAATAAAAACTAAATAAAATTTATAATTACAGGCCACCAACGGAAAATCTTTTTCTTAATAATCTGAATAAGCCTGATGGCTTTGGGTTCATTTACAAGCTATCTTCAAGGAATACAAACCCAGCTGTTGGGGGAAAAAATCCTGCAAGGAAGATTAAACAACCTCTGCATCTCCCCCCAATCCCCTTACCTTTTTTCTGATGCCATTTTTATTTTATTCATCATGTAAAGTTCTTCATATCAATCTGGAAAGCTTAGTTCTTCCACAGCAACATCTCTAATGATCGGCAAAAATGAAAAAAGAAGAAGAGTGTGTAAGTATACTCAAATTCTAGTGTGAGAAACAGGATAATGTTTGAGAAAACACAGCAGAAATAACACCATCTGCAGAAACCAAGATAGCCAGCAAATATAGCCTTATAAGGGCCTGGGAACAAAAATGTCAGGGGAAAAATGTAGCTGTAGCTATTGGTTAAGCAAAAAGCAAAGGTGTCTGCTAAAGAGGGTGTAGCAGTGACAAAGATGGCAGAGACTGTGGAAAAAGACATGGATAAGCAATCAGTGGAAAATATTGCTGGGGAGAGTAATAGGAGACCATTGTACCTCTTGGCAATAGGGACGTTTTGCCATGCTGACGTTTTTCACTCATTTCTGGCCCAAAATGGTAAATTAAAAAAACTGCAGCTCCGTACAAAATCCTGAAGAAAATTAGTACTTTCCATTCGGGAAATGCCACATGTAATATTTTCTGACCAGCCCTCATAGAAGCTACTTGATATTAACATTACCCAATCAAAACAAGGTATCAGCAATTATATATAAGAAGCTATTCATACCAAAAGCTTTTTCAAATTCTAGTCGTTGTTCTCAGCTAAACAAATCCATTTTTTTTATTACTGAATGCATACCTTCTTTAAAAGGAAAATGTTTCACAGAATACTGAATTTTCCATCTTTGTGAGCAGCTTTTTTTTGTTAATAGATGCTAGTATATTCTCAACTATATTACTAAGTAAAATCAAAATAATGTACTTTGCTGGAACAGTATGCTTTGCTTCATAATCACCCCTGTAATTTCTATTCACCAAAGATTTACTTATAATGGGGGTCTCTAAACTGTCATTATTCTTTAAATGATTTCATAACAGACACCAAGTTGTCATTTGCTTGGATTTACCATTACTGGAAAATCAAGATTTTCATAACAAATTGGAACTAAGAAGGTGCCATCCATGTGTTCCAGCTAACCTTTTTAATGGATAAGCCCCCCTTTTTTACTGGAGAAACATTACTTCAACGGTGGTGTATCAGAGAGTTATCAGTTACTCATCTCATTTAGTCCTCAGTTCTACTCCAAAAAGTTCTTAGCTTACTTAAATCAGCAAAACTGGAGTTTATAAACTAAAGACAAAATCCACAAAAATATTATGTTGTACTGACATAACACATTCTTTCCTCAAGGCAACCAAGGCCTGGGGAGTTTCAGAAATGTATGGGAACCAGATATTGTGCAATCTGCATGCTCTGCATCTACTAGCTAAAAATCCCATTCTTTTGCAGGAGGAACTCTCCCAGGTCCTGCAGAGAATATCCTTTATTTACTCTGCTTCTTGATCCTCACAGTCAGACAAATCGCCCTGAAAGCAACTCAGTGCCCTCTGAGGATCATATCCTGGCCAAAAACAAACAGTCTGTGTGTTCCTATGCCCTGTAAATCACTGCCCCATACGAAAGATTCATGACAGGGAAGTCAGTTGATATCAGACATTGCCCGACTCAGATGCATGGTTTCTTGAAAAATAAATGAGCTGTGAACTCAAATGTTTCCTCTTTCCTCACGCTTGGCTTCAGAGGAAACTTCCTGGTTTATTAAACCACATGTTTGCCATGACAACCAAGCACAGAAAATGTGGTTTAACCAACCAGGAAGTTCCTTTGCAGTCAGATATGCAGGGGGAGGAAGAAGTGCTTAAGCTCCAAAGGTTGTATTGTGGTGTGTTTTTCTTTTTTGTGTGTGCTTTGTTGTGTCATTTTGAGATAAATGTGGGAAATCAATTTTTAAAAATGGGGGGGAAACTAAAGGTTGCTGGCTAAGAAATGCTAGATCCCTACATGGCACTGTTTGGTAACATCTTTGGCTAGCCACCCTTTCCAGCTATATTTTGATTTTGGCTGTTGTATTATAAAACCAATTCATGCTCCATATAGATCAACTACTGTTCTGCTTTTCATAGTATCAAATACCTTAAAGTGCATTTCACTTTTCTTTTCTTTTCTTTTCTTAAAGATTTTCTTGATTTACAAAAATGTGTGCAATGCCTCACTCTCGCATTTCCCCCCCCCCATGTAACATTTTTACAAATCAGTTTTATTTGTTGAGACATTAGGAAGAAAAGGGGGAAAGAGGTGGGGGGGGGAAGCGGGGTGGGGGTGGGGGGGTGGCGATGTTTCTATTTTACTTAATATATGTAGGGTTTGGTGTCAGCGTTGCTTGTGCAGGTTCTCTGCTGTTCACTTGTGTTCCTTTGGTGGTGAGAGAGGTGGGGTTGGCCTAGGGTGTGGTTGTTCATTTGTGGTTGGCTGTGGTGGACTTTGTTTTCATGAGCATTTCACTTTTCTAAATCATAAACTTCATTAAGACCTTTCCCAAAATAGACCAACTGTTTTTTGAATGTATAGTATTGACACTTCCACATAGGACGAATAAAATTTAAAACTGAAGGTGAAAACTGGAGATACAACACTCACCTGAATTTACTACAAACAAAAATACCCACTCAATAGATATAATCAAAATTCTGCAGTATAGCTAATATACAGAAAAATACTACAAAACAATTAAGCAGTTCCCACATTCAATCCGAAGCATCTCCAAGCAGGGCTGGGAAATTACCTTGTCTGAAATCCTGGACAGTCACTATCAGTCAGTGTAGACAATACTTAGCTATATGAACCAATAGTTTGATTAGATATAAACCAACTTCCTATGCCCCCATAGTTTTGCCTTAGAAAACTCAACAAACATGCTGTATTAAAGGGGCACAGCTGTGGGCAGTCTGAAAAAGCACCATCCACCTTGCGCCTGCCCAGAAAACGCAAGTCTTAAGTGAGGCACTGGGGTGATGTCTGCTGTTTCCAGAAACTCTTCTTGTGAGACTTTTGTGGGTGAGATGAGAGTTTGTTTGGACCCTGGGTGAGAACCTGGAGGCTGAGACGGTGTGTCAGAAGGAAAATGAATTGCTATTGATTTAGATAGATAGACTTAATGTCTATGTAACTTCTGTAATATTTAAAGTTTCTGTCGTGTCAATTTCTTCTACAATTTTTAACATATTAAGCAGTATAGAAATTAAATGATCAATCAAAGGGCCCACAAGACAGACCGATAGGGCCTGACCTGGCTGATTTGAGGAGGAGTGCCATCAAGTATTTGGGCCTTAAGTCATTTAGGACTTTCAATGTTAAAGTCAACACCATGAATTGGGCCTAGCAGCAAATAGGTAGCCAGTGTCTTTCATGAGGATTGATGTTATACTGTTATAATGTTATACGGTGTCTTGTGACACTGCTTACAGTTCTTACATCATTCCCGTTCCCTCCTTCTTTCTCAATTTTGTTTCGTCCAGAATGTCTGTTTTCTGCCTAAACAGGTCCTACAACATTTGCTATATACAAATATCAGCACTCACCAATTCTCGGAGACGTTTTATATGTTGTATCCATAGCATGGGAATAATTTTTATATGACATTATTCCATGCTGCTGCTGTTCAACAGCAAACATAGAGAATCAAGCATTCATTCTCACTGGGTAGCCACCGCATGAGAAGAACCCTTGAAATTAAAGGGCTTTAAACATACAGTCAGGATCAAACATTTCAGCAGAATAATGAGATGCAGCCACAAAAAAGCATTTCTACATAGCTGCTGTAAGAAATAAAGGGCAAATGGCTCATCGCTCATATAGTAATATAAAGGGATAAATGAGCTAAATCTCTGGCCAAATATAACATGAATTATCTTCTTACAGCCACTCAGTGCATCAGTCTCACAGCAACATGGAGAAATAAAAAAGCAGCTTTTGACTTCTAGTGCGCTCACAGATGCAAAATGACAGCTTGCTTCTTTCTGCAAACCGAGTGAGGCAAGGATATCTATGCAGACAGTAGATACGTTCCTGGAGACCTTTACATAGAACAAGAACCATTATCTCAGACAGACACATCCATATACTAGGGTGGAGTGAGCAAGTTGTCTTAGTGATAACCAAATGAAGCACGGTAAGACTCTGACTTTTGGTTTCCCTGTAACTTTTTGAAAGATCTGAAGCTGACATGTCAAAAACACTATAAGGGAAATCCAGAATAATGAAGAAAAACAAGGTGCTGTAATATCTCAGAGAATACAGTCCATTTGAAAAGGTAACCATCTCTCTAGTTGATTTTGATGAAATAATTTTTAAAATGCTGAACAAATACATTTTGGCTACGGCGAGTTGATGGAAACTAAAATAATCAGAATTCCATAATCAGTTCATTTCAATGCTTGTAAAATTAAACCCGTAACTACAGATGAACAAAACTGCCTATTGCAAACTGCAGACTTGACGCTTTCCCTATGTTGGGACAAGGGGATGGGCTTAGCCAAGAGCTTAAGAGCTTTGTTAGCAATGCAAACCGTCTTGGGTGGTTGCCAACAAGTGATGCTAAAGGGCATCGGCCTAGTTTGTTGGTGTCCTTTTGCAGTGCTTCCAAATCCCAAACGCTCGCAGTAAGAAATAATGAAGGAGGTAAGAGGAAGCTTTATTTTTTTTCTTCCTGCTCCTCAAAATTACTTTGTGGTAAAAAACGTGGAAGGCCGTTTCCCCCATTCAAAACACAGTGGGCCCAAGAAACCACATTTTTTGGTGTACCTTGGACCTAGTTTTGTCTTGGTGCTGTTCCTCTCCTACACAAGCAATGAGCTGCAAAGGAGGCCCATGTGATCTGACAGATGGACTGCACTGCTTTGACTTTACTATGAGCTGTATCTAACAATGTTCTTCCATTCATAGAAGGCTCTTGGGTCCAGCAGAGGCTTTCATGAACACCAAACTCTGTTCCAGATAGTTGTTGACGGGCCCTTTGAGAAAAGTATAGATGGTGCTACATCAGACTGCAGTAGAAAGGGGAAATTATTAGAAATCTCGTTCCTTTCCCTTCAGTTCAGGGAAATCTCCAGTGGATAGAAGTGACTTCTGTGAACAGCAGCTTTATGAGTTTAACCATTTTAATAGTATCTGACCTAATTTTAGTTGCACTTGCAATGTAATTTCAAGACTGGCAAAATAAAATACAAGCAAGCAGTGAGTTATTGTTTAAAAATACTTTAGAGAACATTAATCAATTCCACTTTAAACATTTTACATTGCAGTTTTACTACATAAATTCATTTTGAAAGTGTGTGCTAAAATCCAAACTTGTTATGAGAAAGTTTTGAAGGTCACACAAATATGGCTTATATTTGCTCAAAGACAGCGTCAGTCTTCCAAATCAATCTTCCAAAGTCACTCAGGTTTGTAACTGCTCAAAATGCAGACCTTCAGCCACACTGAATCTCTGTGCAAACCATGGGCTTCCTGGATCTTTGAGTCACTCCACCCCATATCATTTGATTAGTCATTTTACCAAGAAGCTTAAATCTTGAACTCAACACTATTATGGGTAAAATGATTACGACAACCAATCTTATTATTCTGTCTTAAACAGTCTGGTCCACAGTACCTCAGAAGTGCCTTCTCCCATACGAGCACGAAGATCAGGAACCCCCAAACTCGGCCCTCCAGATGTTTTGGGACTACAACTCCCATCATCCCTGACCACTGGTCCTGTTATCTAGGGATGATGGTAGTTGTAGTCCCAAAATATCTGGAGGGCCGAGTTTGGGGGTGCCTGACTAAGTTCTCCAGCTGAAGCCCAGAAGGGCAAGCACTAATTCAAAGTGAAGCTTTTCCAACAGTGGCACCTCATTTGTAGAAATTCTCAACTGCGAAACCTACTGGGCTAGATCACGAAGGCCTTCTGAACCATCCTGTTTCAGGAGGCCTTTGGAAAATATCATGATGAGTCCTGGCTTCTGCTCTCACTGTATATCGGGGCTTGATTGATTCATAGTGAAGGCACAATCTGCAACCAGAGGTTTCTCCTATGGCTCACTAGAGCCACTTTTGTCTCCTCCCTTGCCTAGGCAAACAGAGAGAGATAATTACCAGCTACACTAGGGGAATGAAAAGCTTGTACACACTTCCCATATCCTTGGCCCAAGCTTCTCATTCTCCAGAATACATGAAACCTGCATCAAGTGGAGCGGGAGAAGTGGCTGGGGATATGGGAGAACCACACAGGCCTGGTTAAAAGGGGTATACAAGAAGTAGGGACAAGAAGTGGGTTCTATTTTGTTCTATGGGAATTCCCACTACACAGGTGCCCACACTGCAAGTGGCTCGACCCACCTGTGCCTTACTGATCTGATCCCTTCTTTAAATGCCAATGCATTATGATCTTATTATTGCCAGCGCAAACCACCCCCAGAGCTTCTCGTGGAATGGAAAAGCATAGGGACCGAGCATCATCATAATAATAATTTATTATTTACATCCCGCCCATCTGACTGAGTTTCCCCAGCCACTCTGGGCGGCTTCCAATTGAGTGTTCAAAACAATACAGCATTAAATATTTTTTAAAAACCCACCATTGAAAACAACAGCCACCAACAACAGCCGATGAGGCCACTAACAATAAATCAAAGTTTGTTTACTAAACAGGAGCGCCGCATTGAAACGCAACGGGGCCGATTTCAAAGCTACCCCGGGGTGGGGGGGGGGCAGCAGCTTTGGGAAAGGAGGAAGGACCAAGCTGGAGGACCGTGAAGCCTTTCGTCAAAAGGAGGTTTTAACGAGAAGAAGCTGCGGGGCCAAACAAGGCAGCCGCCCCCCATCCCCGCGCTGGGCGCCCCTCTCCTCCTTCTCCTCAGAGGGGTCGCCGCGACCTCCGCCCGCCAGGCAGGCTCCCGTCCCTCCCCTCACCTCCTTTTCGGCAAGGGCGGCGCTCCTCCTCAGCGCAGCCGCGTCCGCCCAGCTCGGCGGAGGCTCTTCTCGGGCGGGCCACGGAGCGAGGCAGGTGAGCCGCGGCGGGCCGGCTCCGGACAGCGCAGCCGCCGAACGCCGCTTGGAGGAGTGGAACCTCGGGCCCCGCCCACAGCTCAGGCGGCGGCGGCGGCGAAGGAACCTGTCCGCATCCTGGAGACGTCACCGCGCTCTCCGTCCCCACCCCGTCCGCGCGCGCGCGTGCACGGCCGCCGCCGCCGCGCGCTCTCTGCCTCCTTAGTTCTCCCGCGCGCTCGCGACCGCGTCGCCCTCAGGGCGGGCAGCTGTGGCCGCCGCTCCCTGGGAACCAAAAGCTGAGGGGGCACCCGGGTTGTCCTTCGGTTAGAAATAAGAATAACAATAATAATATTTATTATTATTATTATTTATACCCCGCCCATCTGGCTGGGTTTCCCCAGCCACCCTGGGCAGCTTCCAACAAAATAATTAAAATGTTAAAATAATTAAAATTAAAATCTGTTAAGCATTAAAAGCTTCCCGAAACAGGGCTGCCTTGAGATGTCTTCTAAAAGTCTGGTAGTTGTTTTTGACATCTGGTGGGAGGGCATTATTTGTGAACGAATAATGTAAATAAAAAATAAGGATTTGGGTTCACATGTGGTGGGGGGTGTAAATAGCTACAGTTTTTTGGGCAAATCTAGACAAGGAAGCATGGGAATGATTGTGGAATATGGCAGTGCCGGATTTACGTATAAGCTAGACAAGCTATAGCTTAGGGCCCCACTCTCTTGGGGTCCCCCAATGTTAAAGGGGAAAAAAGATGTACATTTCCAAAATGTAAGATAAAAAACAAAATAAAACCTACATACAGCAACAGTGTTTTGTGTTGTGTAGGCTCCTATGATGTAAGTAATGGGCCCTGCCTGCTAGCCTGCTCCCTAAAATATCACTGGTTTGCTCATTTATATATATAGGGTGCCTACATTCTGCATGGACTAGTTGCATGGCAACATGTGCAAATGGCTTTAGATACCTATTAGGTCCATAAATTACCATATAGCATATATTCAACACACAAAAAACAGCACAATTTGTTGTTGACAAAGGACAGCTGGACATACAAAGGGCCCCATTACCTTCAGCAGCTTAGGGCCTCATCAAACCTAAATCCGGGCCTGGTTGCAACTCCCTGGGAGCCAAAAGCTGAGTGAGCACCCAGGTTGTCCTTCAGTTATAAATAATGTTCTTTGTGAAGAAGTAAATAAAAAATAAGGATTTATGTTCACATGTGGTGGGGGTGTAAATACCTACATTTTTTTGGACAAATGTAGACAAGGAAGCATGGGAATGATTGTGGAATATGGGCTGGGTGGATAAAAATCAATGATTAAAAAAATTATTTTTTGAATTAAATTGGATTTTTAAAATAAAATGCTTTTGGAGGAAAAATCTTTCTAAAGATAGTTTTCTACTGAAGTTACATTATAGCCCAAAGGCTATTCATCAGGAAATAAGGATTTGTTTTAAGTTTTTCATGTGTGCTAAAACTCAAAGGTTGTTTTTTTAATCGCTTAACCACATCAGTTAACAAACATGGATGCATATGCTAGAATGTTATTGTTTTAGTTAAATAAATGGTTATTAAGTAAATGGTTATTTTTCTCCTTCCAATAAAGTACAGCAGAAAAGTTGTCCAAATATAAAAAGTTAACATATAAACCTCACAGTAATTTCAAAATTATCTGTCTATGTATTTCTAATAGTATAACCAAATCAGTAATTTTTGATATAAGTGTAAAAACTACTCTGAAAATTTATTATTCATCTGGTTAACATTAAAATTATACCAGCAAGAATGAGTCTTTCTGTAAAAAAAATAAAAATGATTTAAATCAAGTATTACTGACTAGTGATTTAAATCGATTTGATTTAAATAAAACCTACCCTGAATATGGATATAAAATTTACAGCATGCTATGGTCTAAGAGAAAATTATATGAAAATGATATATCAGTGGTTTCTAACACCGAGTAAATTGGCAAAAATGTATAAATCTAAATCAAATAAGTGTGGGAAATGTAAAGAGAAGGTTCTTTTTATCATATGTGGTGGTCTTGTAGTAACTTTAAAGCTTACTGGGAAATGATATATCATGAATTGAAAAGGATGTTTAAAATAATGTTTGTAAAAAAACCCAGAAGCTTTTCTTTTGGGAATTATAGGGACAGAACTACAGTACCTAAATTGTATAGAAACGTATTCATGTATGCTACTACAGCGGCAAGAATGTTACTCACCCCAAAATGGGAAGAAGCAGAAGTCCCAGCAAAGGAAAAATGGATACAAAAAGTAATGGAATATGCAGAAATGGTGAAATCAAGATAACAAACTTTTTATAAAAGAATGAAAATGGTTTATTGAATATTTACAGATAAATTGTAAACAGATAAGAACATTGGCAGGATTATTGTAATAATCTGCAGTTTTATAAGCGTATATATTTAAAGTAGATGAAAAAACGAGCAAATTAAGTTAATTTGGATATGCAGAAGATTATTATTTATTTAATGGCAAAGGGTGTTTAAGGAGATAACAGAAATCACTGGGTTAAAGCTGACCCAAAATCCAGAGATTGAATTATTATCAATTTATGGAAGATTCGCAGACTATGAAGGACTTGCTCACCAATTTACCATATTGACAGCTGCGCAAATTATTATAGCTAGGAAGTGGAAGGGGCAAGGGGAATATAAAATGGAAGAATGGTATAAAGCGGTGTGGGATATAGCTATTAACGATAAATTAACATGTGCCGTTAAGGTAAGACGGAATATGCAGGAGAAATTATTTTGAGGAGATATAGAAGATGTTTGTAGGATTCGTACTGTTAAATACGGAAAGGGGTCAAACCATCGCAAGAGGTGTTAAAATTTTGGGAGATTGGATAGTTACATTGGAATGGTCTCAATGGTAGGGTGCACATTTTTATTCTTATTTATTTATTATTATTACTTTGACAAACCCGCTTCTCTTTGGAAGGCAGTTTTCATGTTTGCCACCCAGGAATTTTCATCAGGGCAAGGAGCCCTGGAACAGAATTGTGTGTGACGTGAAGCCCCTAGCACAACGGCAGAGAGAAGTGCAAGTGTCAGAAAGAGGTTGCCTGCCTAAAGGTGTTTTGGGGCTCTATAAAGTTACCCAGGGAAATGGCCGGTGCCCCGACCTGTTTTGCTTCTGTTCTGCAGACAAAACATGACGCACCATTAATAAGTAGTGTGCTGACAGGAACATTTTAAGGGGCGTTAAGTGCGCTGCTAACAGAGAGCCCTCGGTAGTCTCCTTTATGCAAAGCAGGAGTGGCCCTTCAAATATTGTTATTTACTTTTCCTTTTACATTTATACCCCACCTTTCCTCCAAGGATACATGGTTCTCTCTGCTCTCCCATTTTATTCTCACAAACGGCCCAAGGTCACCATTGAACTACACTGCAAAATGAGGACTTGAATCCTGGTCTCCCAGGCCCTAGTCCAGTGCTAGCTACCCCACCACAGATGATGTTGGATTCCAGCTCCCATCAGCCCTCGCCAGCATGGCCAATGGCCAGAGGTGATGGGAACTGAGGGCCCAACAGCAGCTAGAGAACCCAATAGTAGCCATCCTGATGTAAAGTATATAATGCCACCGACTCATTAAACACTTAAAAAAAAGTTTCGCTACTCCATTTCTAGGGCATTTAAGACAATGTTTTTCAGTTTCCCAGCTTAAGTTGGATTTCAAGGAATGGAACATCTTTGATAGGCATATATCCTTGGTTTAGCAGCTAATATAGTCCATTAGAAGAAGAAAATATGCAAGATTTCCCTTTTTCAAGGGACCTCTGCTGGAGAATCAGTTATATATAATAGCCCCTTAGAAACCACAGTACTCCAAGGAAAATTACTAATGCAATAATTTAGCTGTTGAGAATGAAAATGTTCATAAAGATGGAGATTAGATCTCAGTGCACAGGTTGCAAAGTGCATTTTAATAACAGATAACTTTAAGGGGGGATTAGAACATTTTCCAGTTAGAACTTGTACAATCCTATACATATAGGTAGCCGTGTTGGTCTGCCATAGTCAAAATAAAAAAAATCCTTCCAGTAGCACCTTTAAGACCAACTAAGTTAGTTGGTCTTAAAGGTGCTACTGGAAGGATTTTTTTATTTAATCCTATACATAAATGCCAAATCACTAATAATTGTATTTAGAATTGCAGTCTTCTGTCTTTGTAGCAAGGAACCCAAAAATGTTAGTTCAAGATTATATACAGTATATTTAAAAAATATGGTGTTCAGGTTCTCAGGGCTGCAGAAAAATGTAATTTAAAATGTATACCACTTGGAGAGTGGATCCGCTCCAACTGTCCAATAATGCTAAATATGCAATGCTACAAATTACTCTCTACACTCTTGCATTTCTTCAAGGTCAATAAAAACCCTCTAAACGTGGTATTGTCTACTGTATATTCAAGCTGGTAGCAGCCCACAGCAAAAGGTACAAGGCAACATGGGAAAGGAATAATATTCATATATGACATATCTCCTTTCAGAAGATTGAAAAAAAAGGGAAAAGCACAACTATATGAGTGCATACTCTGTCAAGGTTGTCCATTCCTAGTCAAACCAAACACCATTAAAATGTATAAAGCATCATAATCATACTCGTATCAAAATGTTCATTGGGTATGTAACATGACTGAGAATTTTACTGCAAAAGTAATAACATTTAAGGAAAAGAGGGTAATTACAAGGACAACTTTATGCTATTTCTTTATAAATGATTGCAGGCAAATATGAAAAGTATCAGTTTAGTTTCACTTGTAGATGTACTCTTGGATAAATGTCATAATTCAAGAGGTCATCTGTTTTATATTGTTTCAGGAGACATTAATAAAATGAATCACTATTCACATACGTCAAACTAAATTGGTCTCTTTCTGTGCATACATAAACAGAATGAGCAAAAGTTTGGTGACTATCCAAGAAAGCATTAAGAGCACTTAAGCCTGTTGAAATTAATGGTTTTAAGTGTACTTGACTCTATTGGATTGTGGCCTTCATTTTGATGATGACAACTCGAAATGTTGAACCTCCTATATAGCGGTAATTGTGGCAGTACACGTTCCAAATCTAGTATTCCAATAATGAAAGTGGATCAAAACACACAGTCCAGCATGTAACAGAAGAAATGTTTGTGAACCACAATCCTGCAGTTTGCTTTATTTATCCTCTATATTTACACAATCATACCACTCATTCCTAAACGCACATACTCCATCTATAGGCTTTTCTTCCAAATAAATGTATTTAGTATTGGGGTCTATAGTGGCTCTAGATTTCACAGTTGATAGCTTAACAAAACAATTTTTGTTTTCTGAAGTCCAGTCCTTTCTCCATCCATCTTAACAATTGCTTGTCACTAGGTGATTCAGTTTCCTTTGTTGGAAGTCCTGTACAATTCCATACCTGCTTGCCAGAATGTAAGCCCCCTTGAACTCTTAAGTAGTCTTGTACAGGACCACACTGTCAGGTGTTATTTACTGGCACATAGCATTAGCAAGTAAGGTAATGGCTATTCAAGTAAGGCAAAGATGAAGTGATTTGTACATTCATATACTGAGTTTTAATTGTCTTCCTTATTGGGGCTAGTTCTTTGATCCTTGCCTTCAGTAAATCCTTTTGGTGCAACTTCTGTCTGGAGGATACAGATTATCTGGTCTCATTTCCATCTTGCTTCCAAACTAGTTTTGAAATGATTTTGGCAACTTTAGTGGATGGCATGTTCCGAGACTGAGTGCACCCTTTCTTATGCTTCTGGCCTTTCTGTCTGGAACGGGAGTTGGATGCACCAGGCCTGGTGGTTCTGTTCATATCTTACTGGTATTATTTCAGAAGTTGCTCAGGGACAAATGCTCAACTGTGGCATTTATGCTACATGGTTCTGCACCGTCGTCTTGTTCCCTAAGCTATCTATCATCCCTCCTGCTAGGGCCAAGGTTTAGTTTTGTTGCACCATCCATATACCGATTTCTGCCTTCATTTATTCTCCCTGCCTCATGGTGCTGCCGGAAGAGTCAATCGGAGGCAGGACCAGGGTGGGCTTCAAGCTCAAAGAGGGCTTTAAATTTAGATGCTTATTAGTTTTTGACATTTGATAAGCTTCACAGCTTGTTTTTATGTGCATTGAACCAAAAGGTGACAAACACTCTCAGCTTAGAGCTGCAGATTCAAGATAGAGATAGGATTTGATAAGTTAGATTTGAACATATTAAACTCTTTATTAGTTAAATTGATATCAAATAACAAAAAGCCCTATCTGATCTGTTGGCACATAATCAGGAAGTGATCAATGAACTCTCTTAGACCAGCTGTTCCTATAAACAAACAACTCCTCTTTTTTCTGAAAGGAGGTACCTTACTATGTTTAAATGCATCATCATTTTTTATTTTTATTATGGCTAAGGGCGTCAAAAGCTGGAAGTAGCTCAGGCCTCTCTGAATCTATCTGAGGGCCTGGCTACCTGAAGCAGGCTTCCCCCTGCTTGCATGGTCTGTCTGGCCCTGACCCCAGTTGTGGGATTCCCTGCCCAGACACAATCCCCAGCCATCTATGCCCAGTGATATTAATGTGATTACTGGTTTTAATTGCTATTCGTGTCATCTTTACTATATGTGCATTTACAAACTGCTCATTTCTGTTAGGGGCTTCTCATATTGTGCTATGGTGGCTTACAAATTTGACTTGAATGTCTGTATAGCAGAAAGACAGGCTCTAGATTTAGTTTAGGTTAAGAAGAATTCCAGAGAGTATCCCAACCAAAAGGAAACTCTGGAATGGTTTGACTTTGATTCTGAATGCTTCCTGAATAGGAAAAATGGCAATCTTTAAATAACAAATAGAAATAATCTAGCCTTTGGGAATTAAAATGAACATACTAATTATAGACTGTAGCAGGTTATCGTCTTTCCCACGCTTGTACATTTTTCTTGGAGCCTTTATACACATTCCTCATAATTTCCTAATCCATAGAGTATGCATAGTTGTTCTTCATACTTTCTACAGTTAAGAGTTCTACACATAATTAACTGTATTGTTATTCATCACTCATTTTTTGGAAACTTATTTCTTGTTACCATGGTACATTAAAAATGACATTCCACATTGCAGTTTATTAATACCATTTATATGCCGCCCACGGTCAAAAATATAGAGACATGGCCAACTAAAATAAAAGTACATGAAAACCAATATGATAAAATGTACATCAGAATTCACAAGTAACTAAAATGCAGTAAACCACTTAATGGGGCTGAAAGGCTGAGTAAATGAATAGGTCTTCAACAAGTGTCAGAAACACATTACCATCAGAGCTTGCCTAATCTCAGGGGAAGTGATTCCATGGAGTGGCTGGCATGGCCGAGAAAGCCCTCCTGCTATTTACCAGAAGATGAACATGTACAGACTGCGGTATAACCAGGAGGGCTTCACTTACAGACCTCAGTGGTCAGGCAGGTTCATACGGGAGAAGGTGCTCTCTCAGGTAGCCTGGCCCCAAGTTGTTTAGGTCTTTAAACAGCATCAGCAAAATCTTAAATACAACCAGCGCAGATCTTTCAGAAGTGATTGTCATATGCTCGCATTCAGCAGCACTATCACAAGGTGGTTACCTTGTGATATTCTACCATTGCAAAACTCCACCGCACTGCTAGGTGGCTGAACACCTCCCTTTTTGCCTACTTGGCAGGTGGAGAGGCATTCTGCAGAGCTTTGCTGCCAGTCCATCTGGGTGGTGGAACGGGGGTGGCACCCCTTGAGGATGCCATCTGAGGTGGCCACTTCACCCTGTTTGGGACTTGGGTCTATATGTATGACCCTTTGGATGAGCAGCAGCCTAGAATATTTCTTGATAAACAAGAAGCCTCTGCAAAGTGCAACAGAAGTGTGCACTTGCAAGTCCTTTTACTTTTCAATTACATTATGTGTGTTCTAAATGAGGTTACCGTATGTATTTGTAGCTCTGTATCAAGTTTAACTTTGCCTTTTTACATGATCAAATGGGATATGCAGCAGAAATATACAGAACTGCTACTGTAAGCATTTTAACTCAAACGTTTGATTTTACTGTCTCTTTGAATGGGCTGTAGTTGCTTTGTTTAAATCTACTGTATTAGTTTGTATGTTTGTATTATTATTAATGATTATTACATTTTCATTTCTTACTATGCTGTTAGCTGCCCTGGAAACATAAACTTATTTCTCAGGCGTGGGGTATAAATTATGAAAATAAATAAATATGTTGCAGTGTGAAGTGTTTCTTCTTCATCATCCAGGCTACTTTGTTCCATTTCCTCTCCAATGCAGTGTTCCAGGTATTGCTCCCAATGTAGTCACTGAGCATGCTCAGTTATCAGTGGGATGATTTGGCAATTTCCCCCTTGAGGGTTCTTAGTATTTTATGTATTTTGGATGCGCCCCATACCTTGGGGGTTCCCCCAAGACTGCCAATACTTCCCTCTTGCATATAAATATACTTTTTAAAGGCCAGTGGTCAGGGACCAGTGGTCAGGGATGATGGGAGTTGTAGTCCCAAAACATCTGGAGGGCCGAGTTTGCCTATGCCTGAGTTAGAGACACCACTGAAGACTACCAAACCTTTGAAAATGCAGAGGTAAATTTAACTAAGGATGAGAACAAACATACTGTCTAAGTTCCTTTATTTTTTAATATTTCAATTATTTCCTTTTTTAACCTTTTGTATACAGTGGTACCTCGGGTTAAGTACTTAATTCGTTCCGGAGGACCGTACTTAACCTGAAACTGTTCTTAACCAGAAGCACCACTTTAGCTAATGGAGCCTCCTGCTGCTGCTTCGCCGCCAGAGCACAATTTCTGTTCTCATCCTGAAGCAAAGTTCTTAACCTGAAGCACTTTTTCTGGGTTAGCGGAGTCTGTAACCTGAAGTGTATGTAACCTGAAGCGTATGTAACCCGAGGTACCACTGTATTATTATGGGTGTATGTCAACGTAAACATATATTTTGGTTGATGGGTGGTTTTTTAAATTGTATTAGTGTGTATTTTTTTTAACCAGTAGTTGATATGGCCACAATGGTTGAAAGAACAACAATAAACTAACACATCTGAGAACAACCATACCACAACGCTAGAGCATTAGCTTTGCATGCAGAAGGTTCCAGGTTCAATTCTCAGCACCACCTGGAAATGTCCCCTGCCCCAAACCCCAGAGAGCTCATGGAACCTCTGGTGCCCAGATGTTGGACTACAACTCTCACCATCCCCAGCCAGCTTAGCCAATGGTCAGAGAGGATCACCCTATCTGCATAACCTAGGAATTCTAAAATATAGACGTGCTTTTACTCTTGCAAGATTGACTGTATTGCCCTCAGCTGTACTTGAGGGACGATTCCAACAGATTCCACAAAAAAATCGCTTATGTCCCTGTGGAGATGGCATGCCCTTCTGACTTGCACTCTTTATAAAGACTTGAGGAATGAGGTTTTCACCCATTTTATTGTCCATTCCGGGACGCCCAACCACTACCACAGTGTCCTTTCTCTTGGCAGACCAAGATGAGCAGGTGACAGCAAAGGCTGCAAGGTTTTTAGCTGGGGCAATCAGAATAAGATCCACTATTTGACTATTGATTCAAAACCCTAAAATGTATTTTATATAAGTGACCCTTTATTTCTATTCTTTGTATATCGTATCGTTTTATTGCTATGGCCGATGCCTGATGCAAATAAAAGATTAATTCAGTCAAATGGACAGAGAGGATGGGAGTTGTAGTCTGGGGCCCATGGTGGTATTGACAGTACCATGCTGGATGGCCTGATAAATTACAATAAAGTTTATTTCTATGCTCTTAAGGATATTAGAGTTTCTGAAGCGATATCAAAACCGACGGAAATGGACTGCAAGAACTCTATTAGCCCAAAAATGGAAGGAACAAGAAATACCAACAATCGAAGAATGGCAGATGAAGATGACTGGCGAGGCTGACCTGGAAAATCTGAAACCATTGTGATCAAGCTTTCAAAACAGATTGGAGTGAATTTGTACAACATTTGAAGGAAGGACAATTGCAAACAAATAACAACACTAGCAGGGTTGTTGTAAGAAGACTTGTAATAATGTTTATTATCGTTTTACATTTATTTAAAATATGTGATAAAATAAAGGAGGGAAACGTAAACTGGAAAAGGTACAAATGCTATGACGTAAAATTGGAATTATGACTATATATTGGGAAAAAATAAAAAATGTCCAGTAGCACCTTAGAGACCAACTAAGTTTGCTCTTGGTATGAGCTTTTGTGCATGCACACAAAAGCTCATACCAAGAACAAACTTAGTTGGTCTCTAAGGTGCTACTGGACATTTTTATTTATATATATATATATATATATATATATATATATATATATATTTCTACTGCGTCAGACCAACACGGCTGCCTACCTGAATCTGGAATTATGAAAACCATGAGGCAGGATGGAGGGAAGTCGATAGCTCATATGAGCAAATAACGAAAGAGTTTCATAAGAATGCATTTAATATTATAAAATGGAAAACTCATTTCATAAAATATATTATTTCATTTTTAAAACACGAGAGAGCTGGAGCCTCGGCTGCACCGTTAGGAGGAGCGGGGTATCTCTGCCACCAGGTTTTACCTCACACCCAACCTTTCTCAGCTTCCTGCACTGCAGCCACAGGACCGCACTTGATCCATCGCCCTGGCCCGCCCTCCATTAAGGTCGCCCCTGAGACTCCCCCCCCCCAAAAAAGCCTCCCCGCCTCAGGAGCCAGACGCCATTCTCGCGCACGGCACTCACCTGCCAGAGCGCCAGGAACAAGCCCGGGGCGATCCCTGAGGAGAACCCGCCCTGCATTGCCCTCAGTCGGGACCCCCGAGCCCCTTCGCGCGACACGCGCAGCCCCGCTTTCCTCCAACCGCTTTTCCAGCAGCGGCTGCCCGCGAAGGAAGCGACCCGGAAGTCCGCTCCCAGTCTCCGGGAAGAGTTTCTGATTTCTTATCTCTATGGCGAAAGGAAGTTACGGGCGCGACATCTGCATCCGTTGCGGGGAAGGCGGGGGGGGGAGCAGGTGCGCGCGCATGATGATGAGGAGGGGGAAATGTTTTGGTTCTGCGCACGCGCAGCAAGGCGGGCCGGCGCTTTGGCGTTCTCTCTCTGGTCCGCGCCTGAGAGTGGGAGGGGAAAGCGGGTTCCTTCGGCTGCGCTGCGCGAGGCGAGCGGCTCAGGTGAGGCAGCGGGGGAGGGGAGGGGGGAAGGTGGGCCGCCCCCCCTTTCCCTTTTCAGCCGTTACGCTCCGAGGCGGGACAGGGAAGTGGCCGTTTCGGGGCCGGGGAGCCTCATTCCGGCGGAGCAGGTGGGAGGAGGCCCCGCCTCAGGACTGAGGCTGCTGAGGCGTCTCTCCTCCAGCCTCCTTGGTCGGGGGGGGGGTGTCAGCAATTAACACGTCACGGCCAGGTTTTAAAACTGGCTCTCCCCCCCCCCCATGATAGTCCTCCTTGAAAACCGCAGTGACAGGACAAATGAGCACAAGTTAGGCCCCTTTTCAAATAAAGCCCTTCCACTCCTCTCCGCGGTTCCGAAGGACCAGGTTTGAATGCTCTCTTTCCCCCCTCCCACCCCCGAAGAAATCCTTGCAGGTTAAGATCATGGTTATGAAGGCTTCAGTAGAAGATGATGATTCGGGATGGGAGCTCAATATACCTGAGAAGATGGAAAAGAGTAACACGAGCTGGATAGATATCACCCAAGACTTTGAGGACTGCTGTAGAGGTAAACTAACACACACACACACACACACACACACACCCGAAAGGTTTTTCTCTGCACAAGTCGATGCTATGCCCTCAAAACGTCTAGAGGGCAGATATGATACAGTCTCTGTAACTGAAAGATATTGTCGTTGTAATATAAAAAAAGGTGGAGTCTGTGTCACATGAACTCTGCTGCTACTCCTGCTGCCTGCCTCCCTCTCCTTTGATGGGGAGACGTGCCAGGCGGAAACTTAGTGGAGAGTTGTGGACTTGACTTGGACCAGTTTGAAAAGTCCTTCCCATTTCCTCCATCATTCTCCCACCTTATGTGCCAACAATCCACTTTAATTAGTGGCAGCAGCTGCTTTTTGCCACTTGCTGAGATTAGGGGGTTGAAGCCCTCTTGGGGGCTGCCAAGATTTGTTTGTGTGTGTGTACACACACACACACACACACGGATAGTGGAGAAATCAGGATTTCCCTTTTTTCTTGCGCAGCACAGGTCCAGAGGTTAAAATGGGGCCACTGGCCCAGAGATTTAAAAAAAATCAGCCATGCCAGATTCTGTTTCATGCAACCCTCTTTCAAAAATACTATACTGTACTTTCTTCTTGGTTATTCTTATGATAGAGGCATGAATGGCTTACCTTCCTCTTTTTCTGGGAAGGGCAATGTTGACACTAGATGTGTATGTGCTGGACCTGAGCCCTGATTTCAATGAATTGCTCAGTGTATTTTGTTATGATTCTCTAAAACCCTGGATTTTAAAGTTATTTTTGAAATACTGATTTCTGCTTATTTCTCTTCATCTTTCTACTTATTTCTCTAAGTTCTGCAGCTCAGTTTAAGGAGACAATCAGAAGATTCTACTTTTCTTTTAGATTAACTGCAGTATAGTATGTCTTCCAAATCCTAAACTATGGTTAGTGAAAATAAGCCAGGATTGAAACTCATGCTTTGAACTTGGTTTGTTTCCACTAACCATATGAAGATCAACCATGTAAGTTCAGATTATGCAACAAGCTTTGGTAAAGGGCAGTATATAAATGTAAGCCTCATGTTGCTCACAAAGTATGGAGAATGTATGAGCCAAGGTTGGGGAAAGTTAGCTTGATGTTTTAATACTAAACTGTAGCTGAGCATTATGTCAAAACCAATCCAGTTTTTCTTTCTCTTTTATTATATATAATAGTTTTTGTGAGTAGTTATGTAAAGTTTTTGAGTTGTTCTTTTTTAATTTCCTTGTAGAATTGAAGTTGGGCGAGTTGCTTCACGACAAACTGTGAGTGAACCATTAAAAACAAGTTCTCATGTTTTTTCTCGCATCTTAATCTGAAACAAACACATAGAAGTGTCATCTACTGATTTTTGTGGTGCTTACGCTTAAGCATGTGCTCTTGACAAATCTGTTAGCTATTTAAAGAACATTAATTAACATTGTTTTGTGCTATCAATCTGAAAACTGTTTAAAGCAACCCAGAGCTTCAGCATTATGCACACTTACTTGTTGAGCTCAGGAGGACTTAATTATATATAAATACTGTATAGTCATACTTGCAGCTAATAACCTGCTCAGGGAAAAAAGCTGTTTAGGACTGGGGTATACAGTTCCTAGATAAACCAGATTCTTATGCCTCAGCCACAAACATGCTTAGTCAAAAATAACTATAGGTAGAATATTAATCTCTGGAACTGTTTTAACTGGCCTCTTTCATAATTGTTAATTCTGCTGCTTAGTTAAGTCCTCAATTTCTTAAAGCTTTGAAACTTTGGGCACATAACATATATTTGTAAAAGCTTTGTAAAAGTAGATGAAGATTGTAATCATTCAGATTATGGAAAACAATTAAACTCATGCTCTATATTTGTTACATTTGTTCACTCTATTTTTTTCACTGTGGATATGACATTCACAGTAATTTCAGTCCATCATATATGTATTTTATGCATGCATGGAATGCCTAAGTCCATTAGCAGATTTGATTTCAATGTAAACTCTGACATCTGTGGACACAGATGAAGTCTCCTCCCTGAGAATGCTAATTCCTTTACATCAGTGATAAGAAACCTCTGTGGCCCTCCAGATATTGCTGGGCTACAGTTTCCATCATCTCTGACAATTTGCTGTACTCTTGGGGTTGTTGGGAGCTGGAGTCCAACAACATCTGTTGGGCAACAAATTCCTAATCCCTGTATCAGGGAAGCACACTTGCCAGTGTCACGGTGAGACTTACTTCTGTGTAGTCATGAATAGGATTGAACTGCTAAGGTATATCCATAGTAATGAATAATCTTACTGCTTCATTAATTCTGCATTTAGCTGGTAGTTTGCTTCTCAGTGTGCCGAATCTCCCAATTCCTTCCTTTAAAATGTTTTTGAAGACTTCATATATACGTTCTGCATCTTACCAGAGCATCTTACTTATTCACTTAATTTAAGGTGACTACTCACCAGTTGCATGATATGAATACATTGCATAAACTCTTTGATTTTATTTCACAGTATTTGGCAGTTATGCTTTGAAACAACTTTTGCCTTATATATGAATTCATTAGTTCCAGCTTAGGTTTTCTTTTCTGTTTGTGTTGCTCTCCTTAGTTTTGGTCTTTTTGAAGCAATGTCTGCTATTGAAATGATGGATCCCAAGATGGATGCTGGTATGATTGGAAACCAAGTTAATCGAAAAGTTCTTAACTTTGAACAAGCTATCAAGGTTGGCACACTTTGCGTTTTTGTCAGCTGCTTGGTGATTCATGAAAATGATTATCATCATTTAATGAACTCTAATATGCTAAACTTCAAATTTAAAGCAGTGTGTAATTTCAGATCTACATGAGTGTAGAACAGCTCTGTTCCACTATTATTATATCCGCCTTTTTCTTCAACAGGGTCTAAAAGCAGCTTAGTACTAAAATAGATACAGTGTAAAACATAGGGGATGGGAAGCAATAATTAAAAAACAATTAAACATCAACTCACTCTGTGTGTGTGTGTGTTTTGATGATGTATTAAAACATACAGCCATTACAATAAAACTATGCATGGAGGAGAGGTTCTAAGGGAGAAGGCAGAGAGGACTGTATGGTGTTCGATACATGACTCTTGTTCCATCACACAGCACTACAAACTCAACATAAAGCTGCACACTGCTTCTAGAGTCTCACTTCCATTTATGCACATCACTTTCGCCTCCCTGCCCCCATACAGGTGCTTTTTTTGGTAGGCTGATGAAATTTAATTTGCCAATGATGGAAATTCATGCGCGCACTCTCTCTTTTTTAGGATGGTACCATTAAAATTAAAGATTTATCATTACCTGAGTTGATAGGGATCATGGACACTTGTTTTTGCTGCTTGGTAAGAATATTATGTTTTTATGTTTGATTAGTATGAGTAACAGTATTCCAGGAGTGTTTTGATAGAAGTTCCCAGTCAAGTTACTAGTTAGAACAGCTTATCAATTTTAACTCTATGGAGTTTCTGGAGATGCAGTTCTAAACACAACTACTAGATTTCTATTAATGTGGGTGGGATTACTTCTGAGTAAACATGTATAGGAGTGCACTTTGAATTAGGGTCCAGATTAAAGCTATGGTATATTTCCTCCAAACAAATAATTTTTAAAACATGGCTCAGTTTGTATAATCAAACCTCTGACAAAATGAAAAATGTACAGTATTACATTTCATCCTCCCAGATTTTGTTTCCTTTGCAGAAATAAATTTATAAATGTAAACTAACATTGGGTAAAATCCAGCCATCCATCGCCCACTATGCTAGTGCATCCTATGGAGGGGAAGATGAATTTCAAGGCCAGGTAGATTGCAACCCTTACTGGTGCTCTTGTAGTGAATAAGGCTGTGTTTGGAGATCTGAGCTATTTGGCCCTGGTCTGTCTGCCATGCCACAGCCTCCTACATACAAGTGCCCTGATAAGAGTAGTGACAATCTTGCAGCTGCACTAGTCCTGAATAAACATCCCCTGCACAGATCCTGACTGATGTCTAGATGCTTTCCTGTAGGACATGGTAGTGTGTCCGTTGTTGGGCCAAGCTTAGTGTGCTGTTTTATACCTCGAGCATATGTGAAAGAGGAAGTGGAAGGTCACTGTACCTGACTTCCTTTGGATTGCGGTTTTCTGATAGCAGCTCTGACGGAGTTTCTGCTTTAAGGCCCAGCTTATTGTGGAGTTTTATACCTGGTGAAAATGTGGTAGAGCAAGTTGGAAGGTCAGTGGGCCTGAAGTCCTTAAGAATTAATGCCATTTGCTGGTGGCATCTCTTATGTTGCCACTCAAAGTTCATTTGTGCATGAAGTTTCTACTCCCTACCTTCTATGACTTTGCCTAGGATTCCAGATTGTGTCCATGAGCCTTACTACTTTATAGAACCTATTTGGTGCCCAATATTCACTGAAGTATAATGGATGTAAAACACATTAATGACGTAAATCAGAGCATCTTTGTTTTTTCATGCGGTCTGTAGAATGGAGTAGGCAATATTCAAAGCAACATTTTCCCACCTCTTTTGGATCGTGGAATTGAAGTTAAATATTCAGTTACTCTTTAGTGAAAAAAATATGAATTGAGTAACAAAATTGGTCTCCTGCCCTTTTCATTCTGTAAGCTTGATTTCTTTTTCAGATTACATGGTTGGAAGGTCATTCTTTGGCACAGACAGTATTCACTTGCCTTTATATTCATAATCCAGACTTTATAGAAGATCCTGCCATGAAGGCATTTGCTCTGGGGATCCTCAAAATCTGTGATATTGCTAGAGAAAAAGTAAACAAAGCTGCAGTATTTGAAGAGGTAAGTCGTTGTTCAGCTGATGATTTCTTCTACCCATTATTAGTAAATACAACTTGCCTTGTATAACTTTTTTTAGTTTGCTGCTGTCTTCCAATTGTAGTTTCTGGTTTTAAACTCATAACTAGTTCTTTATTTAATAATTCTTTATTTCATAAAAAATTACATACCTTTCGACTGGTTTTTTCAAATCTCATCGTGGCTTACAAAAAGAATAAACAATGAAATTATCATTAAAAATTGCGTGGGAAACTGATTTGTTAAACAGCTTCATGGGCAGCAGTGTTTTGTAACACTATGTCAAGGATAGGCAACATGATACCTTCCAGATGTTATGGACTACAAGCCCCAGCATCCCTGACTATTAGCCATCCTGGAGTCTGTAGTCCAGAACATCTGGAAGGACACTAGACTGCCTATACATCAGCTATATTATTATTTCAGGAAATTATATACAGCCTACAATAGTTATCTTTGTTCCCCAGTACTTTGATGGAATGATGATTTAACATTTTATGTTGCATTTTACACATCTTGCATTTTTTAAGAGCAGTCTACTGAAATTATCTGTAGGCATAGCTTCCACCTAAAGCTAGAGCCAGATTTTCAGTGCTTTGTGCATAAAGTTATGAAGGAAGCTGTTGTTGGTAGATACACTTTGATTGTAGCACTTAATTTTTCTTTTGTGTGTTTAGGAAGATTTTCAGTCTATGACGTATGGATTTAAAATGGCGAATAGTGTGACAGATCTTCGCGTTACAGGTAAGAGCTGAAACAATTCGGTCCTTTTTCTGGGAAGAAAGTTGTGCTTCATAGGTTTTAAAGGATAAGATTCTAGTCCTATGCACAGTTACCTAGGATCCAGTTCCATTGAGCTCCATTGAACTTTGACACAAGTACTAATGCTCAGTCATTATGCACAGATTGTACGGTCAAGAAATTAGCTGTATTGAGATGGTCCTCCAAATGTCTTATCAAAGCCAAGCTTGCCATTATGTCCGATCTTGGTTTGGATTATTTGAAATACAATGCCTTCAGAATAAGAATGCTGTCATTAAATTAGTGAAGGCAAATCAAAATAATAGATTTAGGGTTCTGAATTTTAAGATTTTAAGGGCTAAGGAACCTATGGCCTTCCAAATGTTGTTGGGTTGCAGCTCTGGCCATCATTCTTAATAGTGGGGGGGGGGGCTGATCAAAGTTGTGCTTCAACAACATCTGGAGGGACACAGGTACCCCCTCCCTGATTTCGTTAGAATGACTGTTGCATGTAGTATGGAAATATTCACTTAGATACACAAAGGAGTCTGCCAAGTGGCATTTATGCTTCTAAACTGAATTACTTTTTTCCAGGTATGTTGAAGGATGTTGAGGATGACATGCAACGGCGAGTTAAGGTACATTTCTTTTATTTCCCCCCCCCCAATTTTTTATTTTATATAGAAATTTGTAGCACAGTTAATGCAATCTAAATATAGCCCCAAAGTGGTAAAGAGTACAATCAAATGCAGCTAATATAAAACACAGAATCACAAACTTCAAGCTGTAGTTGCTGACTCTTAGTAGATCTGCAATATGATGTAACAATCTGGTGGCTCTTCATAAATTCTGTCATAACAAAACGTGTCTTAGGTTCTGTCACCAGGCAGTATTTATAAATATAGGCCAAGTTCGAGCACCTGAGAAGGAGATCATGGTGGCTTCGCTCCTTCATGGTTGTTTTGCTGATCTAAGCCATTGTTTTGCTTATTGTGTTGTCTGAACCAATCTTTATCTTATGACTTGTCTTAGTGAATGAGGACATAGAGTGCTCTCATCTAAACAGATTACTAGGGAGGGATTTTTAATGGAAGACTTTATAAACTACTTAATCCAAAAATTTCTAAGCAGTGTGTATAGATAGAATCAGCAGAATCTGAAAAGTGAAATTTGTACTTCACTTAATATCTAATTAAATTGTTTCTAATGTGTGTTATTGTAGAGCACTCGAAGTCGACAAGGGGAAGAGAGAGATCCAGAAGTAGAACTTGAAGTAAGGATGGTTGCATACTATTACAGAGTGTAAAAAGGTTACTTGAGCAACTTCTAGTGACCTAGAATATGCTCTAAAATAAAATATTTCTCAAGAAACTACAAGGAATTATGCAAAAAGACCAATCACATGGGTGTTTATTTTTGTTTTGTTTTTTTACTGGGCTCGAATTGCGCACCAAATTATCTAGTATCTAAATATACATTAATCACATAAAATGCAATAATTTAATCTTATCAGTAGTAAAGTCCCAGCAAAACAATGGTTATTGGAAAACAACTTTTGTATATACGAGGAGTAAATGTGCTTGTAGCATTTCGTCTAAACGTTATTTTTCTGGAAATTTGGAAATCATTAATTTTGGGATTTATTTTTCTCCCCTATAGCATCAACAGTGCTTTGCAGTATTCAGCAGAGTGAAGTTCACCCGAGTATTACTGACTGTATTAATAGCTTTTACCAAAAAAGAGGTATGATTGCTACAGAGTATTGCTGCTTCAAGTGTTAAAGGCAGATGGGTATGTGAAGCCTCGCTTTTCAGTGGCCCCCTATGGCTGAATAAAGCTGCTGAGGCCAAATAATGGTTGTGCTGGACAGGAGGCTGCTGTCTTCATGTCCTGCTTATGAGCATGCAAGGGGCAGGATGATGGACAAGATGTCCCCTTCATCTGTACCAGTAGCTGTTTTATGCCACACTAATGAAGCCTTTAGGATTACTATCAATTGCAGCATGTATAAAACAGAAGCATAGCTTTAGAGATAAACCTTTACAATTATCTAACATATATAACATTTTTGTTGCATAATTTTATTGCTTTGTTACTAGACCATATGGTAGACATTTATCTGTTGCTCTTGAAATACTGGTGTTATTTTATTGCCTAGTGTCATTCACAGAGATTTTTAAATTGTTTTTTTTAAGACTAGTGCAGTTGCAGAAGCTCAGAAGTTGATGACTCAGGCAGCTGACTTGCTTTCTGCTATCCACAATTCATTACACCATGGCATTCAGGCTCAGAATGACACAACCAAAGGAGGTAAGCAATTATCTTCAGAAGTGTTCTCTGCCTTTGTTCTCTGTTGAGGTATAAAACCACTCAGTGACCTGTTGCTACTCTCATCTAGGTTGATCTTTTGTCTTGACTTTACCTTCTAGTTATTCAATCAGAGATTTTTTTTACTGAACATCCTTCATAATATGTGGTTGTTCAGCTGATGCAGTCTTGTTCACAGATTCAGAACTCTTGTCCACAGAATGTAAAAGGTTGCAAAATTCTGTGGATTAAGAATTATTCAGGCAGCTTCCCATCTTGTAAATCTCCAAAACCCACTCTAAATGAATGGGTATTGGAGCTATTTCAAGAAGGAGAAGGAGCTAGTTCACATGTCATTAGGGAGGTTATTCTAGTGCAAGGTTGTGGAAGCTTTTTAGCCCAGTGGGTCAGATTGTTATCTCTTGTGGGCCAAGTGGGCCAGAGCTGCCCCCCAATCAATCATCTGTTGGCGCTAGGATGACAGGTGATCTATATTGCTTTTCTTCAGAAGCTCCTTTCAAAGCACTATTTTGCTCAGCAATTTGAAAAGGGCTTTTCAGGCACCACTGATTTGCAGTACAAACACCCCATCTGCTGAACCAGGTTTTAAACTGCCCCACCCCCCAGATGCTTGCCCTCTGCGCACAGGTGGGGTGTGGCAGAGCTTTTGTGGGTATAGGCCAAGTTGGCAGCAATCTTTTACCCCATTTGCCGTCTGGATGTTATTGAATGATGCTATACCATGCTTGATGGCATGGACGTCCCATGATACAGTCAGAGATTTGCATAGGTGCTGTGAAAAAGCAATCAGCTGGCTCTCATTGATAACATTTCTCTAGCTGTGATTTGATACGTGTGAATCAGTACAAGGTTGTTTCTCAGAGCACCCGACTGATGAGTCATAGTGGGCTATGGCCCTCTTAAAAACTCATGGCCAAAATCCAGTCACGTTGCATGTAGCTCTGAGACAGCGTCATCCGCACAAAGTAAAGTATACATTAATACACATAAAATGGTTTCCCTCCTGAGAAGAAAAATGCACAGTCATAAATCATAGTCACTTATTGATATATTCGGTTTTTTGCAGGTACACTACTGCTCAAAGCAGTTTGCAAAAAAAAAGAAGAATCTGTCTAAATACAACAGTACAAATAATCATAATATCAATTACAATGCCACTAACAAAACTAAATTACCTTGAGCATATTGTTTTTCTAATAGTCATTTTAAATTGCTTAATTGACAAGAAGAAATTGCTTAATATTTTGAATGCCTTGTTTCCCCCCACACACACCCTAATTTTTCCCCCTGGCTGAAGTAGCTAGTGTATGATACAGCACTTAGTTGGGATTGAGAATAGTAATTGGACATTTGTCTTTCTTTTTTTAATAGATCATCCTATTATGATGGGTTTTGAACCCCTTGTTAATCAGAGATTGCTTCCTCCAACTTTTCCTCGATATGCAAAAATTATTAAAAGGGAAGAAATGGTCAACTATTTTTCAAAACTTATAGACCGAATAAAAACTGTCTGTGAAGTTGTCAATTTAACTAATTTGCACTGCATACTGGTAAGTATCAACACTGTTAGCTTTTTGTTCATAGGGACATAAGAGAATGTTACTTGAATAGCTCCCGGCACTTGTGCACAAATATCTGCATACTTTTTCTTTGATTTTACTTCTTGTTGTTTCACATGCGGAATAAATGTAGAAGAAACTTAGACTATAAAACTTTGATGAAAACTAGGGAGAGAAACTAGGGTGTGAAAACGGGGGTGAAGGCAGACATAAGCATTTCTTCTCACAGAAGACAAGTTTTTGCTGATTTCCCCACCACCACCCATGGCAGTCCACCTCGTTATATTTGTTATACAAATCCCCCCATAACCCTCAGCAGGAGCTTTTCAAGGGGTGCAGGGAGTGTGGCTGCAGTATGTAGAAAGGATCTGTGACAACGATGTTGGGAATCTGAGGTGAGATGCCCATGCAATGGAAGTTGCCCTCAGTGCCAGTAATCATACAGAAGTTGCTTAAGGTCCAAAATAGTTTACAGCTGCAGAAGATAAAGCTTCAGTAATATAGTTCTGAACACTGATACAGTCATACCTCGGGTTACAGACGCTTCAGGTTGCGTTTTTTCAGGTTACGGACCGCCGAAACCCAGAAGTACCGGAACAGGTTACTTCCAGGTTTTGGCGGTCGCGGATGCACAGAAGTATTAAATTGCGCTTTGCACAGAAGCGCCAAATTGCAACCAATGCGTGCGCAGACGCGCCGTTGCGGGTTGCGAACGCTGCGGGTTGTGAACGTGCACCCCGCACGGATCACGTTCGCAACCCAAGTGTCCACTGTATATTCATATAGCTAGTAGTAGTAGTAGTAGTAGTAGTAGTAATAATAATAATAATAATAATAATAATATAATATAATTTTATTTATATCCCGCCCATCTAGCTGAGTCTCCCCAGCCACCCTGGGCAGCTCCCAATCAAGTGTAAAAAACAATAAAGCATTAAATATTAAAAACTTCCTTAAACAGGGCTGCCTTCAGATGTCTTTTAAAAATAGGATAGCTGCTTATTTCCTTGACATCTGGTGGGAGGGCGTTCCACAGGGCGGGCGCCACTACCGAGAAGGCCCTCTGTCTGGTTCCCTGTAACCTCACTTCTCACAATAAGGGAACCGCCAGAAGGCCCTTGGCGCTGGATCTCAGTGTCCGGGCTGAAAAATGGGGGTGGAGATGCTCCTTCAGGTATTTGCAGATACAGATATATACAAGTTCAAAGTATTTATGTTGCTCCAGCAATTCAAGATGTAACACAGACTTCACCTCAGTTCTCATGGTTGACCCTGACACACTAGGATAGACTCCAATGCAGACAGCACAAGACCCCAGATACAATGAGCTGAGGCCAGCACTGGGCCATTGTCACAGCAACTAGCTTGGCTGACCTTGGACCTGTTGGCTTATCTTATATGTGGGGTGATTTGTGCTCATAAAGGAAATTAAGCCCTTCCTCCATGTCCAGTTCCTCCAACAAACTGGGTGTCCAGTCTTGCACAGGCAGAAGTGCTTCCACTGGCTACAACCCTACAGTTAATGCAGAACTCAGGGAAGTTTTTATTTTTCTTCTCATTCTATCTGCCAAAAATTTCTCCATACCAAATGGAGATAGTAAAACTCACCCAACTCTCTCTATGTCTTAGAGAACCAATACCCTCTCCCTTTCAACATTTTAATGGTATCTGCATCAGCAAAGTGGTCAAGGAGTAGACAAACAAATCGAATTATTGGCATTTAGGAGGTTATTGTGGAGAGTCCTGTCTAATGGACTCATGTGTTCACTGCAAAGCTGATTTTTATTTCTTCGTGGTGTAAATCATTGTGTTATGCTAATCATAATTTTCCCCATTCTGTTTATAAATTAGGATTTTTTCTGTGAATTTAGTGAACAATCACCTTGCGTTCTTTCAAGATCATTGTTACAGGCAAGTAGAAAATGACGTATACAGAAAATACATTTTAGGTGTGTCAAGTCACTGTGTGAAGTAACAAATGTATTGTTTGTTGCAGACTACTTTTCTTGTGGATAACAAAAAGGTATTTGGTACTCATCTCATGCAAGATATGGTGAAAGATGCCCTGCGATCTTTTGTCAGTCCTCCAGTACTTTCACCTAAGTGAGTAACAAAATCTAGTTTTGATATTATATGCATGTTTACCTCATGTCTCATTATTTAACAAAATCACACTGCATCTGACTAGATTCAGTTAAATGAAAATTGTTCATGCTTTGGGACCTATACAAGGCAATTCTTTGCAGGCTGTGATACCAGAATGTGACTTAGATGCTACCTTCTACTGCATTGTAACTCTGTACGTGAATAATGGCCAATCATTTGCCTCTCCTTGAATGTCTGTAAGTAGGCCAAAAGGAGGTGATATTTATCTTCCTCATCAGGCAGTCCAGCATGACTGCAGTTGTTCCCATGTGACGCCAAACTTTTAAAGAGGAACACAAAAATGTTAGATGTAAATCTGCAAGGAACACTTAGAACCTAAAATAAGTTTATCTATTTTCCCATTCAGGATCATGCAGCTTTTTATACTATCAGCTACTTCATAAGAACAGAGTCCCTAATGAACACAATCTCTCACTAGTTTTCAATGCTTTTGGTTTACACATCCCCTTAGAAACAGTTCTGAGATCAATATGGCACAGCCATATTCAGGATGATAAGCCAAGCCCTTGATTTTACAACACTGCAGGATTTTCACTTAGAACAATTTTGTCCCTTCTCTCTTAGATGTTGTCTATATAATAACCACCAGGCTAAGGACTACATTGACTCCTTTGTCACGCACTGTGTTCGAGTGAGTATTGATGGCATTACAGAATATTTAAACACTTATGCACATTAAGTATAAAAGATGGTATATTTTCATGTAAAAAGAGGACTGTTGGACCAAATGTTCATCTAGTCCATCATTCTGTTCCTACAATGGCCAACTAGATGCCTATGAGGAGCCCACAAACAGGAGGACAGGACTACACTCTCGCTTGCATTCCCCAGCCATTGGCATTTGGGTGCAGGCTGCTTCTGCTCTGAGAGGTAGTGCATGACTACCATGACCAGTAGCCTTTGATGGCCTTAAGTGCCATGCATTGTCTAGTCCCCTTTTTAAGCCTTCCAAGTTGGTAGCCGTTGCTGCATCTTGTCATAGGGAATCCCATAGCCTATGCGCTGTGTAAAGAAGTACAGTGGTACAGTGCGGATGGGATCCATCTGGAGCTCCGGTCAGATCCCGAGGTTTCCACAACCGGAGGGACCGCTTCTGCGCATGCACGCGCGGCGAAACGCTTCCAGGTTTGCCGCTTTTGCAACCCGAAGTTTACATTATCCGAGGGTAACGTAAACCAAGATGCTACTGTCCTTCCCTGGTCATTCCTGAATCCCTTCTGTGCCACTGGGGGTTGATATTATGACAGAGGGAGAAAAACGTCTACGTGAGGACCATGATTTATAATATAACTCCTTGGGAAAGGAGGAAGCCCAGCCTGAAGTTTTGGTTTCAGTAAGTTTGTTTTTTGTCCCCATGGCAGAAGTAAATGGAGAAATTCTGGATTTTACTGTAGCTGTGATTGCGTAGCAAGTGTCGCCTGCCCCCAGCACAGATTACTCTCCTCTTCCTCGAGTTCCTTCAGTTTATCTGCCTGTAGGAATTGAAGTTACTTACACTTTGCAAGCTGGGATGAAGCAGTTGAGGCAGCAAAAGATAAAGTACAGCGATAGTTTGGATGGGCATTCTAAGTCACCTCAACTTGTTTTTGTGTAAAACAGACCTACCTCAGTCGATGCTTCCCCTGCAAGCAGCATCTCATTGGGTCCTCAGGCACCTGATTAGGCTTTAGCACTCCACCCCACCCCACCCCCAAATTGCAAGGTTCTATGGGAAAATATAGTATCTATGAAGCAGAACTCTTAAGGGTGCAGAGATCTCTGTGATGGAGACCTTAAAATACTTAGGAAATGTTCAGAACATTATCGCCTACTCTTCCTCCACCCCCAATAAATAGAAAAGAAAGAGGACTGACTCCTCATCCTTCTGAAGGCTCCTTCTCCCTCTTTACAGACCGTCCCTTAATGCCTGCTAAGGGCGCTGGGACCCTTGCTATTCCTGCCCCATGGAGGATTAGAAGAAAGAGCTATTGGGGTGAGATCAACCTTTAGAAGCAAGCTTTGTCCTTGTTCGATGATGGATAGAATGTTAACGTTTTAAAAGGCGTGGAGAGATCTAAGCAGAGGTTTCCATAATCTGCATGCTGAAGAGCAATCCTAACACAAACGTTGAGCCTCCAGCTTTTACCATGATAAGGCGCTGGTAGCAAGCTTTTATTTTGTTACTGCATCATTCTACTGAATCAGTGAAGTTAAATATCAGGCAGCGGGGGATAAGAAACTGGCACCCACCTTAATCAAGATGTCACTAGTAGCAATATCTATCACAAAGCTTACAACTGGCTCAGACTCTGAATCACTGATCCCCTCATCTCTTACTGTCTTTGGTGAACCTCCCAACAGCTAATCATGGACCTGTCAGAGAAAAAGAAAAAGTTTCTGCCAAATCCTACTTTTTATCCCTGTGATTTCTTTGCTAAGACACGTGCAGAAGTTGTACCGAGTGTGTCCAGTTGCATCTAAAGCATCGTCTTTGAAATGAGTGGCATCTTTCTACACCTGTTTGTTTTAGCAATATGCAGGATGTGTTTGGCTCTGTGTTGTCCAACCAGCACATAGACTCAGATAAATAGCACCCTGACTGCCTTAAGTCAGCACTGCAATTGAGCCCAGAACTCAGCCAGGTTTCCTTTGTTGGTGTTTCAAAAGGGCCAAGTTGGGCACTGATGGGCACAACAAAGTGTCAGGCTACCTCTAGTTAACTTAAGGAACAGCCTTATGATGTGTAATGCAAATAAAGTCTAGGGTGTGAAAATGAAGTATACAAGACTAAAAATTCACCAGATTTTCTTTTTTTCCAGCCATTCTGTAGTTTGATTCAGATTCATGGGCACAACAGGGCTCGTCAGAGAGATAAACTTGGCCACATTCTTGAGGAATTTGCTACTTTGCAAGATGAGGTAATTCAAAGGGAGACACAATACTGTACAGAGCATAAGATCATGAACAGTGCTTTGTGTTTTCTATCCTTCCCCCACAACAGCTCTTGTAACGGTCAAATGTGTAAGCTGTGCAGTCAGCATTAGAACTTTGGACAGAGTTTCTAATGGCCAAGCCTATCTGCTGCTGCTATTCCTTCCTCGTGCCTCCAAGACCCCATTTGCAGGCTTGCTTTCTTGTACTTTCCTTGCTGTTTCAAAAAGCACTTAAATTTAATCCAAATTTCATTGTCCATGAATATTTACCTTTAACTTTGGGGGGAAATATTTTTTTCTTTACACATGGCCATACTATGTTTTATTGATGAGTGCTTTATCTCCTTAATATGATGTGGCATAACAAAGTACACAGGTGTATTAAAGTAGAGAATATGCACTGGGATTAGTGAAAGGAAAAGCATTCCACAGTGGGGAAATGTTGATTATAGTGGTTAAGAAATGTCTAGGTTACACAAAAAAATTAATGTGCCTAAGAAGCAAATTTCTGGGGTGTGACATCCTCTGGGAAACAGAGTGCTTAATTTAATACAAATTAGAATATTTTGAGCATGACCTACTACTCCTTTGAACACTTCTTCAATTTTGCTGTTTCAAGTATATGACATTCTTGTTATCTGGCTTCCAGCTCTGGATCTGGAATGTGACTGCGGGCATAAATCATGACTCTTGTCAATATTGTTTGGCAATTTACAGACGTGATACTTAACGCCACTTCTTTCAACTTGTTAGGCAGAAAAAGTGGACGCAGCGCTTCACAGTATGCTGCTGAAACAAGAACCCCAAAGGCAACACTTGGCCTGCTTGGGCACCTGGGTCCTTTACCATAACCTTCGCATCATGATACAGTATCTTCTGAGTGGGTTTGAACTGGAACTCTACAGTATGCACGAATACTACTACATATATTGGTAAGAGGAACAAATTACCGTATTTTTCGCTCTATAAGGCACACCGGACCATAGGGCGCACCTAGTTTTTAGAGGGGGAAATCAAGAAAAAAACTCTTATTTCCCCCCCCCCCCGCCCCAAAGAGCAGCGTACAGGCTGCGCGCAACCTCTCCCTGCCGGAGGGGTTGCGCATGGCTATGGCACAAGCCAAGACAGCGAGCGGGATGGATATGGATCCCGCTCACTATTTTGGCTTCCTTTTTAGCCGTGCGCTACCTTTCCCTGCCAGAGGGGTTGCACACAGCTATGGCACAAGCGAAGACAGCGGGCGGGATCCATCCCGCTCGCTGTCTTGGCTTGTGCCTTAGCCATACGCAACCCCTACGGCAGGGAGAGGCTGCGCGGGGCTAAAGAAGCCATAGCCGCGTGCAGCCTCTCCCTGCCAGAGGGGCTGCGCACGGCTATCCCTGAAGCCTTCCGAGCGCAGCGCAAGTTCCCACTGCGCTCCTCAGGCTTCGGGTTCCTTTTGCTGAAGCCGGGAGAGCAAGACACACCTGGCTTCAGCGAAAGGAACCTGAAGCCTTCAGAATGCAGCGCTGTGCTCCGAAGGCTTCAGGCGGCTATCCATGAAGCCTGGAGAGTGAGAGGGGTCGGTGCACACCAACGCCTCTCGCTCTCCAGGCTTCAGTGAAAGCAACGTGAAGCCTCCAGAGCGCGGACGGAGCGCTCCCTCTGTGCTTCGGAGGCTTCGCGTTGCTATCGCTGAAGCCAAGCAGCCTGCATTCACTCCATAGGACGCACACACATTTCCCCTTAATTTTTGGAGGGGGAAAAGTGCGTCCTATAGAGCGAAAAATACGGTACTTGGGAGCAGGGAGGAGATATTGTTGTCAATAAAATACAATGTATTCTGTAGCAGAATAGGCAGTGCGGCATAAGTGCATTCTTTGAACTGCTATTTATACTGCACAAGATTTGCAAGAATTTACTATAGATTGCAAGGATGTTTGTTGTAGGGCTGGGCAATATCTGGTTTTCAACATTGTGATATATCGTCAGGTAACTACAACAATACGCTGATGTATCACGATGTTTGAAATGCATCTCATCAGCTTCTTCCTCCCCGCCTTACAGTAGGAAGAAGCAGCCAAGATACATCGCCCAGCCAAGCCCCAATACCTCTCCAACTTGTGTGCAAGCCAGAGGGACATTTTTAAACTGCTCAGCTGAGGCATGGAAGCCTTTCTGTGCCTCAGTTGCACTAGTAGTGTGATAGCTAGAGGAAAGATCCTGCTCTGTGCCTGCTTTGTGGTTTGCTGCCCCCTGCAGGAGGCAGAGGAGAGCTGGACCGGTTAACAGACAAGCGCATTCTCTGGCTTCAAGCAGTTTATTGTCAGGGCAAATATTTTGAACTGGTTTATCACAATGTGGACTCAAAACTAGTTTTCAACAATCTGTCACCATATTGCCGAGGCCTGGTGTGTTGCTTATACTGAAAACCTGTTTTTGTATTTAAGGCGTTTATAGTGGTGCTCTTCAGCTACTCAAGAATGTGGTCTTGGCCATCCCAGAAACGTAACCAAACTTCGCCTAAATTTTGTCCTGTTTTCTGCTGTAGGTATCTCTCTGAGTTTCTCTATGCATGGCTAATGTCAACTCTCAGTCGTGCTGATAGCTCTCAAATGGCAGAAGAAAGAATAATGGAAGAGCAGCAGAAAGGCCGGAGTAATAAAAAAACCAAGAAAAAGAAAAAAGGTATAGCTGCTTTTCAAATACCTTGCAAGCTGGTTTTTATCACATCTTATCTTTCTGTTAGAACACTTGAAATTGATGGTTTTCCTGTGTTCAGCCATCTAAATAAGGTTCAATAGGTATTTCACTTATCTTCATATAGTATGAGTCTAATGTTTGTTGTTAACAATTTTAAAATGTAGATTCATAAGACTGTTATCTGTGACTGAATAATGAAACTGAATGATGAAATTGAATATAACTATTTATAGTTACTTTCCAAAATTGGTAACCACTGAATAAAGTGTTTTATTCTCTGTAGTCTAGGGATTACGGAACTAGATCTTGCCAGTAGGCCAGATCCTATATCCCCTACTATCCAATCCCCAGGTCAGATTTGGCAAGTGCGTGGGGAAGTCCATCTGTTAATCACCTGACATCCCCAGTGATTGAAACCTTACTAATTGGCTGAACATTGGCACTTCACTTTTATTGTTGGGTAATAAAACTCCTAATTCATCTATTTATCATCCTATTTTAGTTCTTTATACAGCAACAGTGATTCCCCCTCCCCAAGTTCTTCTGCCCCTGAGCAGTCAAAGCATGATTTTTGTTATGGCTACATGAATCTTGTAGTTAATTTTGGGTTTTGCAGGGTAGTAGGTCTGTCACTTGCAAAAACTGCCGTAGTTGTTTACATCCTGCATTTTTTAATTCTGGTGAAATCAACATTACATGGTAAAATATTTCTGTATATGACATTTGCAGCTCGTCCTCTGAGCAGAGAGATCACCATGAGCCAAGCCTATCAAAACATGTGTGCTGGAATGTATAAGGTGAGTGATGTATTGTGGATTGTGATTGTAAATATAACTTTTTTTAAAAAAAATGAAATTTGGATACTTTTCAGAATTAAGGCAAGAAAACTGTACTTGAACACTCCTAAATGACTGCATGTTTTCCTAAGTAATGCTATGTGTAGGAACAGTGCAAACATAGCTTAACTATGAAACAATTTCAGTTGTTGGCTGAATTGGATCCCAGACTAGTTAATATCATTCTTTCAGCTCAAAAGCTAGTTATGGGTTGGGCTTGGCAGGGGAATTTCTGGTGCTGGGAGGGAGAGAGCATGTGATCCTATAGTTTAAGAATGAGCAGTGTTATGTCTGCATTCCGTGACACTTTTCCAAATGAGTTAGTGTGTGGATAGAACTATAGTCAGCATATTGTGGTGTTAAAAACAAAGATTATGATCCAAAGAAACTGTGCTTGTCCTCAATTAAGATGGGATGCATTTTATATGCCAGATAGTACCTAAGGAAATGTTGGCATTCTTTTTGTTTTGTTATGACAAAGCAGAACTAGCACACACAGATTTCTTCCGTACAAGTTGTATCAGAAGTTCCTCTCCTTAATACTGCCAAATTTGTCGCTAAGGTGTGAGGCTACTGGAATCAGTTTGGCAGATTAGTAAATACTTTTCAGTTGTAACACCCCTTTCAAGAGACCAATGAGTGGAAACCATATGTGTCATGTTTCATTGCGTTGCAGCTACATTTATTTTTCCTCTGGCATCTTTCTGGAGTCACTTGTCTCTGTATGTGCACCAGTGCTTCTGTTGCTGATACAGTGGTACCTCGGGTTACATATGCTTCAGGTTACAGACTCCGCTAATCCAGAAATATTACCCTCGGGTTAAGAACTTTGCTTCAGGATAAGAACAGAAATCATGCAGCGGCGGCGCAGCGGCAGCAGGAGGCCCCATTAGCTAAAGTGGTGCTTCAGGTTAAGAACAGTTTCAGGTCAAGAACTGACCTCCAGAACAAATTAAGTTCTTAACCCGAGGTACCACTGTACATTGCAATAAGCAGATTTCTCATTCTGTGTATTTCTCTTCCCTGTTTCTCCTGAAGACTATGATTGCTTTTGATATGGATGGCAAAGTGAGAAAGCCGAAGTTTGAGCTCGATAGTGAGCAAGTTCGGTACGAGCACAGGTTTGCCCCTTTCAACAGTGTCATCACGCCACCACCCGTACACTATTTGCAGTTCAAGGTGAGCCACAAGAACATTACAGGACGTGTGTTTATTATATGGTTTAGTTTCCCTTCCTCTTGGATCTTTACCAGTTTGATGGGTTTCCCTCCATTGTAATGGAGGCAGGCAACACTCTGTTCAGTAAGCAGGGCACACCCCAAGGTTCCTTCTTTATTTGCCTGCCTACGTTGGGGAGAATGCCATAGTTAAAACCAAAGCACACGAAATAAAAAGCCATTTCCCAAGTGTTCATTAGTTGCAAAGCATTAAATCTTTTTAAATTATTTAATAGATCGCCTTTTATCCAATTACAAAATTATACAAGGAAGAACTAGGGAGTAAATGTGTAGATACTATTTTGCTTCATTCTGCTGTCACCTCTGTGCCTCTAAAGCGTAGCCTCATTCAAAAGAAGGCTCTTTCTGGGGGATTTTGGCTGTTCTTAAAGGATGCTTATTTTTCTGATATTTAGGAAATGTCTGACCTAAACAAATACAGTCCCCCACCTCAGTCCTCTGATCTCTACATGGCTGCTAGCAAACACTTTCAGCAAGCTAAAATGATCCTGGAAAATATCCCTAACCCAGACCATGAGGTGAGATCCTTTCTAACATATTGCTAAGAATTGGCTGTATAAATTGCTGGCACTTGATTGGGGTGTTTTTTAAACAGAGAACATTTAACGTTGCTTCAGTTACAGAATTGGAATTATCTTGGTATACAAATAGTATTGAAGTTTGCAAAATACATTCAGTGTCCCCAACTCTGCTAGTATATATCCTTATTAGCATCAAATGTATCTGCCATGCCCTAAAATACCTGAAGTCTGTTTGAGTTTATGGCGGATGGAGATTCCTCTTTTAGGTTTCCCTTCAGCTGACAAATGGATTGTAGGATCTGCTTTGAACTAACAAAAGTACCTTTTCTTCTTGCCCCATCTTCCAAAATCTTATATCCAAGTCTATAGAGTAGCAGCTGCAGCTGTTTTGGTTTTGCTGATGACAGGTCTTGATGAGGTTCCATGTTTTGAAACTCATTTTACAGAAGTCCCCTTCCTCTTAAATTCAGCAATGGTTTGCTGATCTACTCCTATTCCTGAATTGGAGGATAAAGATTCTGTTGGCCTTACTGTTCAGTCGTGGTGCTCAGCTCTCTTCAGACTTCCTTTTTTTTAGATGGCCGTTTCTACATGTGCTTATGGATTTCTTTGAGCCCTGACAGTCAAATGAGGTGTTGATTAGCTAGCTGTTTTAGGACAATCAGCTGTACTTTATTCACTGCCTTCACAACTTAAGTTCACTTTGGGATTTGGGTTAGAGGATCAACTCATCTCCCCATGTGTTTGTTGAATGAATGAATGAATGAGGGTTTGTTTTTCGTTTTTTAAGTGCTTTTCCTTTAAAAGCTATTTGCCATATTCTAACACATTAGGTACATTTCAGCCCCACTGACTTCAGTTTGACGTTAGTATGCATTCAAATTTTAACTGCATTTAAATCAGTTTCACTTAATAATATAACTTGAAAGCAGAGTGTTGGTGTTTGCATCAAGTTTTGCTGCTTTTTAAATAATACAAAAAACGAATACAGTAAACACTGCAAGTACCATTTTATTGTGAATTCAGTTCTTCTTTTTTCTGTCTGTGAACTATATCAAACTTTAATATTTCTGTTTAGGTCAACAGAATTCTTAAAGTTGCTAAGCCCAATATTGTGGTCATGAAGCTGCTGGCAGGAGGTCACAAAAAGGATTCTAAAGTAAGCAGATTGTTGCTAAATTAATATCACTGCTTTTGAAACATTGCATTGGACTATGAGAAGGGGTAGATGTATTGCAAATATGTCACATGCTAGTGGGCCATGATTAAAGAGTATATTTTTAATGGCACACTCGAGAATTGGTGCATAGTTTCAGTTAAAAAGGCAGATAACAAACTATATTGGTGGGGCATGTTGCTGTAACTACTTAATAGTATAATATTTAATACATTTATTCTAAAAGACATAGTGCTATGTTGTAATACAGTGGTACCTCGGGTTACATACGCTTCAGGTTACATACGCTTCAGATTACAGACTCTGCTAACCCAGAAATAGTGCTTCAGGTTAAGAACTTTGCTTCAGGATGGGAACAGAAATCTTGCTCCGGCGGCGTGGCAGCAGCAGGAGGCCCCATTAACTAAAGTGGTGCTTCAGGTTAAGAACAGTTTCAGGTTAAGTACAGAGCTCTGGAACGAATTAAGTACTTAACCCGAGGTACCACTGTACCTTAAAAGTCTTGGTTGGGCTGCAGCCCTTTACCAAAATACTTGAGAATAAGCCCCATTGAACTTCATGTCCTGATTCGTACATAACACCAACCCACCAGTTTTGGGGGTGGCGCTGTGGGTTAAACCACAGAGCCTAGGACATGCCGATCAGAAGGTTGGCAGTTCGAATCCCCGTGACGGGGTGAGCTCCCATTGCTCAGCTCCTGCCAACCTAGCAGTTTGAAAGCATGTCAAAGTGCAAGTAGATAAATAGGTACCGCTCCGGCGGGAAGGTAAACGGCGTTTCCGTGCGCTGCTCTGGTTTGCTAGAAGCGGCTTAGTCATGCTGGCCACATGACCCAGAAGCTGTACACTGGCTCCCTCGGCCAATAAAGCAAGATGAGTGCCGCAACCAGAGTCATCCGTGACTGGACCTAATGGTCAAGGGTCCCTTTACCTTTACTTTCCTAAGTGAACACACCCGATCTCCACTTCCCAGACTAGTGTGCAGATTGGAATGTAGTTCTCTGTAGGAATCTCAGACCGTATTTTTATGAAGTGGTTGAGGGCTGATTTCAGTGCTTTTTGTTCTTTTAAAAGTTACTAGCTGCCCTGCACAGCTCAAAAACATAGCTCCCACCACTCAGGGTGAAAATAAAGCTGTCATTGGAGTGGCAAGTCATGAGGATAAGACATCCCTCCCAGAGACTTGTATAGAGGAAAGAATGGCTTTTTTCCATGCATTGTCCTTGAAAGCCTCCCAGGATCATGGTATGAGTGAAAATGACAGCTCCATAGCTGTCAACGTTTCCCTTTTTTTTAAAGGGAAATTCCCTTATTCTGAATAGGATTCCTCACAAGAAAAGGGAAAAGTTGACAGCTATGGACAGCTCAGTGGGTTTATCATAAGCTGCTTTCCCAGAGCCAGTTTCGACACCATTTTCAAAATGTGTGGCAGGAGCTGCGCTTTAGTCACTCCAGGCAGTTTGCGCCTATGAAATGGGAAAAAATAAAGTCATCCCTTGTATTGCAAGTACTTTGAAGACCCCCAAAGCAAACCCTAACCCTCCCAAAAAATCAGTCTGCACACACTCAGGATGTATTCAAAAGGCACATGAAATGGATAAAGACTGGCCCATCCATCCCTAGTCCAATATAGTGCACTTGGCAGTGTATCTAATTTTTGCATAAGTTCTGTATGGTTTGTGTCTGGAAGAGATGGTAAAGAGTGCTTTGTCTCACCTTTTTGCTGTTCATCTTCAGGGTTTTCTCACTCTTGGAATCCAAAATGCTTAATTAAGGAGTCATTTGGACATGCTTTAAAGTATCTTTCAATGCTTTTTCTTCTAGGTTCCGCCAGAATTTGACTTCTCGCCTCACAGATACTTCCCAGTAGTGAAGCTTATTTGAGGCAAAGGATTAGAAGAACAAACAATCTATAATATGTACAACAGAGCTGCTTTGGTAGGCTCTTTTATACTGTGCTCAAAAGGGACATGATTCACTTGGACAAAAGTACCGTTGTATTGGGAGTAGCTTTATTTTGGCTTCCACACAGCTTGAGTGACAACTGCAGTTTTAAAGTGGTTTGTGTAACGTTTTACCATTGGACCTGATTTTAACAACTTCACTGTTAAAGCATTGTATGTTTCGGTTTTACTTCAGTTTTACCCATAAATCATTTTTATGAATGGCTTTTGAATATTTGTAAGCATTTCAGAACACACTTGCCCACTTCAAAAGTACACTGCAGTAAGGGAGCGGCTATATTTTGATGACTAAAAAGCAGAACTCTCCTCTGAAGGAACACCAGTAGGCTCTGCAGATGTGCTGCATGTTTTTATTAGACCACATATGAAATGTTCTTAACTTACACACACACACAAAAGTGTATTGGAGTTTTGCTAAGAAATAATTTGGAAGGCATATCCTTTTAGAGTGCAAAATCTTCAAAAGAAGGGGGTGAAATTTCTGGCCACTGGTTGAGTATTCTAGACAGATGTCTTTGGATTTAATTGCTGAGAGTTTGCATTCAGGACTTGACATTATTTGGCAAGCCTCTATATATACATGGTTATATATACATGGTTGCACCTTCCTCTCCACTTGTTTTAAAGGCTGCCCTATACCAAGTTATTTCCGTAAATTGTAAGCCTTAAAATGATTTGGACCACTTTTATTTGGTTAGCTAAATGTTCTGTGCACTGTTTTCATATTTTAGTTTTTGAAGCATAATACAGTTGAGGGTTTGGGATTTTTTTTGTTTACACATTTGAAGTATCAGCTAAACAGCTATAAACAGCACCATTAAAGGTAAGGATATGTCTATGCAAATAAAGAGCCAGCTAGTTTCATGGAATGTTCTGTAGAATACATGTTTCCTTCTTCATAGCTTAAATAGGAGACCTAAAATCTAGACACACTGTATAGTACATTTTGTTTCCCCTTGAAGTATGTTTTACTTGGAATAAGACACTATCAACCAGGCTATTTGGGTTTTTTTACTCTTTAATTTAATTCACCATTGATCGAAATAGGTTTTCATTTCACAAAGACTAGGCTGTTTTATTGACGTAATCAAAATCAGCTACGTAATGGCATATCTAATTGGTTAGCCTTGTGCTTATGCCACAAGTGGAAGGTAATTGCAAAAGAAGGGAGGCCATTTTTGTTATTACCACCAAGGATCCCCAAGAGAGTTTTGGAAGGTTAGGGGATTCGCCAGAGATTTTCAATAGCTGGAAGAGGGGATAGGATTTGGGTGGGGGTATCTACTCCCTGCCTCAAAAGTGCTTGTGCAAGAGCACCAACTGGATAGAACCGTTAGTTGGTAAACATGAAAAAAGATTATGGAGCAACAAACTTGTACCACATTTACTATGTGCCTGTTATTTTTAAGGGTCACCACTACGGTCAAGGATGAATTTCAACAGGTATAAAGTTCTGACCCTATACTGATTCCACTTCAGTACCATGCTCTTTCCTATTCGTGTGATAAGATTAGAGTACTGAGCTTTGTTTTACATTAAGATACTTCATAAGAAATAGTCGATATTATCTGAGGCTTGTAGATTCATCATCTCCATGTTTTCAAGTTGCAATAAGATCATAAATCATGCTCTTGGCTACTACTATGGGCGAATATTTCAGTGTTTAAAAACTGGTTTATAGAGTATAACCCTAGGATATCTTCTTTCTGGCGGAAATTGCTATGGAAAACAAGTACAAAATCCAGTACTGATTGGGAAGAACTGTCTTTCTTTGATAGCTAGAGAAAACAATGGCATTTCTAAAGTTTAAGAAATTCCAGTTTTGGTAGCTAGACAACTTGTATTTGGGGGCTTTTTTGTCACAGTTCAAGGAGAACCAGAAGAACAGGTATAGATTCAATTTTTTTAAAAAAAGACTTCCTCCTGAAATGTTTTCATGGCACACTTCATAGGAATAGTAAGAACATTACATCAGGAGACAAGTTAATAAGGTCAGAAAATATTTAAATAAACCCTAATTGATCCGCTTCAGTCTAACATTTCAAGCCTTGAAGGTTTCAAGCCTTGTCTCAGTGTCTGTGGTTGTTTCCTGCAACAACTCATTATTCACAACCTCTGTTGATGTTCTTCGCCAGGCTTAAATAAGTGGTTTTGCATGTTGGGATCTTCAAGTTTCTGGACTGAAAAGAAGAAATTTTATGAAATTCTAAATACATAGAGTTCGGTTAATTAAATATTTAATCACAGAATAGTTACACATAAACATTATGCCTGTCTATTGGTCATCGTGCAAAATTTACATATTTTCAACTGACAGTTTTTCACAACATAATGGCAGCTGTCAGCATGACCTCCCATGTTGCTAAATTAGAACAAAGTTCACTAAATACCCAGTTTAAAAATGTTTTAAATGTCACTGAACTAATGAAAAATCTGACTGATCACTGTGCAAAATAGTTTTAAGGTATTCTAGAATATCTTTGAGAACTATGACCTTCAGAACAGAAAATGCACCACTTACCATTAAAGTTACTTTGGTTGTCAACAAGAGCAGCTTGCTTATCTGTTTCAGATTCCGCCTCGTTCATTTCTAAATTGTAGTCCACTACGTTATCCTGGTTTGCTGTTTTGATTCCAAATTCACCTGCAAAGACAAGTCAGAATAATTCTTTTTATGAATCTTATTGAATATAAAAGTTGTCTTTTACTGTAGAGCATTCAATATTTCAATTATTAACACTGGGCTTTCTCGGCTCATTACAATCAATCAGTCAACCAACCAACCAACCAACCAGCATAGGCACATTACATTTTCAGTAGTTAGGCGAGATTACTAATGGTTTTATTTAAATACTGTAATACCTGATAGTGCTCATTTGTCTCTTAACACCTTTATACCCTGGTAAATTCTTGCCACCTGATCATTTCTTTGAGATACAGGCAATATTTGCACTGGTGGCATGCTAGCTCAAACATATTCTCATAGTCACCTCTTTATTCCTCCAAGTGGTCTGCTGTATGATCTCTTCTTACCAATAGGTAAGGATCTTTTAACAATTAGCAAGAAGCAGGGTGGCATGTCCTCCCTTAGGGTTTGGAATTAGGCTAATTTTATTTTAGAAACCTGCTATGCCTTGTCAATGCAGTTGAATGAGTTTTGGATGTTTAGCGTACTGCCCAACTGCAGGAATGGTCTGCATCCAGCACTCCCAAGAAAACTGACATCCTCCTCACAAAATGTTATATTTAAAAAATAATTTTGAGGCCCTCAAGGCTTCCTCCACTGGGGGAAAAATACCATTCCTACAGGTCCAAGATGTTTGAGACCTCCCCACCCCAGCCCCCAAAATCTGTCTTTAATAAACTGGCCACACACACTCTTGGCCTCTGACCCCTGGCCCAGCAGCCCAAACGAGGTTAGTCACTCCTGCCCTATGATAACCTCTAACACAAAGAGGGAATGTTCAAAGTGAAACAAGCTCACTTCTAAACATGGTTTTGGAACTAAAGATGCTCCACCATTTTGTTTCCAGTGGTAGATAGACAAATAATATACTTCAAATATTGTGGGGAGAAAAACAAGTACCGTATTTTTCGCCCCATAGGGCGCACCGGCCCATAGGGTGCACCTAGTTTTTTTGGGGGGTAATAAAGAAAAAAAATTATTTCCCCCCCCCCAGGTGCTGGGCTGGGGCGGGGGAAGCCCAAGCTTCCCCCGACCCCAGCCCCCAGAACAGGCTGCTATCCGCAAGCTGTGGGAGAGCTGAGCGACTTTGCGCAGCTCTCCCACGGCTAGCGGAGAGCTGCGCAAAGCTGGAAGCCTGGGGCGTGCTGAGCTCAGCGCGCCACAAGCTTCTGGGTGCAGGCAAGCTCTCCGCTAGCCGTGGGAGAGCTGCGCGACTTCGTGCAGCTGTCCCACGGCTAGCGGATGGAGAGTGAGGGGTCGGTGCGCACTGCCCCCCCCCCGCTCTCCAGGCTTCAGCGAAAGCTTGCATTCGCCACATAGGAAAAAATGTGTACTATAGGGTGAAAAATACGGTAAACATTTGGCATTCTGCTTCCTCGGCGATAACTATTAATTATAAACAGGAATGGAAGTTTGACACCAAGTGCTACACCCAAAACACAGTTTTTCAGGAGTGATAGATGTCAAACTACAGCTGGTTATATTTTTCCTTTGCTGTTTATTTATACACTCAAATATGTCCTTCCTGGACAGCAGCCAAGCCTTCATACTAACCAGTCTTTCTGGTCTCCTGTTCATCCTGCTGCGGCTCATCATTTAAAAGGTGCTCTCGTTCAACTTCTTCATCGTCTGCTTTTGCTTGATTGGCATTTTGCTGGCGCATAGCTTCTGCCAATTTGCCTGCCTGCTTTTCTGCTGCTACTTCAAGTACATTTTTAACTTCTTCATACGACTTCTGTTCCATTCCTGGTTCTGGGGGCAGACCATTATTATCTGCGTTAAGCTTAGCAACTATTTGTAGGTTGTCCTGTTCAACAGAGTGTTCCTCTTCCTTGGGTTCCTTTTCGTTGACAGCAAAAGCAGTTCCTTTTGTAAACAATTGTAAAAGCACAATAAGAACACAGTGCAAGAATGGGATTGGTATGAAAATTTAAGTATTTAAAACTTAAGCTGCTTTTCCTTGCCTAACTTGTTTCACAAAATGGGCACACCACCTATTGAAACCAGAAGTCCATGCAGTCTTTTGGTTGGTTAAAGGTGCTTGTCATACAAGACACTTACTGAACACATTGTTCCACTTCTGGAGACCATCCTGCGCTTCTCTTTTAATACATATTCATGGACTGAGAAAGTATAAGGCTAGGAAAGATCTGCAAGGCATGCAACCTGACCTAACCTTTACACTGACTTGAGATCCTCCATGCCAAACTCTTCATTCATTAGGCCCTGTTATCCAGCACAGTCAAATCAAGTATAAAATGGAGGAAGAGGTGTTGGCAAGGTACATGATAAAGGTAAAGGGACCCCTGACCATTAGGTCCAGTCGCGGCCGACTCTGGGGTGGCGGCGCTCATCTCGCTTTGCTGGCCAAGGGAGCTGGCATACAGCTTCCGGGTCATGTGGCCAGCATGACTAAGCCGCTTCTGGTGAACCAGAGCAGCACACGGAAACACCGTTTACCTTCCCGCCGGAGCGGTACCTATTTATCTACTTGCACTTTGACGTGCTTTCAAACTGCTAGGTTGGCAGGAGCCGGGACCGACCAACGGGAGCTCACTCCGTCGCGGGGATTCGAACCGCCGACCTTCTGATCGCCAAGTCCTAGGCTCTGGTTTAACCCACAGCGCCACCCACGTCCCAAGGTACATTATACTGAGGGATTAATATGAAACTGGTAATGTGTACGGTTTTACTGCTTCCAGTGGGCTGTTCCACTTTCAGAGTTTAGATAGTAATAGTCAATAAATAAAGAGAAACTTTCACCAGGTGTATTTTGTATTACTTCGTGTTTACTGGGCAGGGGTCTAGGAATCAGCATGATGGCGAATGAGATGGGACTTTTTCACTCCCATTGGCCACACCTGCAATCCCTTAAAAAGGACTTTGAATAAAGATGGAAAATCAGTAAATACAAAGCAGCAAGTGAACATATAGCAGAGTTTTCTGGGCAAGCTGGATATTTCTCCTTAAGATCAGCAAAATGAGTGCAGATTTTTATACGCTTCTCTCACGAGCTAGATGTTCAACATTCATCCCACGAATAGCAGCACAAAATACACAATGACGCAGTGCAGGTATGACTCACTTGAGTCTATTTACCTGCTGTAACCAGATTTTACTACCATCCTCAAGGCAAGAGAAAGTTGGGTGGGGGGTATTAATCAAGGAGGTGCATCAAAAGGGGGGGGGATCCCCAGGATCCAGAATCTCATTTGGGTTTGGGACAAAGTTCCATCTTCAGAGGACAACTTGGGACAGGATGTGTCAATGTCCAAACGGTATGCAGAGATACATGAGCAACAGATTGAGCAACGAGAGAGGAGTGGAATGTTCCATGCAGTGTCAGAAAAACAGCTTAGGATCTAGTAAATTTTTCACCATAACAACAGTCAACAAGCATAGTCTTGCTTGGGCCAGTTGGTTTACAACAGAGGCGGTTAACCTTTTTCGAACTGAGGGCCACATATCAGCGGTAGGTATGGTCAATGGTATTGTATGTACACCTGCACGCACACATGCAACTATGTACATTTAGGAATGAAGAAGCTTTATCTGCCATTTTGCCCTCAACTGGATGCTAATTCTCAGTGTGCCGCTGCACTTAGCTTGAAAGCCCTTTCCCCCAAGCCTTAACTTTGTATGAGGGAGAGAATGTTTGTGATTGTGGTAGTGGCTCCTATGCAGCCATTTTGGGGGTACAGTCACCTTTCCCTCTATGCACGCTACCAGAAAGACAATTATTATGCATTAACCATCTGAACCAGGGGGGACCAAGCTAGCACTGCAAAGGCTTTCTTTCATTGGTGCAGTAGGGCAGGTGTCCTAAAGTCTGAGCTTTCATTTAAATAATCATCTCTTGTCCTCCAAGAAAGGAAGTTAAGAGGCAAGATGTGCAGGTATCTTCTGAAACAATTTCTGTACAGTAAGTGTTGTATATTTTCCCTAATATTGAGGAATGATCCCTGTTGATTAGCCAGAAACTCACTGGGGGGGGATATATAATCATGTTGTCGGGATGGTTTATGTTATGCCACATTCCTCATGGCAGCCATTTTGTGGCTGGTGCTCACAGTAGTCTCTTCGAATTCAAAATGTGCACAGGGGTCCAAAAATGTTGGGAGACCCTTGTTCCACACAGTGACCTATCAAGCAATAGTTACTTCCACACTACGTGATAAAGGTAAAAGGGACCCCTGACAGTTAAGTCCAGTCGTGAACATCTCTGGGGTTGCAGCGCTCATCTCGCTTTATTGGTCGAGGGAGCCGGCGTACAGCTTCTGGGTCATGTGGCTAGCATGACTAAGCCACTTCTGGCGAACCAGAGCAGTGCACAGAAACACCATTTACCTTCCCGCCGGAGTGGTACCTATTTATCTACTTGCACTTTTGATGTGCTTTCAAACTGCTAGGTTGGCAGGAGCTGGGACCAAGCAACGGGAGCTCACCCCATTGCAGGGATTCGAACCGCCGACCTTCTGATCGGCAAGTCCTAGGCTCTGTGGTTTAACCCACAGCGCCACCCGCGTCCCTACATGATGAAGATACAGTACAGCAAATTTGACTTAAGACCTTTCCTGCTTTGCAATGACACGTAGCATGGAATAGCATTATAAATAAGGGAGAAACACTGTTGTGTTTCCAAATGTCATGTGAGCAGCGACTGAGTTTGTGAAAAAATACCAGCACAGCAATGCCTTGCAAACAATAGGGTCTTTGGTTTGGATCGCAGACGGGGAAATCCCTTTTAAAACCTAGCAGCAAACAGCAGAAGTAAAATGAGGCCACTAATCAAACGCCTGGAAAATGGTTTTAACCTAGCACCAGATTGCCCTGCCCAGGATCCCCATCATTAGCTGTGACCATATTTCATTCATTGGTGGGGTGGGCAGGAGCCCAACGAAAACCAAAAGCACGTTCCCTTGAACAGGCAATGAAAGCATCACTTCAAGAACTGAACACTCACATACCTATATTTCTAGCATTGCTAAGCTCACAACATGACTACTGTGAAGATAGTAAGACTGAGAGGCAGAAAGTGATAGAATCACTGTTTCAACTCTGGCCAAAGTCACAACTTTGTATTGGGGAACAAATCTTATTCATGCAAAGTCGTTCGGTGTTTTGGACTATTTGTTTTAGATGCTAACACCTGATGACGAGACTGGAAATTTATAGTAATCTTTGATACAACACTCTTACCTTTTTCTCTTTGATAATCCAGTTCTGCCACATTTTTTATGCTGGGTGGCGTTGCCTTTGAGATTTCTAGTTTCAAAGAATCATCAGCGATGTAATGTTTTCCTTGAAGTTCATTTCCCTGTTTCGTCAGGTCACGCTGCCCAAACTCTGTTGGCTCTTGAATATTTATCTAAAACAAAAACAAAAAAACAGCCCTACTTGATTCATACAATTCTTCAGCGCAAATGAATAATCTACTATTAGAATTTTTACTTTAAGTGGTTACACAGCAAAATTAAAACAAAGTCCTTGGTAGAAACTGAACGACAGTAAAACAGACAGCTGTTTTCCCTTCTTGTGGCTGCTTCACAAGCCACAAGATAATGCAGCCTGCTATGTATGGAAGAAGTTACATTTGACAATAGCTACATGCATATATTTCACCGCATGCCTATGACCAGGGAGCAGGTCCCATTAATTTCTAGGGGCAAGTTAAACACTTTTCTCTCCTACTGAAATCAGAAGAGACTTAGGTAGTTTTCAGCTTTACCACATTGTGACAGGATCTAGCCGGATTTGTGATTGGATCTCTCCACATAATTGTCTGCTCTTAAGAAAGGCTCATGCAGGGGGATGGCAATTTTAATCAAAGCCACTGTATGAGGAGAGTCAACCTCTAAATGGGGGGGGGGGGACCCATAGAGCTGCTATTAGCCACAGAGGGAAAAGCAAACAAGCATCCTGTATGTTTGGATCAGGTCTGTGGCAGTGGGGAGGATAAAGCCTTCTTCCTCCCCATGCCAGCTTTCAAAAGATTATTACTTCAGGGGATCCAGTCAGAGTTCTCTCATATAGTTGGCGTAATGAGAGAGAGATGGAGGGAAGGTAACTTTGGCTTTCATGCAATGTGACCAAACTTTGAAAGTTGTTTGGATACTTCTGAGCAATTTTAAATGCATTATAAAAACTCACTTTTTACGGTTAATCATTTCCTCAATCCTTCACAACTTTATGAAAATGTACTAAGTACAACTTTTATGTGCCACTCCTTGTCATCTATGGTGACAAATGATTTTATGTCCACAAATAAATCTCTGTTAAGGAAGAGGAAGTTTACCTGTTGGCATAGAATGGAGCTATACTATTTACAAAAAAAAAAATGAGGGTCAAAGGTTTTGAAGGAAGGTGTCATAAATCTTCCTCAAACAACAGGTGTTGAACTGAAAGTTCCTTGTTTAAGTTCAATGACTTAAATAATTTAACTGAAACAATGTTGATTCTTTTAAGTTGCTGCTGCTCTAACTGGGGAGTTAGATAAGCATGCCAAAGCTTAGGTACTTCTAACGTTAAATGAGCACACTGGAATTCCAAAAGGTCAAGGCAGCAACAAATGGAAGGAATATGCATTCAAAAAATGGAGATGGGAAGAGAAGTATTGTGGTTCACCTTCTTCTTACTTTGGGCCATCAACAATTGTAGTTGTTCAGCCCCACATAGAGGTCTGGATAATGGCCTGAATCAGTTCAGCCAGCCTGGTTCACCTACAATTTGTGTATAAATACCCCTCTAAAACAAATTTTTAAAACTTACTTGATCATTTCTCTCTAATATTTTTGAACTATTCTTCATGTCTTCTGGTATCTGACTGCCTTTTTTGCAGGTTGCTTCTATCCTTTCTTCACATTGTTCTTTCAGTTCCTTCATCTGACTGATACACTGAGACCTAGAACCAAGCAACAGAATGCCGTTTGTAAAATGTGTTCTTTAAAACACAAAAGATCTGCACAACTTGAAACCCACAAAGTCAAACACAGCCTGTCAGACACATACTCCTGCCTTCTGTCTGATTGACAACCTCCTTGTTTTTGTAGTCCTAGAGAGATCATGAATTGGAGGTTTATTGAGCCCCTCGTGAGGCTTGTACAGTCACAAATCGTGCTGGCCCAGTGGCAGATTTATAGCTTTGCACAGTAAGTGCAGAATTAGGGCCTCGTGCTCCTGAGAAACCTCCCATCTACTAGTGTATATTGTTAACCAAGAGAATATTTTTGAAACATGACAACCAACAATGTATTGCCAATTGCTGAATTTGAGTATTTTAGCTGGTTGCATCGTTTCTGCTTCTCCAACTCCCTGATTAAAGTTAGTACAGGCTGGTCCATTAGGCAACTAGGGCTTAGTTCAAGCAATTAGAAAGTGTTCAAGCAATTAAGAAAAAGGTCCCAAAAATCTCAAAGCCGCACTTGTTCCTGTCCGACCCTGGCAGACATTTCTGCCAATCTCCTGAGACAACCAGCTCTCTGCACCACTCAGCCAATTGCAGGCCAGTTGTTGTTGCCATGGTGACAATCCAGCTACATTAGCAGATAGACTTTTCTGGTAGACCCAGGAGCCAGCAGAACTGCAGAGGGATGTAGGTAAGGCAAGTTAGAAATGTTGTTGTTTAGTCATTTAGTCGTGTCCGACTCTTCGTGACCCCATGGACCAGAGCACACCAGGCACTTCTGTCCTCCACTGCCTCCCGCAGTTTGGTCAGACTCATGCTGGTAGCTTCGAGAACACCGTCCAACCATCTCGTCTTCTGTCGTCCCCTTCTCCTTGTGCCCTCCATCTTTCCCAACATCAGGGTCTTTTCCAGGGAGTCTTCTCTTCTCATGAGGTGGCCAAAGTATTGGAGCCTCAGCTTCAGGATCTGTCCTTCCAGTGAGCACTCAGGGCTGATTTCCTTAAGAATGGATAGGTTTGATCTTCTTGCAGTCCATGAGACTCTCAAGAGTCTCCTCCAGCACCATAATTCAAAAGCATCAATTCTTCAGCGATCAGCCTTCTTTATGGTCCAGCTCTCACTTCCATACATCACTACTGGGAAAACCATAGCTTTTACTATACGGAGCTTTGTTGGCAAGGTGATGTCTATACTTTTTAAGTTATAAATATTTCTAACTTAAATATTTCTTTTTAAGTTAGAAATATCCTATATTTAAATGCAAAATTATACCCAACCTTTGTTGTTTTGGTTTGTTCATAGGTACAGTATTATAATTAAATTCTTAGATCTGTGAGCCAGTGCAGCAAAATATTTAAAACAGCAAACCTGATTTTTATATTTTTTTAATCCCATTGACTTCAATGTAGGAAACACATTGTTTAAAATCTAAATATGTAACCAAAGCTAGTGCTTGAATAACTTGGCTTGTGGCCATTTTGCTTATACAGAAGTTGGCCAATCATCACATACTTACATGTCATATGTAATTTTTTTCTGAAGGTTTGTCTGGTTTTTCTTAAACCTGTAAATGTCAAGTTGGAGCCTTCCACATTCCTTCTGCAGACCTCTCAAGTTTTCTGAGTAAAAATTAAATTTTATTAAAAACAAGCAGAAGGAGAAAATAATGAATGATGAGTAGGAAAGAATATTCTTATTTATTTCACCAATTATTCATAGTAATTAGATTAAAACGCTGCTTGTCTTTTCGGTTTATGTGACCTGTGTAGCTCAAACATATGCATGTTTAGTAAATTCCACTACATTCAGCGGAGTTTACTGCCTAGTGTCTGTGAAATCCATACTGCACAAGCAGACTTCCATTTGCTCCCAGCGACTTCTCCTTCCTTTCTGCCCCCCAAAATCTGGAGCAGGTTTGGGGGCAGTAGCAGGGGGGTGGGGGGTAACAGAAGTTCTGGTGTGCAAGCAGAAGCCTATTCTGCTGGTGAACGGGCACAACTGAATATTACCCTATACATGAATCAATAGACCATGAAGCTATCATCCCAACTTCCATCTGCAAGAAGAATTTTCTCTTCACCTGAGTGCAGATCCACTTTTCCCTCCCATACTTTTTCAAAGCTCCCCCTCCCTCCAAAAAAAGAAAAATCACTTTGGGTTATTTTGTTTGCTTTTGCACCAAAAAATACTGGGAGAATATTGAGAATGCACATTTTTAAAAGAAGAGTATTAACCGTATTTTCCTTCATATAACTCTTTGAGTTAATCTTTATAGTCTTGCATGATTCTAGCCTGAAATCCAGTAGCCTATGACTTCCTTTCCTATTCCACCTGGCTCTTTTCCCTTGAGATTTGTGGACCTTACCTCCTGCAACAACCTTTAAGTCCCTCACAAATTGGTGTTTTTTTTTTAAGATGAAGGTTCTCCTCCCTGGATACAGTTATTTATCCCTTGATGTCTGGTTAAATAGGATTTATTTATTTAGCTCTCTCATCACAGTTCATATCATTAACTACTACATTAGAACTATATTAAGTGCATAACTGGACACAGGTGGTGCTGGGGTCTAAACCACAGAGCCTAGGACTTGCTGATCAGAAGGTCAGCGGTTCGAATCCCTGTGACGGGGTGAGCTCCCGTTGCTCGGTCCCTAATCCTGCCAACCTAGCAGTTTGAAAGCACGTCAAAGTGCAAGTACATAAATAGGTACTGCTCCAGCGAGAAGGTAAACGGCATTTCCGTGCGCTGCTCTGGTTCGCCAGAAGCGGCTTAGTCATGCTGGCCACATGACCCAGAAGCTGTACGCCGGCTCCATCGGCCAGTAAAGCGAGATGAACGCCGCAAGCCCAGAGTCAGTCACGACTGGACCGAATGGTCAGGGGTCCCTTTACCTTTAAGTGCATAACTAGATGAGATGTTGGTCAGCCATGTCTAGCTCTCTTTAAATTTTTGAAAACACAGCCAGAAGTAGCCAAATCTGAAATGAGGCTATCACACTGGGGATAGGGGGAGGAGAGAGGGAGCTAACATTTCTACCATGGCATTTAATTGATGATTATTCCCTTTTCCCAAAACTATCCCCAGTTGAGCAAACAGCAGCTGGCAGGGGCACCATGGCTATATTAATAAGAAAAACAGCATTGAGAAAGGTTTTAAAAAACCAAAACTCTCCCCAAGAATGACAATCTTGATCTAATAAAAGAGACCCTTTGTGGCTGCTTTTAAGAAAATAAAAAAAGGATTTCCTAGGTTGACCCAAGGCTCTGTCTTCAAGTAGTAAGTTTCTAGGTCCAACAGTTTTATACTGTCTCTGTTTAAAGTGGGTGGGGGGTTACATTCTGAAACAGCTACAGCTGCCCCCATACTTTCCTACTATTCCAGCCTGGGGGCGAAATGTATAAGTAGACATACAATGGGTGAAGTTATAAAAATAAGCAAACTTAATTGCTGTGCAGATGGTGCTTTGCTGAGATTTACCTTTCAAATTCTGGATGAGTCTTTCATTTGTTGTAATGTTATTCATCAGCATTGCCTGAAAAAAGGAAGGAAGGAAGGAAAGAAAAAAAATGAATTGTTTGAGTGCTTGAAAAACAATGGTTTCCATTTCTACATTATCCCAGCCCTATATATTTGTTGCCTATGTTCAGCACGCAGGAAAATCAAAAGAGCAAAGATCGCAGATTGGCCATGGGGCCAACAAGAAGACTCCACTGGAATGCTACCTAAATGCTGGGTATACTTTTAAGAAAACAAAAAAATTGTCCCCAAGTGGCATAAAGTATCATCTTTTTCGGGGGTTATTAGCACAAGGATAGGTAGAATATACATCAGGGGTCAGCAAACGTTTTCAGCAGGGGGCCGGTCCACTGTCCCTCAGACCTTGTGGGGCTGGACTATAATTTTGGGGGGGAAATGATGCAAGAGCACCAGGAGCCCCGGTGGCTGCTTACCTGTGCGAGCCGCAGGGGCTGGCGGTGGCAGAGGGACGATGAGCAGCGCACAAAAGGGCTCCAGAGAGGGGCTGCTTAAAATGGCGGCCGCTCGAGCACTGCTGCTGCTGCTGCTGCTGGCACCAACAAAGCCCAGCCCCCTTCCTCCTCTAGGCAGGGCAGGGAGAAGCCAGGAGAAGGGAGGGAGGAGGTGCCGCTGCTGTGTGAGGGAGAGGGAGGAGGGAGAGCGAAAGAACGTGTGTGCTGGCGATCCACGCAGCGATTCCCGGACCGTCCATGGGCCAGATCCAGAAGCCAATTGGGCTTGATCCGGCCCGCGGTCCTTAGTTTGCCTACCCATGATATACATGAATAATTATAACTGTTTCAGCTGTGATTCTCAGGATCATCAAAGCATCCAGCAACAATACGCAAATCGGTATACTGCACTTTTAATTCATCCCCAAGCATGAAGCTCTTTCCTTATCAAGCTACCTCAATTTAGCCTACAAGTTAAAACTGTATGTGTAAACTCTCCTCACAAAGAGAGAGACCACTGAGGTGGCTGGTACCATTTGCTGCTGGTTTTACAAAATCCTGTGAAGCCGTATGGAGCTCAAATTCAAACTAGCTAGGAAACTCCGCTTAATTATGTGGGCATAAGATCTGGCAAACGCCTTGTAGCTAACTCTGCACGAAGTTAATGCAGGCAACAGGAGAGGGAGAGATCAGCAAATACAGAAGGCCTTTTGTATTAGCTCTCCTTTAAATCTCGTTCTTAAAATAATACAGCAAGCCCTTGTTTGTGTAAAAAAGAGAGCCGATTCATTTATTACAGCTAGAGCTTAGATATCTGATCACAAAGTTGAACTGTAGCTAGTTTTGCAAAAATGTCTTGCTCCAGCTGGAAGGCAGATGGTAAAATACTGCTGGTAGTAATTTCCTGGAGAAAGAACAGCTACATAAAAATAATCAATTCAGAGCATACAAACTACTTCATTGTATATCTGTAGTATACATGTGTCAGTTTATTATGATCAAGGCTGTGCTGGACTACTGTGCAAATATAGAATTATAGGTATCAGATGGATAAGCCATGGTTTGCCCAACCCTGGCTCATGTTTAGACGCCCCCAAACTACAAGCAGTACAAACCTTGGCCTACAGCTCATGTTTTGCCTGCAGCTATACAGACTGGCTTAGCTCCAGGCAGTGCAGCAGTAGCAGGGTGACCAAGCAAGGAACAAAATGGCTGCAGTTTTTTCTATGAGCGCCTGTGGCTATACACTCTGGCATGGTTTGGCTTAGTGCTGCCTGTGAATCAAGGCCATGGAGTTGTATCCATTGGTTGCATGGGCAGAAGGCAGCTTGCAGTCCAATCTTTCTCTTCCTCTTCTCCCCAGTGTAGACACCAAGGACCCTCTCTGGAGCAGTGGTTCCCAATTGGTGGTCTGTGGACCCCAGGGCTCCCACGTAACCCACCCAGGGGATCCGTGGCACAGTGGCACCTTTCACACAACAAAAGCGTGGCTTTTGAAAAAGGGGAGGCCTTCAGTACTTAGCTAATTGGTAGCCACTGCTCTAGAGTGTCGGGGGACCTCCTGAGTGTACGCAGTTGCAGTACAAAGGAACTGGCCAATCCTTCCATCCAATTTTGGGCAAATCCTCCTTCCCTCTGCAGTGGAGAAAAAGCACACCAGGTTGCGTTTGCAGGTACATTTGTACGCAGCCCAAGAAACCTACCAAAAACCTCACAAGGGCACTTCCACAGCAGACTCTCTGCTAAAATATGTACATTTGCAAGTACCTTTTTAGGATCTTTCTAGATGCTGAGGTTTTTCTAGGATGAAGTCACAGCTATGACTCAGCCACCCAAAGGACAGTGTGCTACAATTCTTCCACTGTGGAGAAACGGCTAGTAATCAGCGTTCAGACTGTTAATCCAGTTTGCCAGTAGATGGAAATGATCCCACCAAGCATGACATTTCACATCCCTCGCAATGTGGAAGGAGCTGTTTGTTAGTCTCACAGGTTGTCATAACATCTTCACAACACCCCACTTCAGTTTTCCTCTTGCGTTTTTTTTCCTCAAGAAGCTGCTTCCAGCACAAGGTGTGTAAGTAATAATAAACTCTCTTTAAAATGTTTAAAATGCCTTTTTATTTTTAACCTCATTGTTTTGAATGTTGTGTTTGCCACCCTGGGCTCCTTTGGAAGAGTATTCTTTATTCAATAAATAATCATTTTATATTAAATAGTATCTATACAGTTTTAAGGCACCTTCCCTTTCACAGACAGCAACAATGGCGAGGCCCTTTCCATTATGGTAGAAGAGACGCAGTACTGGGATTTTTTTGACCCTAAAATAATATTGGATAAATCCACTGTTTCTTTTGCAAAGAAAGACTTAGCAGCAGTAGGACAAAGGAGGAGCTGCATAGAGAGGCCCAGAGCAGAGCGACAAGGATAGATAAATAGTTCTTACCTTCTCATCCATGTGTATTTTGTTAGTGTTTTCCATCTGGAAGTTATGCAGGCTCTGAATTCTGTCAATCTGTTCCCTCTGTTTCTGCAGCTCTCCTTGGAATTCATTTTTTTTAATTTCTACAGCACCTCGTTCTACAGCCACCCGGCGGACTCTTCCTTCTAGCTCCATTATGCGGTTCTAAGAGGCAGCAGATACAAAAATTCAGAAGAGAATGTTGGCAATCTTTGCTGTAAATGCGTGTCATCAAAATTTTAACTTCCCATTCTATGCTTGCAGAAAACAAAATTGGCCACCGCACAATTACCAGTCACCTGTGAGCCCCCCCGTGAGCCCATGCTAAATGCTTCTAGAACATGGGATAGGATGGATGGTAAGGGAAAAAATCACTAGGAATATTGATAATCAGTGCTGATGTGAGGAAAGATTCTTGTTCCTTGGGTTGGGGACAGACAGGATTGTGTGTAGTTAACAAGAAGTGAGGCAAAAACACTGTTCGAGTAGAGAGAGAAGGGACACAGAAGGAACAATTTTCTCTTAAGTAGGAAGTAAGGCAGAAAATGGACCAAGGGGCAGAGGTGTTGGGGAGATGGATGATTGTTCCACACACTAATTCAAAACAGCCAGTCCCAACTTTGTCTCTGGGTCTGTGTTCATACATGTGTATCTATAGGCATGAGAGAAACAGAAAGAGTTTTTTACATTGATATAGCAGACAGCAAGGGTAGCATAAGGTAAAGGTAAAGGGACCCCTGACCATTAGGTCCAGTCGTGACCAACTCTGGGGTTGCGGCGCTCATCTCGCTTTATTGGCCGAAGGAGCCAGCGTACAGCTTCTGGGTCATGTGGCCAGCATGACTAAGCCGCTTCTGGCGAACAAGAGCAGCGCACGGAAACGCCGTTTACCTTCCCACCGGAGTGGTACCTATTTATCTACTTGCACTTTTGATGTGCTTTCGAACTGCTAGGTTGGCAGGAGCAGGGACCGAGCAACGGGAGCTCACCCCGTCGCGGGGATTCAAACCGCCGACCTTCTGATCGGCAAGTCCTAGGCTCTGTGGTTTAACCCACAGCGCCACCCACATCCCTAAGGATAGCATAAAGCTCCACAATTTCCTGGTTGAGAAGGATTCAGTATTTAACTACTATCGTCACAAGCTTCTCCCAGGCACTTCTCGTTTCTCTCACTATTTGCTCTCCCGGCCAGCATCCAAATTCCTGTCAGGTATGATGATTTGGAAACCCTGAAGTGCTTTTTAAACTTCAATAATTCACTGCAATTCTGAACAAAGGAAAACATCTTTGCTGATTCCATCAATGTGGAAAACCAATAGAAGAGTAATACCTGCAAATCAATACTGCGGGAACTTGCAATCCAGTAATTGAATCCCAGAACTATTATACAAGCCACAAGTGCCGCCACTAGGAGGGGTGGAGACTTCATCCCGCGACGGCTATTTCCTAGTCCCACCATCTCAAAGTGAAGATACTAATACCTGTTGATTGAAAGGGGGAAAAGGCATATTTACATTTCCCTTCGCTGAACTTGCAATTGCATCCACATCACACCAGAGACACTAACAGCCCAGTTACAAGCTCAGAAGTAAATCCTGTTGATTTCAACACTTAAATCTTATAAATTCCAGTTCTCTTGTTCTACAAAGATGGATGAACAAAGCACAAATATAATCTGTAAACAAATGAAATAGTCTTTAAAAAGTTTCTACCATTTGTTTTATGTAGTATCTCCTATTAACATCACTCAATGATTATTTTTTCAACTGTACATGAAACCTTGAGATCATTTTAAGATAAAGGTAGTTGAATGAATGAATGAGGCAGAAAAGGTATTAGTTACTGAAACTGATATACTTATATTTGTTCATCTTCAGTTGTATCTCCTTGAGTAGCCCTATGGCAGCTGCTAGGGAAGGGGAGAGCCGCCTCAGCTGGAACACTCAGAGAGCAAAGTTGGGTAAGTCATGTCATATCAGTTCTGAATTTTACGCAGGAATTATCTAACTTATACAGTGGAACTTCAGTTTTTGAACGTACAGTCTTACCTCGGCTTGCAATCGCTGCGGGTTGTGCGTTTTCGGGTTACAGACGCGCCAAACCTGAAAGTACCGGAACAGCTTACTTCCGGGTTTTGGCAATCGCGCATGCGCAGAAGCGCTAAATCACGCTTTGCGCACGCACAGAAGCGCCAAATCGTGTCACGCGTGTGCGCAGACGCAGTGCTGTGGGTTGCAAATGCTGCGGGTCACGAACGTGCCTCCCGCACAGATCACGTTCACAACCCGAGGTTCCACTGTAATCCATTACAGAAGTCCTTTCGACTTCCGAAACATTCGAAAACCGAGGATCAAAGGGCTGTCAGCAAGTTCAATGGGGAAATTGAGAAATGTGCCTTGGAAGGTGAGCTCTTAATTTGTTATTATATCTGCACTTTAAGTCCGATTTGGCATATCTCCCCTGGAAAGGCTAATGTTTGATGCAACGGGTGTGGGAAAATTAATGAGCAAATGCCTAGATTTGATTTCATCGGAACTGAGAGAAGATGGCATCTGCCAGCAGCGAAATGACTTTTGGATTGATTCGGCATAAACACCAGCGTGTGAGGAGATACTGCAACAATAGGAGAGTCAAGCACACAAAATTCACATAGAAACACATCATTGCTTACTTCAACTCGCCTGTGGAAACAACTCAGAGGCCATGAAAGAAGGAAGGTTAACAACAGGAAGATTTAAAGGAACTATTGGAAACTCAAGGCAGTAGAGATATAAGATGATCAGACCCACCCCGAACTTGAAGCATGGGAAGTCCCAATAAAAATTTATAATTTGGCAGAATATTTGGACTATATGATATGTATTTGTATAATTTGGAACATTTAATGTGATTGGATTGGATTGTTAAAATGGAAAGTTTAATAAAAATTATTTTTTTAAAAAAAAAAAAGAGAAATGTGCCTTGGAAGCCATTTGACTTCTGAGGCGCGTTCGAAAATGGAAGCATTCAATTCCGGGTTTTCAGCGTTCAGCTTCCAAAACGTTTGTCAGCCGAGATGTTCAAAAACCGAAGTTTGACTGTACACTTATTATCTGGAGGCGACGAAAGGGGAAACTAACTATTCTGCTCCTTCATTCACACAACACATTGTTACAACATTGATTAAAATTGATTAAAAAAGCAATTGTCTCTTTCTGCCTGTGTTATGCTTGCGTTTGCATCTATTTTAGAGAAATATTTCCTTGCCAATTAGGCCTCATTCTCAACAACCGTCTGGCAACATGAGCAAACCTCCATTTCAACAAAACCTGCTATGCCCTCGAAGAAGCGGTGGCGAATGAAAGTTTAGGTTTAACAAAAGTTCTTACTGTCACCCATTACTATAATCCTCAGCACAAACATTATAGAAAACGTAGGAACAATTGTGTTCATTTATTGCCTGGCTTCTCTCTAAAATAAGATATCCTAAAGCACAATGCAACCAATAGATTATACTAAAGAATAACAATTTAATAATGTGTTCAGTTGATTGCTTTGTGTTAAACACACCATTAAAACATGATGTATAATGGGAGTTAGCAAATATATAGAGCTGAATTAGTACAAGCCTCAATGAAATTAACGAAGCTTGAACTAAATAAGCAGTATTAATATTCAATATGCTGTCTTTACCAGTCAGCCAGACCCATTTTTATCCATTCCACATTGGGTGGGTCTTCACAGAGAAGTGCCTTTGAGGCAAGAGCAAAGTGCCCCTTCTATCACTGCTGTGGCAAAGATTTCCCCCCTGGTTCAGATCACATATCTCTTGGTTTTTAAATCAGACTACATCTTGCATCAGCAATTATTAAGGCTGCCCTTGAAAACTGTTCAGTGGTACAGAATGCAGCTGATCAGCTTCTGGAAGGCAGGAAGATTAGGAAATGCAAATTACACCAGGGTTCAAAAGTCAGCGTTCCAAGCACAGACCCGGGATGATAAATGTAATCTCTTTTTTTTTTTAATGATATTTATTGAGAATTTTAAAGTTACAAAGAAAAAAGAAGGAAAAAACAAGAGAAAGAGAAAAAGAAAGAAAAAAGTAGATAAAAGTAACAATTACAAATCAGTAAAAACCAAAGTCGAAAAGAAAAAACAAAACGCACAATGCATCAAAATCAAAAAGCCAAAAATATACAAAAAATTTAAAAACAAATCCAATATTCCCAAATCCTTAATTTTCATTAACTTATTTCATCAACCTCCTCACACCTCCCTTTTTTGTATTCTAGTTATTAATTATCTCAGCAAATCCTTTGCATCTTTCACAATATTCTGTCATTAAATTACCTTAATCTATTTTAACCTTATCTTACCATAAAAAACCCTAAAACTTAAAACTTAAATCTTATTTATACCAAATTCTTTTAACCATAACATATTCTTACATAATTCTTTTTAACATTTCTGCTAAAGCCAAATAATTTCATTCCAACATTTTTCTAATACTCATTAATTTTACAATATTTTTCTAAATAAATTTTTAGAACTTTCTTCCAATCTTCATCCATCGTCTCTTCTTCCTGGTCTCGGGTTTTGTCAGTCCTTTCTATCCCATCCATCTAGTCCATCAACCTGGAGACCTTATATCCGAGGCTCTTAAGTCTTTTCCATGTCCCTTCCGCAGGTCTTCTTCATGTTTTTACCCGTACTTTACTTTGTCTTTTGCTCCTTTCACTCGGGGAGACTCCAGCTTGACAATATTTTTGTCCCTTCTCGACAAGTCAGCCCCTTTTCCATAGTCAACACTGAAATCCATGTGGTATTTAAAGGCATGTTTCAAGGTCCCTCCAAAGTTAAGGGCCCCCACAACTCCGAACTTCCCCCGGCCCAAAGCCAGACTTGAAAGGTCAAAACATCCCTGCATAGGGGGGTCCATCCAGCCCCCCATCTCCAAGCCAAACAGAACTCCATCTCTCCAAATCTGACTTTTTCCAGGTTCATTCGTCAAATCCACCAACTCATGTTCCTGCTGGGCCACAGCTCCCTCCATCTCTGCCACCCGAGGTCCAGCAACAACCTCCTCCCTCATCTGATCTGTCAAAGCACATTCCTGGATTAATTCCTGAGTGGGTTCTATATAGGTACCCATTGCCTGTCCAAAATTTCCAATCGCAACAGTCATCAAATCCATCTTCTCATGTAACTGTTCCAATAAAGCACTTGTCTTGCAAAAGGCAAGCACCAGAGCCTCTGAGCACATTCTTGTTCAAGGTCGAAGTCTGGTCCCACGATCTTTAATCTTAACAGCTGCAAAGCTCCCCAGTTCGACTTTAATAACAGTTTCACAAGCTCCCTCTAGGGGAAACAATTTCTATTTGTATCCATCTTTTTTTTATTATTATTAAAAGCAGATCTAGCAACAAAGTTTTCCTTTTTCGGATATTTTGTCGATATTTTGTTCCTTTTAAATGCGAAAGGGAACAATGGAGTCAATATGTTTCTCTTCTTTTAACTATCTGTCAAAAACGTTTGTCCACAGTCAATGAACTTCCCCAAAACGTCTGTCCTGACACCCCGCTCCCAGGTTCAAGACGGTGGAAAATTGCCTTTCTTTACTCTCTCTTCTGCAGGTTTAAACAGTCTAAAAAAAAGGTTCCCCCCTCTTCTCCTGCTTCCAAGGGGGGTTCAGTAATTTTAAATGATGAAAATTTAATCCTTTACACACGACTTTCTAAACTCTAGCTTGCCGTGTCTTTGCTTCAATCTATCTACAAAAGCGGAAGGCGGACTTCCTGTTTAGACCTTCCCGCTTCGGTGCCTAATTTAAAAATTCCATAGTCCAATTTTCCGTTCTACTCACGGGCAGTTGTTTAAAATCCAATTGTCCACAGGAAAAAGTCAGCGCTCTCCGGCAACAGCAATGCGGCTTCACTCCGTGAAAGAAGCAGTCGATTCAAAGCACCGCGCCACTCACCCCCACGTCACTCCGGATCCCCAAAACAGGGTTTCCCCGCGAGTGGGGGGGGCGCAAAGGTGCCAGCCGAATCCCACGTCCACAGGCTTCTCCCGCCTGTGGTTTTTGATGGGTCTCCGCCTCGCCGTGGCGGTTCAGACCCTGTTTTCCACGGAGCGGATTCCTCCCGATTGGAGGAAATCCGCCATTGCCAGAGGCACCAACCCGGAAGTCTCGATAAATGTAATCTCTAAAGCCAAGGACAGCTAATTTGTGGCCCTGAAGGTGAAGGCTCCTATCATCACTGACCGCTGGCCATGCTGACTGGGGCTGATGGGAGCTGGGAGTCCCACAACATCTGGAGGGCCACAGGTCGGCCAGCCCTAAACTGCCCAAGGCCCTTGTTGCTGTTGTTTAGTCGTTTAGTCGTGTCCAACTCTTCGTGACCCCATGGACCTGAGCACGCCAGGCACTCCTGTCTTCCGCTGCCTCCCGCAGTTTGGTCAAACTCATGCTGGTAGCTTCAAGAACACCGTCCAACCATCTCGTCCTCTGTCGTGCCCTTCTCCTTGTGCCCTCCATCTTTCCCAACATCAGGGTCTTTTTTCCAGGGAGTCTTCTTTTCTCATGAGGTGGCCAAAGTATTGGAGCCTCAGCTTCACAATCTGTCCTTCCAGTGAGCACTCAGGGCCGATATCCTTCAGAATGGAGAGGTTGGATCTTCTTGCAGTCCATGGGACCCTCAAGAGTCTCCTCCAGCACCACAGGCCCTACATACCTTGAATAGCAGAGCAACCTAGCAATAATGAACAAGTAGCTGCCCAGAGGAAATGGCAGGATGGCTCACAGCATTATTATTTGCTTAGCATCATATCCTATTACTGGTGCCACTTAAGAAATACAGGAGAGAGCCACTTAAGACATACAGGAGAGACCTATTAGGATTGAATGCTTTTGCTTTCTCATACAGCTCGTTTCAGCAGGGACATCAATCACTGCAAAGCCAGATAAGGGATGCCATGGAATACAATGAAGAGACAATTTCAAAATGACATGTTCCTCCCCTTCCCTGGTGATGATATTGTGTGACTGAGGATAGGCTGGTCCTTGAGCAACATGCCAGGGTGGATGCTAATCATCACTATCCTCTCCAATGTTCCAAGGCAATCTTTATGTTCAACTAGGGATGCGGGTGGCGCTGTGGTCTAAACCACAGAGTGTAGGGCTTGCCGATCAGAAGGTCGGCGGTTCGAATCCCCACGATGGGGTGAGCTTCCATTGCTCGGTCCCAGCTCCTGCCAACCTAGCAGTTTGAAAGCACGTCAAAGTGCAAGTAGATAAATAGGTACTGCTCTGGCGGGAAGGTAAACGGCGTTTCTGTGAACTGCTCTGGTTCGCCAGAAGCAGCTTAGTCATGCTGGCCACATGACCCAGAAGCTGTCTGCGGACAAACGCCGGCTCCCTCAGCCTATAGAGCGAGATGAGTGCGCAACCCCAGAGTCTTCCACGACTGGACCTAACGTTTACCTTAGGATCAACAAGATCCTCAAGGAGGATCTTGGTAATACTATGTCAAATATAAAAGGTAAAAGAATGAAGAGATACTGAATGCTTCTGAGCTTCATCAAAGCCAGTTCTGGAAGTCTTCCAAACAAAGTGTCTTATAATAAGGAACACATCCTTTTCTCCCCTTATGATTTGTACTGAACCAACAGTGTAGGGCAGAAAGCAAATATTCCACATCACCATGTCTGACTTGAAGTTAAGCCCAAGAACAATAAAAACGCTGCAAATCTTAGTCTACTGCATGCTGCAAATCATACTTGAAAGAAGTGATGCCACAAATAAATGCTATTTATCTGATGAATTATCTGAAAGTATAATTCTGACAGCATACGGCTGGTAGACATTGCTTGCAGATGACTTGCTTCAGTTATCAGGAAAAGAGAAAGTCTTTCCCTAGAGGCACAGTTTCCATATGGGAGGAAAAGAGGAAGGACCGGTAAGTACATGCTGAATCACTAAACAGAGAGACTCAAGCCAAGAATGGATAAATCTCTGTGGGATCTGTGGAACACATGACAGAAATCACTGGGATTTCTGTTTTAACCCAAATACAGCAGGGTAATGTTTTATTTATTTATTTATTTATTGATTGAATGAATGAATGAATGAATGCATACAGCCACCTATCAATAAATATTCTCTGGACAGCCTTACACCAAAACATTTCTAAAATATACACAAATTAAAGCAAATAAAAACAGAGGAAACTTCCTTAACAACAGAAAGGGCATTACAAAAATGTACAACCCAGACAATGGTGTCCAACAATTCTGTGAACTACCCTGAGACCTTATGATGAAGGAAGGTATATAAACCAAAACAAATCAAAACAAGAAATGTTTGTAAGGAACAGGATGCAATGCTGTTGCCAGTTTACAACCCTGAAAATAGGAGTATATTGCTCAAGGCAAGAGGCAAAAATGATGGCTTCTACTCCCCATTTCTGCCCTGGTCACATTGGTCTGGCTCACTTCTGTCTCCTGCATAGTCTTCCAACTATTTTGAAAGCTACTATTTCTAGCCTTGAGTCCTGCTCAAATCAACAGGCAGGGAAAGGGGTTCAAATGACAGGAGAGGACAACTGGAGGAACAGTAAAGAAAAACCTTGCTGCACTGGGAAATACACATATTTTCTGGTTTGGGACTCATCCAAAACACTGTGCAGTACTGACTGTATTCAAATAGGAGGTGGCAGGATTTGTCTAGGTCAAATATGTTAAAATTTTAGCCACTAAAACAAGTAACAGTGTACTCACTGGTATTTTAAGATTAGAAACATGGGAAGCTCCTTATATCAAGTCCATGTAGTTCAGTGTTGACTGGCTCAGAGCAGCTTACAAAAACTAAAACACTAAAAGGACCTAACAAAACAATATAAAAACAGTTAATAATTTCTTCATGGTATTTATAAGCAACCTTCTGGGGACATGCCTCCACAAAGTGATGCCTAAGAAGGGAGTATGCTTTTTAACATAAATTGTTAAATTATAATTAGTCAATGATGTATATAATGTATATATATAATCTGTATTATGGTTTGTTTATTTACCGGTATATAGTAGTTCTTCAGTGCAACCTGAAGGTCTTTACCAAAATGTGTTGGCCACTGTACCATTTAATTACCGTATTTTTTGCTCTATAAGACTCACTTTTTCCCTCCTAAAAAGTAAAGGGAAATGTTTGTACGTCTTATGGTGCGAATGCAGACTGCGCAGCTATCCCAGAAGCCAGAACAGCTGTTCTGCCTTCTGAGATTCAGATTTTTTCTTTTCTTGTTTTCCTCCTCCAAAAACTAGATGCGTCTTGTGGTCTGGTGCGTCTTATAGAGTGAAAAATACAGTGCCTTTCATATTTTCAGTAACTACTTTGAAGCTTTGCTGCTTTTTGCTTGCTTGTTTAACCCAAAAGCCTTCTATTTGTGATCCAAAGATACAAAAACCTTAAACCAGGTGTGTGCCAAAGGGTTGCTAAAAGGAGCATTTACACACTATTTGCTTTAACAGCCAAGCTTCCTTTTTGAAATGTAAATGGAATGTTAATGAGTAACACTTATAGTACTACAGTACGGCTTTACAACCGCAATTACATAGTTCTCTGACCAAACCAAGAATTTGGTGGTAATTCATACTGAAATTGGTTATTCTTTACCAAATAACTTTTTTTTAAAAAAAGCATTTGTCTTATTATCAAAGATCCTGCCTGGAATGGATGGTTGCTTTATCAATAACATTCCATTATGTTCGCTTGTCACTTTTATAAGCAAAACATCAGAAAAGAGTCTAATCTTGACAACTTAGAAAAGTAGTTGAGAAGTTTAAACACCCTCACCAAACTCTGCATAGGGTTGAGCATGTGTGTGCATGAGTGTGTCTGCGAGAGAGAGCATGCATGCTGTTCTACAAACTCTCCCCCGATGTTTCCCCCCCCTTTTCCCACAGACCCCAGTCAAACCTTTACTACTTTGTTTCCATAACTTGGGGTACAGTACATTTTAGAGGCACGTATTTTACATATCCAATGCCGATCTATGCACAATGCAAAACAAACACAGAGAGAGAGAGAGAGAAGTATGCAGCCACCAATATCCCCTGAAGTCTTTTCAGAGCCCCATAAACTCTACGTTCAGGGAAGGGTCAGAAATTGAGCAAACTCCAAAAAGTACGTTTTTTTTCAAGGGCTGGGAATAACTTCATCATGAGGCCACCTGGTGATGGTGGGTCCTTGAAGAAACCAGGTGTTATGTACTGAGTTGAATAGGATTCAGAATGCAGCAGTCTGATTGGTCCGCAGGAGCCACCCAATCCAACGCCAGGTGGAAGTGAATCCGCAACCTGATTGGCGTACAGGAGAATACCAGAATTAGCCAATCACGTGGGACCCATTGTGTAAATAATGTATATAAAGCTGACATTTTGGGGGAACTTCCATTCCTCACTACTATGAGCTGAATAAAGAGCATGAAATCCACTCTCGACTCCAAGTAAATTTCACCATGGTGCCCCATAAGCAGAAAGCACACAGGGAGACGTTGCCATGGTAACAGGAGGCGTGATGTCATCATGGGGGGAAAGTGGTTTTTTTGCAGTAGGCTTTTGAAACTGAGGGGGGATACTGGAAGGCACTGGCTGGAGGCTGCACTGAGCGGCGGGGGGCGGGGGGGGGGCTGGGTGGCTGCTGCTTTGGATCCAAGCTTGCTGAAGCTACTAGGGGAGCCACAAGAGACACTCTTAGGCCATAATGTTCTGCATGCACATTCTCCACAGAAGGCTTTAGATGTAAATATGTGTAAAATAAACCATATTTCTGAAAAAGACGCTAGTCTCTGCTGTACCACTTTCCAAAGCAACACAAACCCTAGTTAAATGCCAAGACCCCTGGAAACTCTTGCTCAGCAGAGATTGGGGTGGCCTGTAACATTATGTTAATATCCAACATTATGCTAATATCTAAAAAAGTGTAATATAAACACCGACAACTGGGAAACACTGGCTAGCGAGTGCTCCAATTGGAGAACAGCCTTTACCGAAGGTGTCGTGGGCTTTGAAGACTCTCGAACTTAGGACGAAAACGTGGTAAGAGGAAGGCATGCTTGGCAAACCATCACCGTGATCAACTCCCACCCGGAAACCTATGTTCCCACTGTGGAAGGACGTGTGGATCCAGAACTGGCCTCCACAGTCACGTACGGCTCTATTAAAACAGTGTTCATGGAAGACAATCTGCGAGTGACGCCAAAGAAGAAGTTAATATCCAAGCCTTCATATGTATTCCAACTGATTAAAAAATGCTCACTGTAACGAACTATATTTTCCCATCAAAGCATAATAAATTACACTACGATGGTTCTATTTTTTTCACAGTCAGCATGTAAAGAACTGAAGTCGCAGTCTGCATGAGGTTTAATTCTAAGGGGACAATACTATGCTCAGTATAAAGTCGGCTGAGTGATTTCAGGGCGCCACGTTAGTGCTTTTACACTGTCAGAGAAAGAGCTACATTGGTTGGGCAATCTTATTCCCTTGCGTGCATCATCAACAAAAGGGAAGAAGTAGAAGCTTCTCACGCACCCTTCCCATACTGCCTGCAGCAAAATGGCAGGGCAATAGAAGTGGTTATTGCCCTGCCTTGTAGGTTCCCCCTCCCTCCATAAATATGCAGTGAAATTACTCTTATAATTTAAACCTGATGCACAGTGACGTGATTTTTGGATTGTTGTGTCATAATTTGCACACTGTCTAACAGCAGAAATAAAATAAAGCATCACTCATTATCATAATCACGTGCAGTGTAATCCACCTACAGAATAATGCAACTCCCCAATAAATAACTCCCCCTCAGGTGTCACTTACTACTGATACTTGCTTAGAGAATGTATTTATTCGGCATTGTTTTTTGAATACACCTAGAGGGCCGTATAAAGTTGGTTGACTGCAGCCCACATGATGAGGGTAACTCGTCTTCATCATGAGAAATGTTTGTTTCTGAATTGTTAACTTTTCCATGTACAAAATAATGCTGAATTCTTAAGAAATTGCATGTCTTCTCAAGTGGTATTTTTAAAGCTAACATTAGTGTCATCTTTAGTGTACTGCATTTCAATTCCTTAAAAGTACTGAGACTAATCTATGTATTATCGGGACAAAAAAGAGAGGGATTAAGCAATGCATACAAAATAACCACCAACACTTTCTTTGTTTGCAACACAAGCATTTTATACCCAAAAGAATAACTAACTTAGCAGCAAATCAAGTTAAAACTAGTCTACCTGTATTGTCAAAGTGATGTTAAACTTTCAGAAGCTAAAAAGGGGGGTAATTTTGAGTAAACTAGTTAGATTTTTTTTCTATCTGCATTACTGCTGAACATATAGCCCAACTGAGCAATCAGAAGTTTGTGTTTTTGTTAAAGATTAGGTAAAGGGACCCCTGACCGTTAGGTCCAGTCACGGACGACTCTGGGGTTGCAGCGTCCATCTCGCTTTATTGGCCGAGGGAGCCGGCGTACAGCTTCCGGGTCATGTGGCCAGCATGACTAAGCCGCTTCTGGTGAACCAGAGCAGCGCACGGAAACACCGTTTACCTTCCCGCCGGAGCGGTACCTATTTATCTACTTGCACTAGACGCGCTTTTGAATTGCTAGGTTGGCAGGAGCAGGGACCGAGTAACGGGAGCTCACCCCGTCAGGGGATTTGAACTGCCGACCTTCTGATCGGCAAGCCCAAGAGGCTCAGTGGTTTAACAGAAATTAGATACTACAGTAGATATGAAAATCTGAACATCAAAGAGGAAGTACTTCAAAGATACCATGCAGCAATTCAACAACATTTTCGACTCCCCCGCAAAAGCACAAAGACATATTAATAAATGTCACAACCTGAAACACTCAGTATAAACTATCTGAATCACAGAGTAAATTATTTAACCACAGGGTCTTAATCTCAAGACATTCCGTGGGCCCTCTTAAAAATCAACTAATGACTTCAGCGTAACTGGATTCGTGGCAACTTGAAGTATCTCAAACATAAACCAGAACTGGGAATTATTCTGCATTTATGGGATGACTTTTTCAACCAATACAAGTAATGAGATCCCACAACCTACATCCTTTTTTTTCTATGCCCCTTTCAGAGGTGCCAACGTCAACAGTGGTCTCTTCTTAAGAGCAACCATGACCGAGCAAGTTTAATTTTCCAACCACCATGAGCTACTTCACTCCCTAGAAACGTCAGACTGCAACCTTCTCAAGCCAAAAGTCTTTTTTAAGGGGTGAGGAGCCATAATCCTGCTGGACTGCGCTTCTTTTAGATGGGCAGGAAAGCCTTTTGGAGACATTGCCAAAGCGCAGGTGAGGCTCCCCGAGGAAAGGAAGGGCGCGCATTCCTACTGCGCCCGCCCCATCCCCACCGTTCTCTCGTCTGGTGGGAGAAGGGGGGGGTCTGCTGGGGACGCCTCGATTTGGGAGGCGGGGGGGTGGGGGCTGACCTCGCTTTAAAGCGCCATCGGAGCCCCTGATAAAGGCAGAGCCCCCTTCAGACCAGAAGAACGCGGGGAGAATTCGGAGCGCCCCCACATCCCCTCGCTCCAAATGGAAAGGTCGAGGGGGGCGCAGGGAGAGGCGGCCGCGCGCCCAGGGGACCCCGCCGGCAGGGCAAGCAAGCGCGCCCTCCTCGCGCGGGGACCTCGGTGCGCCCCGAGGAAGACCCGCGGCGCTCCTCCGCGCCCCTTGGCTCGCGGAACCGCGCGCGCAAGAGAGAGAGAAAGAGCCGGCCGTGCGCGGTGCGCCCAGAAGCGCCGGCCTGCACGGAGACGCCTCCTGCCCGCTTTCCTTCCTCAGGGGAAGAAGAGGGCCTTTTTCTCGGCGCTGCCCCCTTCCTCGGCGCAGAAGAAGGCAGGGTCTGAGGAGAGGCTGCCCGCCGCGCAAGGCGGAGAGGGCCGCTGGAGGAGGCGCGGCACGGATGCAAGCGCCGCGTTCGGGGGCTCACCTTCCGCGCTCCGCGCCGCCTGTCCTCACCGGCGAGGCCCGCTCCTCCCGCCGGCTGCCCGAGGAGCAGCAGGGCGAGCGCCGCTCCCTGCCCCCGGGGAGAAGGCGAGGAAGCTGCCCCGGGGAAGGGTTCTCCTTCCCGGCGCCTTGGCAAACCTCCCCGCCTTCCTTCAGTACCAGCAGCCGCCGCCGCTGAGGGAGAGGAGGAGGCGGCGGTGGGGAAGCCCAGAGGCGAGCCGGAGGAGCTGGCGCTGCTGCTGCTGCTGCAAGGAGGCACTGCGGGCAGAGCAGGAAGTGCAGCAGGCGGCGAGGAAGCGGCGGGAAGAGCTGGCGAGGATGGCCGGGCAGGTTGCGCGCCAGGAGCTGCCCCCGCGCCGCCCCCGGCAGCTGCTTGCGCGCGCGCGCTCCGAGGAGGAGGAAGAAGCGGCTCCGTCCTGCAGCACCTGCTCCCTCTCGCCCGCCGCCCGCTTCCTGTCTGGGGAAGACGGGCCCGCGAACAAAGGCTCCTCCGGAGAAGGGCGAGACAGCAGCCGGTGGAGCCAAACAACGCGAGCCTTTCGGGGGGGGGGGGTCAAGGTACACATTAGGGCGCACAGAGGGAGCATTTTTATTAAAGGAAATGGGAAAAAAAGAGAAACGGTTCCTCGAGAAAATGCACAAATGCAATAGTAGTAGGAAAGAAGGAAGGGCCGCTAGTGGTTTGCAAAAAACGAAATATGTAGGTTTAAAACACAGTAGAAGTGATCCCAAACGTTATTAACACACTGCTGCCGACTAAAAGTTGCATGATGCAGCAGAGAACATCAGCCCTCAGTGATGCACATATTCATAAAATAAACATGAAATGGGATGGCTGGCACAATTTCAAACTATGCCTTCCATGGGAAGCCTATTGTTCCAAAATGACACAAAGGCTCCTAATGGTCTTTTTTTGCAAGAACAAAGTCTGATCAAATCTAAGCTAGATGTTTAGGATTGCAGACCTGTTTAACATAACCTTACCATACCAGATTTGTTCAGCCAGTGAAAGGAACTTTGTTTTCTTTTTCTGTTATTTGCCTATACAGTGGTACCTCTGGTTACAAACACCTTAGGTTACAGACTCCGCTAACCCAGAAATAGTACGGTACCTATGATTAAGAACTTTACCTCAGGATGAGAACAGAAATCGTGAGGCAGTGGGAGGCCCCATTAGCTAAAGTGGTACCTCAGGTTAAGAACAGTTTCAGGTTAAGAACGGACCTCCGGAACGAACTAAGTTCTTAACCAGAGGTACCACTGTATTGGCTAGGAATACACTGATCTTATTTTATAAATTTATTTTATTTGATAGTTTTTATGCTGAAGGGAGAAGAAACATTTAATATTCCCTTCATCTTGTTAGATGCAGAGTAGAAGTCTTGACATCAGCATCACTATGTCAGGGATTAGATGATCCCTGAGCTATTGTACTTTTCAATTTTGATTCTTATCTCTAGAGATACCTAGCCTGGATCTCTGTATCCCAAGGGAGTCTGAAATTATATTCTACAATTACTCAGATGATACATGCTCCTTTGGTACATCAGGAATGACATCTCAAGGCTGACAGAAAAAGTATCTGTTCAGGTGCCTTTTAGCAAGATTGCATTAAACATTTTCACCTAAAGGCTTAGATGAAAACTTTCCACAGAAGGCAGATCTGCTTAAGGTGCAAAAAGCCTATGACAGAGGATTAGACCATGGGATTAAAAATCTGCCAACGTGATAATACAAATGCCTTGTACATGGACACATGTTCCTTTCTGCAAGGAACCATTACAGGGCTGGAACTTAAGTGCTTACAGATGTGCTGCTTCAAGCACATCTGTGGGCACCAAAAAGATGTATAGCAGGCCTTGCATCTGAATTTTTAGGGTTCCTCCACAGCCTGTTCATTCATCCTGATTTGCAAAGCTTGTTGTTGTTGTTGTTTAGTCGTGTCCGACTCTTCGTGACCCCATGGACCAGAGCACGCCAGGCACTCCTGTCTTCCACTGCCTCCCGCAGTTTGGTCAGACTCATGTTTGTAGCTTCAAGAACACTGTCCAACCATCTTGTCCTCTGTCGTCCCCTTCTCCTTGTGCCCTCCATCTTTCCCAACATCAGGGTCTTTTCCAGGGAGTCTTCTCATCTCATGAGGTGGCCAAAGTATTGGAGCCTCAGCTTCACGATCTGTCGTTCCAGTGAGCACTCAGGGCTGATTTCCTGAAGAATGGAGAGGTTTGATCTTCTTGCAGTCCATGGGACTCTCAAGAGTCTCCTCCAGCACCATAATTCAAAAGCATCAGTTCTTCAGCGATCAGCCTTCTTTATGGTCCAGCTCTCACTTCCATACATCACTACTGGGAAAACCATGGCTTTAACTATACGGACCTTGCAAAGCTTAAAGGTAAAGGTACCCCTGCCCGTACGGGCCAGTCGTGTCTGACTCTGGGGTTGCGCGCCCATCTCGCTTAAGAGGCTGGGGGCCAGCGCTGTCCGGAGACACTTCCGGGTCACGTGGCCAGCGTGACGAAGCTGCTCTGGCGAGCCAGCACCAGCGCAGCACATGGGAACACCGTTTTCCTTCTGATATAAAGCGGTACCTATTTATCTACTTGCACTTAGGGGTGCTTTCGAACTGCTAGGTGGGCAGGAGCAGGGACCGAACGACAGGAGCTCACCCCGCCGCGGGGATTCAAACCGCCGACCATACGATCGGCAAGTCCTAGGCGCTGAGGTTTTACCCACAGCGCCACCCGCGTCCCCCTTGCAAAGCTTACTCAGTGTTTATTCTTATTTGTCTAGAGGGGAATTATAGGACAATGAGCATTCATCCTGATTTGCTTGTAGGCTGTTTGCATATCTTCCCAACAATGATTTGTTCATCCCATCCCTTTCCTAACCACAAAAGTCAATGTTGTTGTTTTTTTAATAGATTTGGTGTTCTAGGGTGACAGAGCACTTCAATCCATTTAAACTGTGCAAACGTAAATATCTGGTATTAACTTGAATCCTTCCCACAATATTGTGACAACCTGGAAGCACCCTCAGAAATAATAATAATAAAAACATTTTCATTCCATGAGCTGCAGAGGGCAAAGGAACAGTAGGCAGCCAGAACAAACAGAAGGTTGGGAGGTGAACTTTAAACATCCGCACCCAGCAAGCATGCACATACAAACCTTTGCTGGTTGCCTTTGTCCCAGAGGCACTGCAGTTTCTTAACCAACTTGGCAAAACTGCACTGCCCCTTGGAAATGCACAACACCAACTGCTAGAGTGGGTGCCAGAAAGTATCCTTCCAGTGGTGATTTCTCCCCAAAATCATGATTCTGCCCCCCAGATGCTCACTTAACTTTAGTAACATTAAACATGGCACCTTTAGAATAGTTGTTCCAAGGGTGCACCTAAAGCAGGGGTCAGCAAACTTTTTCAGCAGGGGGCTGGTCCACTGTCCCTCAGACCTTGTGGGGGGCCGGACTGAGGGACAGTGGACCGGACTATATTTTTTTTGGGGGGGGGGGGATGAACGAATTCCTATGCCCCACAAATAACCAGAGATGCATTTTAAATAAAAGCACACATTCTACTCATGTAAAAACACACTGATTCCTGGATTGTGGGCCAGATTTAGAAGGTGGTTGGGCCGGATTCAGCCCCCGGGCCTTAGGTTGCCTACCCATGACCTAAAGCAGGGATCAGCAAACTTTTTCAGCAGGGGGCCTGTCCACTGTCCCTCAGACCTTGTGGGGGCCAGACTATATTTTGAAGGGGGGAAAATGAACGAATTCCTATGCCCCACAAATCACCCAGAGATGCTTTTTAAATAAAAGCACACATTCTACTCATGTTAAAACATGCTGATTCCCAGACTGTCCGCGGGCCGGATTTAGAAGGCGATTGGGCCACATCCGGCCCCCGGGCCTTAGGTTGCCTACCCATGACCTAAAGCAAGGGTATTGCTCCACTGTTCCCTTTGGAGGGGTAAATTTACTATAGCAAAACTCCCTCTGGCAAGGGGCAACCACATAGCAGGTGATTGCTGGAGGCAGCATAAAAATAACATTGTTTTATGTATGTATGGACAGTTCTCATCATCCCTGACCATTGGGCATGCTGGCTGGGGCTGATGGGAGTTGGAGGCAACATAATAGATGCCTAAGGAGTGGTGCTCCTCTCAAAGTAGTATTGGGGGTGAGGTGGGGGGAGAACTGGTATTGGGAACCAGATGAGAAGGAAAGGTGTCAGGCGTGTTCATTCCTATCTACCCTTCATCAAACAAGTTATCAGAGGGCAAGCTACCAAAAAAGCAAAACAAGAGAACAATGCATCATCAATGAAACATTGACACTATATAAATTTCGTAAATATTACATCTCCCTCTTTTTTCTATAGATACATTTGGTGTAGACATACAAAACTCCCATGTCACTGAAAACTTGATGGAAGAGAAAAGTGCCAGCCACATTATTATTATTATTATTATTATTAATACCCCACCCATCTGCCTAGGTTTCCCCAGCCACTCTGGGCAGCTTCCAACCGAATATTAAAACAATACAGTGAAAGAGGAGGGCACATTCCAAATTGCTCTTTCCTAGAAACTTTGTTCCATTCCCACACTTCCAGTTTTCTACCTCACCCTCCCCACCTGACAGTCAGCATCCTGTCTGTGCACATTGGGTATGCCAAGCTCTCATCGGGCTGTTCCTCCTCCCCTCATTTTTTTTTCCTTTTGTATTTCTGCAGCCTTTTCCCTACCTGACCGAGCAGGCGGCGGGGTCCATGGGCCGGTTAAACGACTCCCATTGGCTGCTTTTGGCCCATGGGCCTTAGGTTGCCGACCCCTGACTTAAAGCAAACAAGACTAGACACAGCTTAATCAGATGCCCTTTTAAAGATTTGGAGCTCACAGTTTCAAGTTAATGTTTTATGGTGGCACTGGTGCACCCAATGCAATTGATCCATTACTGACCCTTCTCTTCTAGCCTGGCCATGCCCCCCCCCCCCATTTCTCCCATCTGAGTGGCAGAAGCCTCTACAGGATGCAGCTGTTGTAACCCGAGTTGCTGTATCAGCCACTGCGACGACATTCCAGATGTTTTGATATCAGACCAATCTTATGCGGTTTGGGGTGTCTCAAAGGCCACTGACTTTAAGGGCCATAAATACACCAAACCACATAGGATTCGGCTGAGCATGGGTGCAATCACAAAGCGCAACATTGCAACATTGACTTAAGAGAGCGAAGGCGACTCTGCATAGGAATGACATGAGGCTGCTGCCATCTCGTGGCCAATTCAAGACACTATTGGTTCTGAGATTTGACTCATTAGCCATTGCAGCATGACAGATGGCTTTATTTACGGTAACTATTCTGTGCTAGT